CACTGGTCCACCTAAATGATGCTGTTGTCACTGGTCCACCTAAATGATGCTGTTGTCACTGGTCCACCCAAATGATGCTGTTGTCACTGGTCCACCCAAATGATGCTGTTGTCATCCACCCAAATGATGCTGTTGTCACTGGTCCACCCAAATGATGCTGTTGTCACTGGTCCACCCAAATGATGCTGTTGTCACTGGTCCACCCAAATGATGCTGTTGTCATCCACCCAAATGATGCTGTTGTCATCCACCCAAATGATGCTGTTGTCACTGGTCCACCCAAATGATGCTGTTGTCATCCACCCAAATGATGCTGTTGTCACTGGTCCACCCAAATGATGCTGTTGTCACTGGTCCACCCAAATGATGCTGTTGTCATCCACTCAAATGATGCTGTTGTCATCCACCCAAATGATGCTGTTGTCATCCACCCAAATGATGCTGTTGTCACTGGTCCACCCAAATGATGCTGTTGTCATCCACCCAAATGATGCTGTTGTCACTGGTCCACCCAAATGATGCTGTTGTCACTGGTCCACCCAAATGATGCTGTTGTCACTGGTCCACCCAAATGATGCTGTTGTCACTGGTCCACCCAAATGATGCTGTTGTCACTGGTCCACCTAAATGATGCTGTTGTCATCCACCCAAATGATGCTGTTGTCATCCACCCAAATGATGCTGTTGTCACTGGTCCACCCAAATGATGCTGTTGTCACTGGTCCACCCAAATGATGCTGTTGTCACTGGTCCACCCAAATGATGCTGTTGTCATCCACCCAAATGATGCTGTTGTCACTGGTCCACCCAAATGATGCTGTTGTCACTGGTCCACCCAAATGATGCTGTTGTCATCCACCCAAATGATGCTGTTGTCACTGGTCCACCCAAATGATGCTGTTGTCATCCACCCAAATGATGCTGTTGTCACTGGTCCACCCAAATGATGCTGTTGTCACTGGTCCACCCAAATGATGCTGTTGTCACTGGTCCACCCAAATGATGCTGTTGTCACTGGTCCACCCAAATGATGCTGTTGTCACTGGTCCACCCAAATGATGCTGTTGTCATCCACCCAAATGATGCTGTTGTCATCCACCCAAATGATGCTGTTGTCATCCACCCAAACGATGCTGTTGTCACTGGTCCACCTAAATGATGCTGTTGTCATCCACCCAAATGATGCTGTTGTCATCCACCCAAATGATGCTGTTGTCACTGGTCCACCCAAATGATGCTGTTGTCACTGGTCCACCCAAATGATGCTGTTGTCACTGGTCCACCCAAATGATGCTGTTGTCACTGGTCCACCCAAATGATGCTGTTATCATCCACCCAAATGATGCTGTTGTCACTGGTCCATCCAAATGATGCTGTTGTCACTGGTCCACCCAAATGATGCTGTTGTCATCCACCCAAATGATGCTGTTGTCACTGGTCCAACCAAATGATGCTGTTGTCATCCACCCAAATGATGCTGTTGTCACTGGTCCACCCAAATGATGCTGTTGTCATCCACCCAAATGATGCTGTTGTCACTGGTCCACCCAAATGATGCTGTTGTCATCCACCCAAATGATGCTGTTGTCACTGGTCCACCCAAATGATGCTGTTGTCATCCACCCAAATGATGCTGTTGTCATCCACCCAAATGATGCTGTTGTCACTGGTCCACCCAAATGATGCTGTTGTCACTGGTCCACCCAAATGATGCTGTTGTCACTGGTCCACCCAAATGATGCTGTTGTCACTGGTCCACCCAAATGATGCTGTTGTCACTGGTCCACCCAAATGATGCTGTTGTCACTGGTCCACCCAAATGATGCTGTTGTCATCCACCCAAATGATGCTGTTGTCACTGGTCCACCCAAATGATGCTGTTGTCACTGGTCCACCCAAATGATGCTGTTGTCATCCACCCAAATGATGCTGTTGTCACTGGTCCACCCAAATGATGCTGTTGTCATCCACCCAAATGATGCTGTTGTCACTGGTCCATCCAAATGATGCTGTTGTCACTGGTCCACCCAAATGATGCTGTTGTCACTGGTCCACCCAAATGATGCTGTTGTCACTGGTCCACCCAAATGATGCTGTTGTCACTGGTCCACCCAAATGATGCTGTTGTCACTGGTCCACCCAAATGATGCTGTTGTCACTGGTCCACCCAAATGATGCTGTTGTCACTGGTCCACCCAAATGATGCTGTTGTCACTGGTCCACCCAAATGATGCTGTTGTCACTGGTCCACCCAAATGATGCTGTTGTCACTGGTCCACCCAAATGATGCTGTTGTCATTGGTCCACCCAAATGATGCTGTTGTCACTGGTCCACCCAAATGATGCTGTTGTCACTGGTCCACCCAAATGATGCTGTTGTCATCCACCCAAATGATGCTGTTGTCACTGGTCCACCCAAATGATGCTGTTGTCACTGGCCCACCCAAATGATGCTGTTGTCATCCACCCAAATGATGCTGTTGTCACTGGTCCACCCAAATGATGCTGTTGTCACTGGTCCACCCAAATGATGCTGTTGTCATCCACCCAAGTGATGCTGTTGTCATTGGTCCACCCAAATGATGCTGTTGTCACTGGTCCACCCAAATGATGCTGTTGTCACTGGTCCACCTAAATGATGCTGTTGTCACTGGTCCACCCAAATGATGCTGTTGTCACTGGTCCACCCAAATGATGCTGTTGTCATTGGTCCACCCAAATGATGCTGTTGTCACTGGTCCACCCAAATGATGCTGTTGTCACTGGTCCATCCAAATGATGCTGTTGTCACTGGTCCACCCAAATGATGCTGTTGTCACTGGTCCACCCAAATGATGCTGTTGTCATCCACCCAAGTGATGCTGTTGTCACTGGTCCATCCAAATGATGCTGTTGTCACTGGTCCACCCAAATGATGCTGTTGTCACTGGTCCACCCAAATGATGCTGTTGTCATCCACCCAAGTGATGCTGTTGTCATTGGTCCACCCAAATGATGCTGTTGTCACTGGTCCACCCAAATGATGCTGTTGTCACTGGTCCACCCAAATGATGCTGTTGTCACTGGTCCACCCAAATGATGCTGTTGTCACTGGTCCACCCAAATGATGCTGTTGTCACTGGTCCACCCAAATGATGCTGTTGTCACTGGTCCACCCAAATGATGCTGTTGTCATTGGTCCACCCAAATGATGCTGTTGTCACTGGTCCACCCAAATGATGCTGTTGTCACTGGTCCACCCAAATGATGCTGTTGTCATTGGTCCACCCAAATGATGCTGTTGTCATCCACCCAAATGATGCTGTTGTCACCGGTCCACCCAGATGATGCTGTTGTCACTGGTTCAGCCCCTGTTCCACACACGACTAAATGAATGTATGCTGCCACGAACAGACTGGAGCTCTCTGAACTGGATGAAAGCCGCTGTCGTTTTATTGACATGTATCAAGATGTATGTAGATCTATGTATTTTATGGATGTAGGCTATATGATGGCGTTTTTTTCCCCGCGCAGTCCGCTCCTCTACTCCTTGTACTTGTAAACAACTTCTAGAAAAGTTTGCAGAATTTTAAGACAGAAAACAGAAACGTTTAACTAAAGATTGCTGTATGCCTTTTTATTTTTTTAAAGGTTCATTTAGCAACACGTTTAATCGACTAATCGTATGACGTATCTTCTAGAGCTTTTTACGTGTGTATAAATAATAATATGGGACGGCATGGCCTAGTCAAATCAATAGAATGTCCCAGAGTCCATCCAGCTCTGATTGGTAATGGTATCTAACTCTCTAACTGCCATTAGGGAAATGCAAATGCGGCTGGACATAGTGCTGACTACACTATCCCTTCATATGCCGATGGTCTCTGAAGCAGATGAACTCTACGGGAAAAGACGAGGATGATAAATAATAAAATCATCGTTTGTTTCATATCTCCATGGGAGACACGGATTGTTACGTCATTACGTCATGGCTTGTATCCCGGAGTTCACCGGTACTCTAGGCCTCAGATTGTAGATGTTGTTTTAACAATCAAACTCACGTGGAACTACCACGTCATGGGGCGATTAGAATAAGCTACATAACGTCATTATTAATTAGCCAGGCAGGCTGTAATCAGGGTTTTTTGAAGCATTTTTCTCCGAGAGGGGGGGGGGGGTATTGAAACTTCTATAGTGACACCTAGGCTACTACTTAAAAATTGTATTCGAGGAAATCCCGCCCAAGTTTACAATTAGGAACGAAGAAGAAAAATACATATAAAGAAAAGCGAGGGCTGCTATACTAAAAAAAAGACTAACATTTAAAATGTGAAGGCCCGTCTCTACTCTCTATCTCTAAATAGCCTTTATAGATTACAAATTATTTATATACGCTGTGGTACATAGTGCTATTGGACACAGACTTTCTTCCAGGCATCTCTACCCCCCCCCCAACAGAGTTTCTTCCAGGTATCTCTACCCCCCCCCCCCCGAACAGAGTTTCTTCCAGGCATCTTTACCCCCCCCCCCCCGATCAGAGTTTCTTCCAGGCATCTCTACCCCCCCCCCCCGAACGAAATGGAATTTATATAGAAAACATATACACCAGTGTCGTCGTCCCCCCCCCCCCCCTGTAAAATGTTGTCCACTCCCCGGAGAAAAAAATCTGGAAGAAACACTGAATGCACTGTCATCGATCGGAGCTTAACCTACGTTTCAAGTTGGAAACAAGTCGGTTCTGTAGAAATGGCTGAAATTTCGTTCACAAGTTTCCTCCCGAGACGGACAGACAGACGAAGCATTAAGAAATAAGAATCTACTAAAATAAAAGCTTGTAAAATGGCGATATGTTAAGTCAAATTCTTTTAATGGTCTTCGGACCTTCTCCAGCGTAGCTTATGCGTCTCAGTCATACTTAGGATACATTAGATGCTTAAAAATCTGGCAATACTGATAAGACTGATAGCCAATGAAAACATCCACAAGATATGTTATCCTGCTAGGTTAGCCTATGACAGAAGGGACCGCCTCCTTTTCCCCCTACCTATTTATTTTAGGTCCTGTGCCCTATAGTAAAATAGGACTTAATGCTATCATAGCAGACTGCTACTAGAAAGTCATATGGACGTATATTTTTTAATGAAGTGGTCAATCGCGGTAAGCGAAGTGCGCACAATTTTTTAAATAGATTGATAATATGTTAAAAAACGCAGTGGACGTTAATTATACAACTCTGAGTTACTCAAGTTCTAGATCTTTAGTTTTTTTTTAGTAACTTGATTAAGTTAAGTTATTATTAATTTATTAGATCTACGCCCCCTAATATTAATTTAATTATATATTAATACACTAAATACACGTTCCATTGTTGATGGCCTGATAATTAATAATTAATGTAATTAATAATAATAATAGTTTAGTATCTAGATCTAGTCTAAGTACAAGCAAGCCTAGGCCTGAGGGCTAAGCCCTACATAGTAACATACTACATACATAGTTACTACATAACATATTACTACATTAAAGTATGTAGTTTGGAAGTTTAGGCCCATAATAAGTTTAGGCCTATAGATCTAGATCTAGATCTAGATCTAAATATAAATTTATTATAATTATTTATTATAGTCAGCTCTACTAGATCTAGAATCTAAAAGTGTTGTCACTGTTGTGTCATTAGGTTAGGATTTTAAAAAAAATCTAGGCCATTATTTTTATAGGTCCTAATAATATTTCAATATTTTTTTTATATAAGCAATTTTTAAAAATAGAAACAGCTTAAGGCTTAAATTAATAAGAATTATTTATATTCTAACATCTAGGCCTAGGTAAAGATTCTAATTTTTATTTGAAATATGTATCTCAATATCTGGATCTATTTCTGAATTATTTAGGCCTAAATTTAATTTAATTAATAATTATTGGTTAAATTGTGGTTGCTTGTTTGTACCAGTGGCGTAGCGAGGTCGGGTTTCACCCGGTGCGGCACTTAATGGTGTCACCCCCTTCCCCCCCCCACCCCACCGTAAAAAAATGTATACATATATATATATATATATATATATATATATATATATATATATATATATATATAAGTATCTATATGCGCAAGTGTAGGCCCTATATGTATTCACATATTTTTTTTTTATGTAGTTAATTTTTTTTACCCATAAATGGATTAACATAAGCTATTACAATTCTCAACCAAACCTCAAACCCCCCCCCCCCCCCCCCACCTGTGTCAGGATTAGTCAAATTTACTCTTAAAAGACTATTTAACACTCTAATTAATCACTTAATTAAGTAGAATTATAATTTTTCTGTATATATTTTGCTATTTTTTGTCTTGGTGTCACCCCCCTAAATGGTGTCATGTCAACAACCCCTGCCCCCCCCCCCCCCCCCCCCCTCGCTACGCCCCTGGTTTGTACAGTTTATAAAAGAGGATTTTTGAATTTCCAGTTAATTTAAAGTGAATAGAAACAATAAAATTAATTAACGCATATAACATTTATTGCATACATTTATTTTACACTGCACTTTCCTACTTCTCTTCCTTGTAGTTATACAATCATTTCATTGTATACTGTAACTGAAGTTTACACTATTCACACACAACAATACATTCCTTAATGAGTGAGTAAACTCTGTTTTAAATTATACCTTTTAAATATAATTCAACAAACTCTAATAACAATATGTTTTTTCAAAACAGATATATGTGCTTATTTAAAATAAAAAATTATCTTAAATTTCCTGAAAGATGGAAACTATTAAAAATCACCGTTGTAAAGCTAAAGATCATGAGCATGAAGAAGCCCTTTCTAGAGAATCATTTATACAGGGAAATGGCGGCCATAAGCCCAGGGATGTAGAGCAGCTTAAAACAAAAGATGTCATCACTGAGACTTTAAAGAAAGTGGAGCTAAAGAGAACAATAACATTTTTTGGAACTGTTGCTATACTAATAGCCAACATTGGTGGGACAGGAATTTTCATAGCACCAACCACTATTCTGAGCTTCAGTGGCTCTCCAGGGATGGCTATGGTTATGTGGCTGGCTGGCGGTGTGATGCAAGTTAGCATGGCATTGTGTGTTGTTGAGGTAGCTCTAATGTTCAACAGGGCAGGCGGTCCTTATTATTTTATTTACCAGACATTCGGAGAGCTTCCAGGATTTGTTTTTATGTGGGGCTATTTGATTTTTATTGCTGCACCATCTTGGGCCTTAGGGGCATACACAGCCAGCCTGTATAGTTTATCTCTAGTATTTAAAGACTGTGATCCTCCAGAGGAACTTGTAAAATTGATAGCTGTCTGGGTTATGAGTAAGTAAACTTTTCAGTACTTATCCAAATAAATTCTGAAGATTTAGGTTTTGGAAACATAGTATTACTGTAGTTAAATCTCACCTCTCTTAAAAACAGTTCTTATCACCACTTGATGTACTTTACAATATCTCAGCCTATTAATATGGTGTTGTTAGGTTAAAATTAGTAATGTTTTTAATGGTTTGGTTAAAATTAGTACAGCTATCTGGTGTTATCAATTTCCTTGAGTGGGATGGTGTTAACAGTTGCATCATCCATCTGCAGTATCTGTGATTGCTATCAACTGTACACATATGAAAGTCATCACCATAATCCAGAAGTTCCTTACATCATGCAAGATAATAGCACTTGTCATTATCATTATACTGGGCCTTATAAATATTCCAACAGGTATTCACTCTTTGATTTTCACTTAGTTTGATATAATTTATCTCTAAATTAGAACTTGTTTCATTTGTTTAATCCAAAGATTAGTGTTATATAAATAGCCTAGTTTGCTACAATAAAAGATGTAAGCTTTTTTGCAGACCTATTCATCAGGTAACACCTGCTGTAACTGTATAACGTTTGTTGTTTTCAACAATTTCTATAGATTTAAAAAGAATGTGATTGAACCTGAGAGCCTGAACATTTTTATGAAGTGGTCTTTTTTTTTTATATATACAAGCCAATAATACAACATAATGTGCTTATTAAATGTTTGTAGGATGACATAGAGATTATTTCATTTTCTAGTATCCCTAAACAGCCTAACACTCATATTGTCCTACTTGCAGATTTAGGTCAGGAAAATCTGTTTCATTTTATGGATGGAACACGATCTGAAGTTGGACAAATAGCTTTAGCGTTGTTTGCTGCATTCTACGGCTTTGGTGGCTGGTAAGAGAATTATTTTATCCTTAACTTAGTAAGACTCAATGTAACCAGGATATTAGGGTCCTACTTCCATTTTATAATTAAAAGACATAAACAAAGTGAATTGTTCTATAAAAACTGCCCTCCTTACCTACAGGCCGGTTATCACAATATTGACAGAGGAGATGAAACATCCAGAGAAGTGAGTAAACAAATATTTAATCAATTCCTAGTCAACACTTGTATCATGTCAATTAGATCTTCCGGCTGCAAATAAAGTTGAACAACAATATTCTCTATTGGGATAATAAGTGCAGGCAACATGCTGCAAGTGTACATGGTACACAAGCTGTTGTCTTCAAGAATGCTTAATTCTCTAGCAAGTGCATATTTTAAAGTTTCTTCTACAAACTTTAAAATATCTTATATTCTACAAACTGTTCACTTTTGAATTAAGGAAACAATTGTTTTTAATTTTTAAAAAAATGCTTTTTTCAATAGCTTTGTGTTTTACTTTAAACTCTTGAAATGTACAAACATATGTGTAAAAAGATTTTTAAAAAATAGATAATCTATCTATAAGTTGTTTATTTATACCACCAAGACAGGTAATCCAGTTCTAGCCAGTTGTAAGTACTCATTACTGTCAATTATTTCTGCTCCAGCTGAGTAGTTTTTAGTTTACTCACACTTTTGAGTTCACACTTTTCAGTTATTTTCTTTCCAACATAACAATTTGATTTCTATCAAAAACTTTGTCAGATGGCTGTTTAAAATATTCTTCCATTTGGTTTCTCACATTTTTTTACTGTTGGTTGTGTGAGAGTCTTGCTAGGTTTCAAGATGTCTACTTTGATTCATCTCTCCAACAGGAATCAGCATGTTTTTGTTGTAGTTTGCTCTACACATTCTGTGGTACCAGCTAGTAATATCTTTTTTTTAATCAGATGACACTAACGCTAGAGAAAAAGGTCTTTATAGTAGTTTCAAATCCATGACTAATTTTATATTTACATTATTTAAAAAACTATTTAAATTTTAATAATGTTCTTGAAGATTTCTTTATAATATTCAAAACTGATTTTCCAACACTAAATATTTGGTTTCTTAATGTACTCATGTTTGAAGTGCTATAACATAGATTGATTTTTTATGTACTGGTTGGCAAAACTTGTTAAGTCCTCTTCTGAAAACTATTTACTATGTTCAAATGTAACTGCAATGCAAGAAACTTTGCAGCTATAAACATCTGCTCTTATGTTCTGGTCAAATGCAGCCAAATAATGTGTTTTTTGTAAAAACAAACATTAACCTAAATTTATCTGTTTATTAGTTGCTTGCTTAATAAAACTTTAACCATTGTTCTGTATTTATAAAAAGTTATTTCAGCTGCAACTAATCTTTCTGATTGCTATATTAACATTTTAAAAGTTTTGACAGAGCTATCTGCTTTACACTTTGTCTTTTAATAACAAAAAAGAACATTGCTTGTCTGGGTCACAGCATAGTTCGAAATAATTGAATGCACTGACATAAAATTAAGTATACAAATATTAAGAACTAAATACAGTCATTTAATTTTTAGAAAGCTATTGTTGTTATCTAGAGGTTTTTGGTCAGACAGACACATGAGTTGCTAATGCACCCATTAAAGGGTCATCCATTTACGATGTCCATGAAAAAACTTGAGTCTTAGACTTTTCTGTTTACACATGTCTATTTTGGATTTCACACACACAAATGTAATAATTGTTCTCTCAAGATTTACTTCCATTAAAGCACACTAATTTAATAACATAATTTTTTTCACATATAAACCAATATTTGATGTAAAATCCTTGTTATTTAAATGAATGTGAGGAACATTTTTTAAAAGAATCCTTTGAATTACTTGCTTACTACAAAGCTACAATTAGATGCAGTGATTTAATTATCTGCTGAGCCATTAAAAAAAAAATGCCCTGCTGTATATGTGTAAACATTGTGTATGCAAGTTCTATGTTCTTTGTTTGTTGTAACATACAAGTCATTTGATGTGGACCTGAACTCCCAGTCCACTTTTTTTAAAAGTTGAATTTCTTTCAACACACACACCCACACTCTAAGTGTGGACATAATAAGTGGATGACACCCCCCCCCCCCCCCACCTGGGTAAAAAAGAAGTCCTAGGTTCTTGGTATAAACATAACTGCATGCACATAAAAAATTTTTATTTTGTTTTCCAAATGTTTTCTCTGACCAGCATCTCTGACAAACACTAGTGTTGTTGTTTTTAATAATGTTGAGAAATGTTACATGTATTAGTTGTATTTTAACACAATTTATAGGCCTACATATTTAAGCAAACTTTCCAAGTTTTGGTGTATTATTTTTCATCCTGCATTTTAATAATTTTTATTTGACACTATTGCACACTATTAATTATAAGTGCTTTCTGTATCAGAATGCTCAGTAAAAAATATGTAAAATAGTTTTAAAGTTTTGTATTGTAAGACCAAATAATATGTTTGTCTAGAGATGTGCAATTTGTTCCCACTGCAATCATTTCAGAAATTTACCGAGAGGTCTGCTGTTAAGTTTTTCTATCCTGATTACAACTATGGTGGCAACTAACTTTGCTTACTACACAGTCTTATCTAAGGAGGAAGCACTGAGATCTGATGCTGTAGCCATGGTAACTCACATGATTCAGTCCAATTCCAACTTAGAAAAATATAAATGGTCGTGAATTAAATGTATATACTATAAAGTTTTTGTATTCAAGAAATCTTTCTAAAGCATAATATTTGGAACTATTCTTGATAACTATTAATTCATTAATTTATAGAATTGTTATATTTGTGTCATCTAGCTTTTTTCGCACTGAAATGAAAGTAATTTATTTCCCTTTCCTGTTGTACTGTAGTTGTTTGGCCAGATGTTACACCCGCTGATGCCAGTAGTTATTGCTGTCCTGGTGTGTCTGTGTTCTGTTGGGACCCTCAATGTTCTCATTATGAGCCAGCCAAGGTAAGACCTGCAGTTGGGACCCTCAATGTTCTCATTATGAGCCAGCCAAGGTAAGACCTGCAGTTGGGACCCTCAATGTTCTCATTATGAGCCAGCCAAGGTAAGACCTGCAGTTGGGACCCTCAATGTTCTCATTATGAGCCAGCCAAGGTAAGACCTGCAGTTGGGACCCTCAATGTTCTCATTATGAGCCAGCCAATGTAAGACCTGCAGTTGGGACCCTCAATGTTCTCATTATGAGCCAGCCAAGGTAAGACCTGCAGTTGGGACCCTCAATGTTCTCATTATGAGCCAGCCAAGGTAAGACCTGCAGTTGGGACCCTAATGTTCTCATTATGAGCCAGCCGATGTAAGACCTGCAGTTGGGACCCTCAATGTTCTCATTATGAGCCAGCCAAGGTAAGACTAGCAGTTGGGACCCTCAATGTTCTCATTATGAGCCAGCCAAGGTAAGACTAGCAGTTGGGACCCTCAATGTTCTCATTATGAGCCAACCAAGGTAAGACCTGCAGTTGGGACCCTCAATGTTCTCATTATGAGCCAGCCGATGTAAGACCTGCAGTTGGGACCCTCAATGTTCTCATTATGAGCCAGCCAAGGTAAGACCTGCAGTTGGGACCCTCAATGTTCTCATTATGAGCCAGCCAAGGTAAGACTAGCAGTTGGGACCCTCAATGTTCTCATTATGAGCCAGCCAAGGTAAGACCTGCAGTTGGGACCCTCAATGTTCTCATTATGAGCCAGCCAAGGTAAGACCTGCAGTTGGGACCCTCAATGTTCTCATTATGAGCCAGCCAAGGTAAGACCTGCAGTTGGGACCCTCAATGTTCTCATTATGAGCCAGCCAAGGTAAGACCTGCAGTTGGGACCCTCAATGTTCTCATTATGAGCCAGCCAAGGTAAGACCTGCAGTTGGGACCCTAATGTTCTCATTATGAGCCAGCCGATGTAAGACCTGCAGTTGGGACCCTCAATGTTCTCATTATGAGCCAGCCAAGGTAAGACTAGCAGTTGGGACCCTCAATGTTCTCATTATGAGCCAGCCAAGGTAAGACTAGCAGTTGGGACCCTCAATGTTCTCATTATGAGCCAACCAAGGTAAGACCTGCAGTTGGGACCCTCAATGTTCTCATTATGAGCCAGCCGATGTAAGACCTGCAGTTGGGACCCTCAATGTTCTCATTATGAGCCAGCCAAGGTAAGACCTGCAGTTGGGACCCTCAATGTTCTCATTATGAGCCAGCCAAGGTAAGACTAGCAGTTGGGACCCTCAATGTTCTCATTATGAGCCAGCCAAGGTAAGACCTGCAGTTGGGACCCTCAATGTTCTCATTATGAGCCAGCCAAGGTAAGACCTGCAGTTGGGACCCTCAATGTTCTCATTATGAGCCAGCCAAGGTAAGACCTGCAGTTGGGACCCTCAATGTTCTCATTATGAGCCAGCCAAGGTAAGACCTGCAGTTGGGACCCTCAATGTTCTCATTATGAGCCAGCCAAGGTAAGACCTGCAGTTGGGACCCTAATGTTCTCATTATGAGCCAGCCGATGTAAGACCTGCAGTTGGGACCCTCAATGTTCTCATTATGAGCCAGCCGATGTAAGACCTGCAGTTGGGACCCTCAATGTTCTCATTATGAGCCAGCCAAGGTAAGACCTGCAGTTGGGACCCTCAATGTTCTCATTATGAGCCAGCCAAGGTAAGACTAGCAGTTGGGACCCTCAATGTTCTCATTATGAGCCAGCCAAGGTAAGATCAGCAGTTGGGACCCTCAATGTTCTCATTATGAGCCAACCAAGGTAAGACTAGCAGTTGGGACCCTCAATGTTCTCATTATGAGCCAGCCAAGGTAAGACCAGCAGTTGGGACCCTCAATGTTCTCAGAGCCAGCCAAGGTAAGACCTGCAGTTGGGACCCTAATGTTCTCATTATGAGCCAGCCGATGTAAGACCTGCAGTTGGGACCCTCAATGTTCTCATTATGAGCCAGCCAAGGTAAGACTAGCAGTTGGGACCCTCAATGTTCTCATTATGAGCCAGCCAAGGTAAGACCTGCAGTTGGGACCCTCAATGTTCTCATTATGAGCCAGCCAAGGTAAGACCTGCAGTTGGGACCCTCAATGTTCTCATTATGAGCCAGCCAAGGTAAGACTAGCAGTTGGGACCCTCAATGTTCTCATTATGAGCCAGCCAAGGTAAGACTAGCAGTTGGGACCCTCAATGTTCTCATTATGAGCCAGCCAAGGTAAGACTAGCAGTTGCACTTCAAGTTAGTTTTATAAATGTTTTAAAAATGTTATTTCTGACAATAAATTACAAAATATTCATTTTTAAATTAAAATAATTGAACCCATAATTATGTTGATATTTAAAATAACTGTCCGAGCCAGCTAAATAGCTAAAGAGTTAGCCACACAGGATTCAGCAAAGTAAAAACCAAACTGTATGCCTGACCTGTTTGGCTTACAAAGACCAAAAGCTTAAATTCTCTTTGGCTTTCTAGGTTTACTTATAGCTGTCTATAAAAACATCTGCCACTGACAGGGGCAAGTATGCTGTCAATTGTTTAATTGCTTGTCTCACAATTAGCAGTTGCACAAAATCTGCTGGTGGCTGGTATACATCTCATTCTATTACTTTACAAATGTTTACCTTGTTTCTCATTATGTTGGCTAGAATTTTAACATTACATCTATAGAATAAAGTAACTGAATATTCAGAGGACCAAGTTTTCTTGTGAATAATGTAGCTCTCTAGGTCTGGCTAATCATTGATACATTCATTGAGGCTAACCATGTGTTATTCATTACATATATTATTATGCATATTTTTGTCCACCATTAACTATAACCAGAAATGGCTGACAGGTGGATTTTATTATTTTAGATTCTTTGTTCAGCAAAGAAGGGAGATAATTAATGCTTTATGCTTTAATTTTTCATTAGTAACAGCATATGCCACTGTTTTTAGGGTGAATTTTTATTCTAGATTGATACATAAAGTAATAGCTTAGCTTGTTCAATCATCTGAATTTTTTAATACTATGTTTAAATGTAAATTAATTTGGTAATCTTTAAAAATTGACTAATAGTTGTCCCCCTTGCTGCTTGTACTAGACAACACAAAACTTGCCTCACCATACACAAAAAACTTGTTGTCTAAATGATAATAAAGCTTAAAACAAAGTTTTTATCTATGATAATTGAACTTAAAACAAAGTTTTTATCTATGATAATTGAGCTTAAAACAAAGTTTTTATCAATGATAATTGAAGCTTAAAACAAAGTTTTTATCAATGATAATTGAAGCTTAAAACAAAGTTTTTATCTATGATAATTGAGCTTAAAACAAAGTTTTTATCAATGATAATTGAGCTTAAAACAAAGTTTTTATCAATGATAATTGAGCTTAAAACAAAGTTTTTATCAATGATAATTGAAGCTTAAAACAAAGTTTCTATCTATGATAATTGAGCTTAAAACAAAGTTTTTATCAATGATAATTGAAGCTTAAAACAAAGTTTTTATCTATGATAATTGAGCTTAAAACAAAGTTTTTATCAATGATAATTGAAGCTTAAAACAAAGTTTTTATCAATGATAATTGAGCTTAAAACAAAGTTTTTATCAATGATAATTGAAGCCTAAAACAAAGTTTTTATCTTTGAAATGAAAACATGAAAGTTTCTACAGTTTCTGCACTAACCATTTGGCTGTTTCTCTCCTTTCTCGCTTTTATTTTATAGCAGTTTTACGGTTGATACTAAAGTTTAGATACACAATTTTATAAAGCAATTTTTTAAATTATTAATTTTAAATTTCTGCAAATGAACTTATATTACCAACACAAAAAACTTTTTGCATGACCATAAAGAAAATGTACTTTGACAACTTAAAAATTTTGCTGCATATTTTCTAAGTTTTTTTTTTTGCTTCATATTTTATGAGAGTTTTTCTTAGCTGCTATTTTTTTCAGGATGCTTTTTGCTGCAGGACGTAATGGACACATGCCAAAATTTATGACAATGCTGCATAAAAAATTTCATACTCCATGGCCAGCAACATTCACCCTGGTTAGTCACCTTTCCATTCCTTGTCTGCTGCTAGCCTAAACTGTTAGTCACCTTTCCTTGTCTGCTACTAGCCTAAACTGTTAGTCACCTTTCCATTCCTTGTCTGCTGCTAGCCTAAAGTGTTAGTCACCTTTCCTTGTCTGCTGCTAGCCTAAAGTGTTAGTCACCTTTCCATTCCTTGTCTGCTGCTAGCCTAAACTGTTAGTCACCTTTCCATTCCTTGTCTACTGCGAGCCTAAACTGTTAGTCACCTTTCCATTCCTTGTCTGCTGCTAGCCTAAAGTGTTAGTCACCTTTCCATTCCTTGTCTGCTGCTAGCCTAAAGTGTTAGTCACCTTTCCATTCCTTGTCTGCTGCTAGCCTAAACTGTTAGTCACCTTTCCATTCCTTGTCTACTGCGAGCCTAAACTGTTAGTCACCTTTCCATTCCTTGTCTGCTGCTAGCCTAAAGTGTTAGTCACCTTTCCATTCCTTGTCTGCTGCTAGCCTAAACTGTTAGTCACCTTTCCATTCCTTGTCTGCTGCTAGCCTAAACTGTTACTTTACTTTATGGGATCAGATTTTAAAATTGGGTCATGAGGTTCTCAGTTTTAAAAACTTGTCTGGAAGTTTTTATTTGTATGCCTACAGGGTCTACTTGGCATCATCATGGTCTTATCTGGGAGTGTCCTGTCTTTGGTGGCAGCCATCAGTCTATACGCAGGTTGGTTTAGTTTACATCTAGTCTATACGCAGGTTGGTTTAGTTTACATCTAGTCTATACGCAGGTTGGTTTAGTTTACATCTAGTCTATATGCAGGTTGGTTTAGTTTACAACTAGTCTATACGCAGGTTGGTTTAGTTTACATCTAGTCTATACGCAGGTTGGTTTAGTTCACATCTAGTCTATACGCAGGTTGGTTTAGTTTACATCTAGTCTATACGCAGGTTGGTTTAGTTTACATCTAGTCTATATGCAGGTTGGTTTAGTTTACAACTAGTCTATACGCAGGTTGGTTTAGTTTACATCTAGTCTATACGCAGGTTGGTTTAGTTCACATCTAGTCTATATGCAGGTTGGTTTAGTTTACATCTAGTCTATACGCAGGTTGGTTTAGTTTACATCTAGTCTATACGCAGGTTGGTTTAGTTTACATCTAGTCTATACGCAGGTTGGTTTAGTTTACATCTAGTCTATACGCAGGTTGGTTTAGTTTACATCTAGTCTACACGCAGGTTAGTTTAGTTTACATCATTTGGTTCTGGGCACCATGTGATTCTGGGCACCATGTGATTCTGGGCACCATTTGGTTCTGGGCACCATTTGGTTCTGGACACCTTTTGGTTCTCAACTATGATTCAAGAAAGATAAATGAACTCAAATCTGACAATTTCAGGTTGCATGATATTTCTGCTACTATTGTGCTTGTTTACACTCCGCTGGAAAAGTCCAAATGCACCTCGTCCATTTAAGGTATGTTGATAATGTATCATCTTTTGTTTATTCACAATGATTAATATTTACAAGCAGTGAATTGCAAAACATTACATTACTGTTTTTATATTTTGGGTTAACAGTTGATGGTTTCCTGTCAGAATTTTTACAGATCTTGAACCCCTTCCCTAGCCCCTATAATAAAAAGATGACCTGGCTATAAGTGTTGTTAAGATGTAAGCCCAGTTTGATGACCTAACTAGAATTGTTGTAAAGATGTAAACCCAGTTTGATGACCTAACTAGAATTGTTGTTAAGATGTAAGCCCAGTTTGATGACCTAACTAGAATTGTTGTAAAGATGTAAGCCCAGTTTGATGACCTAACTAGAATTGTTGTAAAGATGTAAACTCAGTTTGATGACCTAACTAGAATTGTTGTAAAGATGTAATCCCAGTTTGATGACCTAACTAGAATTGTTCTAAAGATGTAAGCCCAGTTTGATGACCTAACTAGAATTGTTGTAAAGATGTAAATCCAGTTTGATGACCTAACTAGAATTGTTCTAAAGATGTAATCCCAGTTTGATGACCTAACTAGAATTGTTGTAAAGATGTAAGCCCAGTTTGATGACCTAACTAGAATTGTTGTAAAGATGTAAACTCAGTTTGATGACCTAACTAGAATTGTTGTAAAGATGTAAGCCCAGCTTGATGACCTAACTAGAATTTTTGTAAGCTCAGCTTGATGACCTAACTAGAATTGTTGTAAAGATGTAAGCCCAGCTTGATGATCTAACTAGAATTGTTGTAAAGATGTAAGCCCAGCTTGATGACCTAACTAGAATTTTTGTAAGCCCAGCTTGATGACCTAACTAGAATTGTTGTAAGCCCAGCTTGATGACCTAACTAGAATTGTTGTAAGCCCAGCTTGATGACCTAACTAGAATTGTTGTAAGCCCAGTTTGATGACCTAACTAGAATTGTTGTAAAGATGTAAGCCCAGTTTGATGACCTAACTAGAATTGTTGTAAAGATGTAAGCCCAGCTTGATGACCTAACTAGAATTGTTGTAAGCCCAGTTTGATGACCTAACTAGAATTGTTGTAAAGATGTAAGCCCAGCTTGATGACCTAACTAGAATTGTTGTAAGCCCAGCTTGATGACCTAACTAGAATTGTTGTAAGCCCAGCTTGATGACCTAACTAGATTTGTTTCTGGCTTCAGGTCCCGCTAGTACTGCCAGTGTGTGCCTGTGTGTTGACAGTTTCTCTGGTGTTCCTCTCAGTCCTAGAAAAACCAAAAGAACTTGGCTTTGTTGCCATGGTAGTTGCCCTTGGGGTCCCAGTCTACTTTGTGTGCATCAAATGGCAGAAGCCTGCCAAACTATTCAACAGTGTGGGTGAGTGCCAGTGATTTTGATGTTTGTTTTTCATTTTCTTGAGGATCTTTGTTTTCATGATGTTTTAAAATTAAGTAGGATTTAGATTCTGAAAACTGAATATAATGTTAAAATGCTCTTTAACTTCCCTAAAGATGAAATAATTTCTATTTAAACTGTTGTAAACTCCTCCTTTGATATAGTTTGTAGCAAACATTTCTCCTATTTTCTAACTCTGTTCTTTTATCTTAATGTATAAAGACATGGTTTTTTTCATAAAATGATGTTAATTTTGTTACATAATCAGTACTCAATAATACATTTTTAAAAATACCTTAGAATGTATTACAGGTGGAATTGGGAGAAAATATCTGAGTGAGTTAATTGGGCCTCTAATCTCATGAGGTTTGATCTTTGTTTCAGATTCCATTGGGAAATACTTGCAGCTCCTCCTTGATCTTCATTATGAAAAGAACTGATTTAAAATTACATCCCTTTATGCTCATTATGAAAAGAACAGACTTGAAATTACATCCCTTTATGTTCATTATGAAAAGAACTGATTTAAAATTACATCCCTTTATGCTCATTATGAAGAGAGCAGACTTGAAATTACATCCCTTTTATTTTATAATTTAAGATTAAACTATCTGTTATTTTAAACAGGGTATATTAAAACTTTTTATATAAATCTGTTATTTTAACTAGACTTTTGTTCAGTTTTAAAGTCTTTCATTTGATAATATTTTTGAAAATATTTAAACGACTTTTAAGCCAATTAAATCAGTTAAGTAATTATTTATTCTTAAAAACATTTTAAGTACATCTAAATTTTTATACCTATTCCTAAAAATGATTAAAAAGTAAGATAATGCATCTTAATAATATTTTTTTAAAATGTTATTAAAAATGTTTTACATGTTTAAAAACAAACTATATTTATTAAACTTAAAGAAATGTTTATTCACTATTCCATAATTTACATTATATTTTATTCAATATTCTATATTTTCACTCTAATCATATTGTTATGAAATCTATATATAGAATTTTGTATTTTTAGATACAAAGAAATCTCTCTTGCTTTTCACTTGCCTTTTAATGTGTTCTTTCTGACTGTAAAAGTGTAACTAATGCAGTGTTTTCATCAGCCTTGTTAGTTCTGTTTTGTCTTCTTACATGCAAAACAGTCTTACTACTTCGTGCATTCTCTAGTGTATTCAAAGCCGTCCACATACATAGAGTAATTATTTTTCTGTTGAAATCCTAAACTAATGTGAATTGTTAATATAACTTACATTTTAAAAATGATATCAAGTTGTTAAGAACATTTATTAAATTTGTTAACTATTTTTTGGAAAAACATAGCATTTTCTTTACAGTGATTTAATTTCAAAGAATTAATTAGCTTCTTATTTTTTTATATATAAATGTACATTTATATATAAATATAAAATAAAATAAAGATATTTCTGTTTCTTTGTATTGACACTTTTAACAATGTAATTAACTTAAGAATTTTGAGCATTTATAGAATACATAACTCATTTGTGTTAATTGCTAATTGAAGATTTTATTTTTCTAAGATCACAGTGGGCATATAGGCCTACAAAGGAAAAATATTTTGATAAAAAGTATTTGAACATATATCAGATAAGACATATTGAATCTATATCAGAAAGGAAAACAACCAAAACAATGTTTAACTGTGAGCAGTTATTTTCAAAATGTTTTTTGTCATTCTTTAGTTGTTTTTGAAAGTATGAAAATAAGTCTTTTGAAGTGAAAAAAATGGTTGATAAAATCCTTCTAAATTAAATTTAAATTTTACTGATAAACTGAATCAACAAAGGTATTTTTAAAAATTTCACTAAAACGCTGTTGAATATAAATGTTATTGTAAACCATTTTCACTCATAATAACAAGGTATATTTAATCTACAAAGCTATCTGCAGTATAATTTATTGACCCTAAAAATGGCTTAAAGTATTATGATAAATGTAGTGATGTTTTTTTCTGACATTGATATTCTGACACAAAATTTTCTTACAAAGACATTATTAATATTGACATTTTTGTTGGGAAATTTTAAAAAAATTATATGAACTACTTGGGGAGGTTTAATTTACATTCCTTGATACTTATAGCAATGAACTATTGTTTAAATGCTTTGATATAAACTGTTTTTAACTGTTTATTTGAGTTTATTTTTTTGAAAATCCACATATAGTAGTTATAAAAATGCTATAGAAATAATTGTTAATTCTATATTTTCAAAGAGCATACAAGTTAAATTTTCAGTATTTTAATATTTAAAGAAGTTGAGAAACTTGAGTTACATAACCAGCTTTTACAGTAAACTAGAGTAAAAATTAATCAAGCATTAACTTGAATACTTTTTGTATGTCTCGTATTTACATTTTATTAACTTTTGGGACATGTTGAATAAATGATATTTCAGATGTAATAATGTCTTTTTTCAGCAATATAAAATGCGTATTTACAAAAATATTTTATTTAAAACTATTAAATGTTTATATGAAATGGAATAAAATCCTATATTTTTACCAATGATGAAATGGAAAGTAACCCAATATTTTTACAAATTATGAAATCAAACAAAATCCTATATCTTTAGATAATGATTAAATGGAACAAAATCCTATATTTTTACAAATGATGAAATGGAACAAAATCCTAAATTTTTACAAATGATGAAATGGAACAAAATCCTATATTTTTACAAATGATGAAATGGAACAAAATCCTATATTTTTAAAAAGGTTGAAATGGAACATAATCTAATATTTTTACAATTGATGAGATGGAACAATTTCCAGTATTTTTACCAATGATGAAATAGAACAAAGTCCTATTTTTTTCCCAATGATGTAATATAACAAAATCCTATATTTTTACAAATGATGAAATGGAACAAAATCCCAATGGAACAAAATCCTATATTTTACCAGTGATGAAATGGCATGATTTTTGCAGTTTGTTAAAATGTTTAAATTTTTACCATTCCTTATTAAATTATATGCTAATATATTCTAATTCTGTTACAAGCTGTTTATGCACAAAAGTACTAAGATAATGTGATTTGTAAAAATAGAGCTGTTCCCATCTCCTCCCCCCTCCCAGTCAGCAATAAACTTAAACCAGTATATGTTTTTCTAGATTTGATTGTTTCTTCTTTAAAGCATGTTATTTTTTTATTTAGTAGCATGAGTTTTTGATTTTAGAAGTGTAAAAAATAAAGCATGTAAAAAGTCACTGCTATATTTAGTTGGACTTTATCAACAAGCTTTTTTGCTTATAAAAACTTTTGTGCCTGAATATTTCCTTTCTAGTATGTTTAATGCAATTATTGTTCATTTTATAGTTATTTTCATTTAAATAAAATGAAATATTAAATTATTTATAACCATTCAGAACTATTTTTTAAAGTAATAAAGCAACCATCTTGCAGTCTTTCATCAGGAAAATGAGAAAAGGAAGGCTTTTTTTTTTTAGTACTGATGATCTTTTATTCTATGATACACATTGTTCATCACTGGGTTTTTGTAAAATTAATGAAATTGTACACTTTTTTGTTGGAAAATTATAAAAACCAATCCAAAAAACTCTTGTGTACCTAAATGTATGTGATGTGATCGTGTGATAACAGTAGGTTAAGCAAATTGCAAAGTGATATTTTAAAACATTTTTATGTGATAGTCATTTGCTGACATTTGGAGTACACAGAAAGGACTTTTTTAAATTAAAAAATGTAAAATATTATCTTTTTTTTGTTGATATTTTTCTCAAAAAGATTTTTTACTTATTTTATGTCTCTCATTTAATATTTGGAAATTTTTTTTTCATGTTTTGTATTTTTTTTTAATGCTGTTTCTGGGTTTTCTTTGAATTAGTAAAAGAAACTTTGTATGTTATCTTTATTTTTAAAATTTCTTTCAGATTTTTAATAATTCTCATCAAACTGAAGATAAGAAAGGAGTATTATTTTACACAATGTGGAGCTCCCTCTACTGAAAGAAGGTATGCATCCCCAGGAAAGATTGTAGATCTTTTAGGATGCTAGAATCTACAGGGTCAAAAGGAAGGGTGCTAGAATCTACAGGGTCAAAAGGAAGGGTGCTAGAATCCACATGGTCGAAAGGAAGGGTGCTAGAATCCATATGGTCAAAAGGAAGGGTGCTAGAATCTACAGGGTCAAAAGGAAGGGTGCTAGAATCTACAGGGTCAAAAGGAAGGGTGCTAGAATCCATATGGTCAAAAGGAAGGGTGCTAGAATCCACATGGTCAAAAGGAAGGGTGCTAGAATCCACATGGTCAAAAGGAAGGGTGCTAGAATCCATATGGTCAAAAGGAAGGGTGCTAGAATCCACATGGTCAAAAGGAAGGGTGCTAGAATCCACAGGGTCTAAAAGAAGGGTGCTAGAATCCACATGGTCAAACTAGTCTCTTGTCTCAGAGTTGAGAGCTAACCTGACTGCTATGGCGTTTGTCATCAAATTGTAGCTGGTGTTTGTGCTACCATTACATGTTTTGGTTATGGTGTTCTTGTAAGCCTTTTATTTAACTTTTAAAATGATTTATAATCCATTTGATCCTCCACACAACAATATTCTGACCTCCTTTGAAAATTTCAAATGCAATTATCTTAGTTGTAATTAATTAACTATAAACAACCCTAACAAAAGTAACTTAATTATTTACATCATACAGTGGTTTACCCTTTACACATTGTTACTGATGAACTGGTTTATGTATTTAAGAGTTGGATTAACTATAAATAACAATAGTTCTGAAACAGTTCCCTGTTTTATTGTGTCAGTATACAGCTTGTTTATTACCACCAAGTATTAGTCCCACTCTTATACTTTCTAAGAAGGAGTAAAAATAGATTGCAATAAGTATTATTATAGTGCATTTATATTTCACAATGAGTAAAAACAGTTCCGTTAAGTATTATTATAGTGCATTTATATTTCACCTTCTAATTTTTATAAATCAACTAGCACCCAGTTTGAAAATGTTTTTATCACACATAAAAAGTGTGATGATTTCTTTTGGTCAACACTATACTATACATTTGGTGAATCTCATGTTTAATTCTGGTAGCTTATTTTTGTAGAAATTGAAAGTTTACTTGCTTTGTTTTTCTATAATACACGTTTTTCTTATTGTACAGGAAAATCCTTTTAGCTTTAAAATAAATTTAATTGACTGTTTAAATTAGGTTAACATCCACATGCTTAAATGTTAATTAACTTATCTCTGTAAGTAATATTAAAAGTTTAAATGCTAATTAACATAATCCTTTTGTGTTTTCCTTGGGTTAGCCAATGAATTCTTTTGAATAGATTGTCAAACAATCATCAATGAAAGGTTCAGAAACTCACTGAGTTGTTGCTGTTGTTGGAGTCTTTAAGTCTGATTTGTATCCAGGTTCTTTAACAGGGCTCCTAGCTGGGGCTCCAGTAAGCTTGTTTCTAGATACATTAGAACTGTTGGATTCAGCTGTTGGATTTGGTCCAGGCTACTTGGAGTATTTGTATCTGCTTAGAGCTGTGTATGTCTAGGCTAGCCTTGCTTAAAAAAAACAATAGTAATGTCTGCTCTCAAAGATTATGTAATGCAGATGTTGTGGTATGCTTGAAGTATTTTGTTACAGTATTCATGAATTATATGATGGTTTATTAACTAAGTCTAATAATTTTTTAACCCTTTAGCCTATATGTTTAAACAGCTAATTATTGCTTAGCACAATTACTCTGAATAGCTTGAGGTTAATTATGTATTTTGTGTTGGTGGACTTTGATCACACTCAACACAGTTATCCTACATTCCAGGTGCTCACTGCTTGCTTTTGGAAACATAAAGTACCACAGAAGGATGTAAACAGCCGTTACATTTTTTAAAACTTTGTTTTTATTGCTTTTTAATTGTTCAGTCTAACAAAAACAACTTTGATCTTTCTTTTAAAAAAAATTATTTTAATTGTTTGTAATTCTATTAGTTGTAATGTAAAAGGGCATTAATTGCTAATATTTAAATATGTAGATCTATTTAAACTTCAAATGTCAGAAAATAAAGATTTACTGTTGACTTGCCAAAATGTAGTTTGCTCTGTTTGATGATCAATATTTTATCTCTTTGGTAACAATTTTAGTGTGAAAATAAATTACAATAAATTGATCTTGTGTAATCAGTATTTGGTGTTCTAGTTTTAATTAGTACAATAATACCACAGCATGGCATGGAGGTTAACAGAAACAATCATTAAATTATGTTAATTCTTTTATTGTTTCAATTCTAGGTGTTAAGAATTAAATTTTGATAAATAATCATTGAAAATTACTTTGGTCTGAAGCGTCTTAATCACAAGTTTTCCTTTAATTAATACTGATATGTAATAAGGTTTTCACTTTCAATATAAAGGAAATGGTATATGCAAACACATTTCTATTGTCATCAACATATTAACATAAAAAGTTTAGATCATAAAATTATTATGACACCATAGCAAAAAGTTCTGAAAGGCACATAACCCTGACATTTCCATACTTTAAGAGATAAATATGATACTAATGTTTTTTCTAAATACAGCAAATAAAGTTGAATCGACTAAGAACTAGAAGAACTAAGTCTTAATTTAAAAAACAGAAAAATTAAATCATGTTAGGGTTGGCATGGTCGAGTCGGTAAAGCTCATGGTTGCTAAACCGAAAAGTCTCGAGTTCGAACCCTTGGGCAGATGAGGCTCGTTAGCTGGGGACAGCCACTCTTCTAGGAGAGACAACTCCAAAATCAAACAACTGCTGCCTTGTAGTTTGTTCTTGGTTGGACAATGGCTATGGAAGCAAATCCAAAAAGAAAAGCAGGCTGAAATCGGAGTCAATGGCCTCAATGGCGCATAACCAGTTGACACGTAATCCTTAATTGTGATGGAAGCATGGTCGAGTCGGCAAAGCTCATGGTTGATAAATTCGAAAAAAGTCTCGAGTTCAAACCCTCAGGCAGATAAGGCTCGATCCCTCCCAACACTAAAAATTAAGAACGAAGAAGAAGAAGAAATCATGTTAAAATAAAAATTGTATTAGTACTAGCACACAATATGATACATTTGTGAACAAATGACTAAATTAATTTTAAGACTACAACAAGACTTTTGTACAAAAAGGTTGGTTTTAAAATTTGTAATTGAAAAGAAAATACATTTCTATACAAGCTAAAAAGGTAAACATTTGGACACTTTAGTTGAACCTGAATAATGAAGCGTATAAATAAAATATTTTAGTTAAACCACAATAAATTTTATAAGACTATTTTCCTTTTCTTATTACTGCATTTTCATTAGATTCCATCGATGTAATTTTTTTCCCTTCTTCAAATGCTAACTGCAGTTTTAGCAAAGTGTTTGCCATTCGTTCAGCTTTTTCATCCCCTCCAAATACTTTTTTCATTTGCTTAAATTGTAATGCTTCATTATTTTTGTCTTGTTGCTGTCTCTCAAATTCCTGGTAGTTCTGATAAAAAATTATTTGTGTATTATAAAACCATTTAATTTTGATAAAAAATAAATAATGAAATATCTTTTTGATGAAAAACAAAAAATAAAAGAATAAATGAAAATTCTTTAATTTAAGAATAATAACAATAGACCATGGTTTTAGCAACAGATTAGCCAACTTGGAGAGCTTGATAAAATAAGCAATTAAGAGAAGGTTTTTAAAATCCTAACCATAAAAGCAGACTCTTTAAAGTGTTGTTGCATCTTGTCCTCTGCACTTTTCTGTCTTAAAGAACTTGTTCTGGTATGTCGTAAATTTGAACTAGGTATTACTGCTGATTTTGAGTATCTTTCCTTTTGAGCTTTTACTTTTAAATGATGCTCAAGACGAAGCATTTCCTCTGCTTCTTGAATTCTATCAAAGATATTCAAGTGTGCTTTTTGATAGGGCCAATGTGTGATTATCTTTAGTAGTCTCGTTCAGAATTTAAAATGAAATGCTTTAGAACAAGGAGGAATTTTGCATTAGGTTAGAAAACAAGTTAGGTAAAACCTTAAAGAGTTAGATCATTTCAGCCAATATTCTCCTTACTTTTATAAGACTAATCTGATAGAATTTTTACTACTATATTTTTTAATCTTACAAATAAGCATTAAAATGAACATAACCTTGAGAAATTACTTCAACTATCCAATATTAATGAAAGACTAACTTTTTTTCTCGTAGTGATCTTCTTTTTTTGACCTCAGTAAAACTTGGGAACATCTTGTTGCCACTGAGAGGTTGAGTTTGTTCCACTGGCTGTAAAGGAGTAACATCTGAATAATTTACCAAGGCACCGTGACCTCGTGGGCAGAAGAAATATCTTTTTCCATTGTAGATACCATTGTGGGTAGAGTATACTTCAATGTAACATACAAACAACATCACAAGTGAAAAAATTGGTTTCAAAAGCAATTTTAACAGTTCCATTTCAATAGCAATGACTACATTATTAATATTTAAAGTATATAAAAATAGTTTTGTTGTGGGTGTTACTAGTGTTACATTGCTGACAATATTTATTTATCTAATACCACAAATGTTTAAGAAATTTTAAATGAAGTTTAGACATCTATTATAGTAATAATAAAACAATTTAATTACATAAGCATATAATAATTATAATAGATTGACGACAGAAGCCTGTGGTTGTATATAACACGTTTAATTTGGGTCTAACTACCACGATGGTAACACACAGAGAGGACGGAAGGAAGTACACAAGGGACATCACTCAAGATAACAATATTATAAATATAACTAATACAGAAGAGTGAGTTCCCTTGACCTCACAATTATTTCACTCTATTACATCCCTTTACCCTTAGAACACAATAACACATCTCTCAATAGAACAATTGATAGTATCCTAAAATCACCAATTATATTGTAACATGAACACTATGGTAGATTACATCCTTACAAACAATGCACAATATGCTACAACATAATCAAAATACAAAACAATAATGTCAAAGTCCTTTTGACCTTTAGAATCATAGGTCTAACTTATTTGGGACTTTGATTGTCCTGCTTGACCTTCTCAGTGGTCTTTGATTTGGTGACTCAATATTCTGACCATCTGGATTCTCTATCTCAGGAGGTCTAGGATTTAAATCATTAACTCCAGAATTTACATTTTCTGACTCTAGACAACTTGGTTCACTCATATCAACAGAACTTGGTTGTGGAACAAACTGAGTTGGTGTGAACTGATCAGATTTGGTGGGATTGACAGATTCACACTTATTATCTGCACAAGTTATTTTTAACTTTATAAGACACAGGTCCTGTACATTGAACAATTTGACCTGGTATCCATTTTTCCTTTTTCCCATAATTTCTTAGATACACATTCTCATTAACACCAAATTCTCTTTCAATGAATGTTTGTCATGATCTAATTGAACTATTTTTGAATTGGCATCTGCAAGTATTATGCTATTATTCAGATCCTTAATTGACATAGATTTCTTTGATTGATCAATTTTCTCAGGTAATCTGATAGTGCTTTCCTGGTAACCAAAAATACTGTTTACAAGTAATATCCTGGACCATATCACTTTGCAACTGTCATTTAGTATTTGAAGTGGGTGTATTAAATGGCAAAAATCTTTTTTTTTTTCTTTCCTTTTGATGTTACCTTTTTAGTTTCTGTAAGTGCTAATGATGTTAGCAAAGTTGTTTGATGATCACATTCCTTCTTACTAATGTATTCTCTTTAAAACATTTGAAATTGCCATATCACCACAATCATTTATTAAGTTACAAATACTTTGTTTAGGCAACTCTGACTGATAATGGACTGCATCTTCTCCATCTTTTATATTATCTTCACAAAGGGTTTTATTTCTTATTTTATATGGCCTTAAGTCATCATTCACAGACTCTTCAGGCCAACCATTCTTACAGTACTCATATATTTTTATTAAGCACTCATCTTTTTGTGTTTCTCTTTTAATATCATTCACATTTATATTGGAGTTATCCATGATAGTGAAGAGAACAAATACATCTTCTGGTACATAGCTCAGGCTTTGGTTTTTTAAAGGTAATCTACTAAGACTATCTGCACTATTCTCAGATCCAGGTTTGTATTTCAATTCATAATTGTATGCAGTTAGTGTGATAGCCCATCTTTGAATTCTTGGTGAGGCATGCTCAGGTAGGGTTTTGTTTTCTCCAAATAAACCTAGCAATGGTTTATGATCTGTAAAGATGGTGAACTTCCTACCAAACAGAAACTTATGAAATTTCTTAACACCAAAAATGATGCCTAAGCCTTCCCTATCTAACTGAGAATAATTTTTCTCAGCCTGGTTCAAAGATCTACTGGCAAAAGCAATGGGTCTGTCACCCTTCTCATCCATGTGGGACAAGACTGCTCCTACACCATCTGGTGAAGCATCACATGTTAATATAAGTCTTTTCCCTGGGTCATAGTGAGTTAGTAAGGTGTCAGCAGACAAAGCCTCTTTTGCTGTATTAAAAGCAGCTTCTTGTTGTTTACCCCAGTGCCAAGTTGCATTTTTCTGTAGCAGCTTGTACAGTGGTGATAGTTTACCAGACAGATTTTCTATGAACTTTGCATAGTAATTTATCAAGCCCAAAAAAGCTCTTAGTTGTTGGGTATTTTCAGGTTTGGGTGCTTCTTTAATGGCTTTTGTTTTCTCAGGTTGAGGTCTGATGCCTTGCTTGCTTAATATATAACCAAGAAAACTAATTTCTGTCAGCATGAATTGACATTTATCTTTGTTTACCTTTAAACCTTTTTCACCAACAATTTTTAATACTTTATCAAGTGTTTTAAGATGTTCAGTGTCATTCTTACCAGTTATGTACACATTGTCAAAGTACACACAAACATTTGGAATGTCCTTAAAAATACTGTCCATGACAGCTTGGAAAATTCCAGGGCTAGATGATATGCCAAAACATAGTCTTTCATATTGGTAGAGTCCTTTATGTGTGTTTATTGTCGTATAGACTTTTGAATCTGGATGCAGTTCTAGTTGAGTGTAAGCATGACTAAAGTCTAATTCAGTGAATTTGTCTCCTCCTGCCAAATTCAAAGAAATTTCCTCAATGTTAGGTATAGGGTACCTATTTAGCTCTATTTGCTTATTCAGTGTAGTTTTGTAGTCTCCACAAATTCTTATAGAACCATCCTTCTTTAACACTGGCACAATGGGTGTCGCCCAATCGGAATAGTCTACCTTCTTTATAATGCCATTAGATTCCAATCTACTTAGCTCATTTTCAATTTTATTCCTCATTGCATAAGGTGGAACTCTAGCTTTGCAGTATCTTGGATTTGTATCTTTAATGCTTAACTTCACTGTTCTATCATTTAGTAAAGCTGAATTACCAAAAACACATTTATTTTCAGATATAACTTTATCTAGTGAAGTAAGACTAGATTCTTTTACATTCTTCAATGAACAAATACTCTCCCAATTTAACTTAAGATCACTTAACCAGTTCCTACCTAGTAATGGCGGTCCATTTCCTTCAACCACAAGAAGAGGAAGTTTAACACTTTGACCATTATAACTTACATGAACCATACACTCTCCTATTACCGGAACATTGTCACCAGTGTATGTTGTTAGACACTTGTGACATGGCTGTAGAGGCACTGATTTTTCTGTGACAGCGTCAAAATCTTTCTTTGTGATGACTGTTAGAGATGCTCCAGTGTCAAGTTGGAAGCTGATGCTCTTACCGTTGATATAAACTGGTACATTGATGGGAGCATGACTTATTGATTTAACAGAGAACAGGTTGAAATCCGGCTGCAAATCAATTTGAGCATTTTCACAGGTAGAGTGGTTCATTGGTTGGGTTAGGTAGTCTTGGTGAGAGTTAACATAGTGCTGCTTTTGGTTGCGGTACTGTCTTGACTGGCTAGATTTAGCAACAGACGAAGACTTTGCAAAGCAGGCCTTAGCAATGTGACCTTGCTCACTGCACTTATAACAAGTTGCAGACTTGAACTTGCATCGATGAGATGCATGGGGACCTTTGCATCGATGACATTTTTGATAATTATTACTAGATTTAGATCTAGGATTTGAACGAGCAGGGTGTTTAGCATAAGTTGGAATGCTCTGTTGGGGTTGATGTTTATTGACTAACCTGCTGTTTACTGCATGGATCTCTGAAGGTGCTAAAGATCTCGCCGCATCTGATGACTGCTGGAATGACATTGCAAGTTGTATTGCTTTTTCCAATTTTAGATCTGACTCGAGCAGCAACTTTCTTTGAATATCAGGGCTGTTTACACCTGTCACAAACTTTTCACATAATCTGTCAGACAGCGTTTCTCCAAATTCACAAAATTCACTTAAATGACGTAAAGCAGCAACATATTCTGATATTGACTCGTTTGGTTGCCGAGTCCTACTGTCAAATCTAGCTCGACATAGAAACTTTGATGGGGTAGGCGCATGGTGGTCTGTTAGCAATTTGCTCAGCTCGTTAAAGCTCTTGGTAGTTAGACTGGCTGGTGCGCATAAGTCTTTTAGTAGCCTAAATTGTTGAGGCCCTATGACTGTTAACAAAACAGCTCTCTTTTTGGCTTCTATCGTCACGTCGTTAGCTTCTAGGTAAAAGCTTAACCTCTCTAGGTAATCTTGAATGATTTCATCATTCGCATCAAATTCTTTTATTTGGCCATACAGCGCCATAATTCTAGAAATAATTAGCTAATAAGCTCTAGCAAACCTCTTTTTTGCGTAAGTAGGTGCTCTTTCTAGTAGATGTTTATCCTTCGTCGCCAGTTATAATAGATTGACGACAGAAGCCTGTGGTTGTATATAACACGTTTAATTTGGGTCTAACTACCACGATGGTAACACACAGAGAGGACGGAAGGAAGTACACAAGGGACATCACTCAAGATAACAATATTATAAATATAACTAATACAGAAGAGTGAGTTCCCTTGACCTCACAATTATTTCACTCTATTACAATAATAATAATAATAATAATACATTACAACAAAAAACAAACTACCATTGTCATAAAGGCAGATTCCCACTTTAATTCTGGGTCTTTTCAAATGCTCATCTGCATAACCAACAAACTGGACAACACCTAGTAAAAAAATATAAACAGGTGATTCATCTTACATCAATTCAAATATGAAATAGCAATTGTACACAATCAAAGTAGTAATACAGCATGCTTTATAATTGTTTTTTTTTACATCTGTAATTGTAATCAAATAGGTAGGCTACCAGAGATGTTTAAAAATGCTCCTGAACTATTTTCACATTCACAGCAAACACACTTCTAACATATTTGTTATAAGTTTAGAGGTTACCAGCATAATTATATTAATTAAAGCCAGAATTCTTTTTTAAAGTTTATTTTACTTTACATTTCTTTTATAAAGGCCCCTATAGGCCCTTCTTCATTAGAAAAAGTGCAGAAATGCAGATAGAAGTATAATTTGATAGATTTAGCAGTGGCACTTCTACTGTTTCAGTTAGCATTATGAAAGCTATACACTAAGAAGTCTAATTGAATTGGGTTATAGTTGGATTATAACACTATGCTGTAATTTTTAATATGGCTAACTTTTTATTGAACAGAGTCTAGCTTAAAATCTAAACCTAATATTACTGCCTGCAAGAACTTACCTGTAAAGCTCTAGACAGAGAAAGAAATGTTAAGAATTAAGTTTAGGACTAGGATGACTGCAGGTAGAGTTGATCTAAGATTAAGTACTTTTTCTTCCATGTCAACACAAAGAGCTAAAAGTGCAGACAGTAGATTTCTATAGTACAAAATTTAAGTTTGTTACAATGTGCAGCAGTCACTAGCCAAGTTTCCATATCCAAGAAAAATAAACTCAGGAAGATTTACCACGACATTGCTTATAATTATCACAATGAATAGCCCTTCCATCAACAAGAACTCTGTCACCCTTTTTTAATGATCTAGACTGAGATTCTTCTAATGTGGCAGATCCCTCAGAGCAGTGTTCAATTGCAGGATCTTCTTTTCTCTGAAACATTTATGAAGGACAGTGGCACTCTCTAGGTAAATGTAGGTAGTAGTAAACAAGAGATTGCTCTGTGAGGGAGCTAGGACTGTGTAACTGCTAAAGTGTATGCAAGATACTTTGTTAGATGGTTTGTCTGTTCCAGTTGTATCCAAAAGAATTATTGAAAGCTCTTAGAAAACAGCAGGATGTACTGAAACCTTTTTTTTAAATTAACGTTTGGTGGTGTGGGTGGTGGGTTCTGGCTTTTTATGTTGTGTGATAAAGGGGGAAGATTCAGAAAGTGTGAAAGGACACGTTTGAACTTTTTAAAATAATTTTTCATAATGAATTTTAGCCGTTAATTTGCATTTTTTTTACAGGCTTGCTAATGAATTGTTATACAAGTTGATCAGTATAAGTCTATCTTATAGCTCACCCAGCTATCTTAATATTTTAGAAAGAAATTAATATATAAAAAAAAACTATAAATTGCAAATTAGGGTTGGAAGGTAGGCTTAATATCATTTTAAAGGATGGAATCTGACTTTTTAAGATTCTGCAATAAAAATGTAGTCTAATAGGAAGTACCCTAAGTGTAACAATGTTCAGGCCAACAAGATGGTTCCTTTAAGGCGAGGAGGTCCTCATTGGTAATGAAAACCCTGCTAGTCTTGCAAATCTCCTGACATTTTTAACACAAGACTACACAGAAATGGATGCCTTTCCATCTTATACCACACAAATTTTCATAATTAATTGTATAACTATTAAATAAAATGTGATTGAATGGTAACAAGAAACCATAATAAACATCAAGCAATTCAGATTTGCACAGCTTCATTTTGTCATGATATGCTATGGGATAGAAGTCAAATGGGTGGTAAAAATCATCATTCATGGTTGCTAAACAGAAAAGTCCCGAGCTCAAACTCCTAGGGCAGATAAAGCTTGATAGCTGAAACAGCAATCCATCTTAGGAATCTTAGGCATCTAGGATATTTGGTAATCTTAGAATTTCAATCTAGATATATTGTTGACAGTAAATTCTGCCTAAGCTAGTTACTAGTTAGTTATGTGAAAGAATAGTGAATAAATCTACTGTACTATCTTCTAGTCTTGGTCTAGGAAGTCTAAACTGTCTAATTCCTAACAGAAACTAGCAGCTAGATACTAGATAAGTAACTATAATCTATATAATATAATATATAATAATATAAATATAATTATTATTATTTATTTATTAAGTTCAAAATAAATTAAATAAGACACTTCCTAAAAAAATAGGCCCCTAGCTGCTAGCCCTAGTTAAAATTAATAAAATACCTTTATATTCAATTTAAGTGGCATTATATTCTTTTAAAAGGTCCAAGTCAGAGAAATTCTCAGCGAGAAATAATGTTCGTTCAAGTGTCTTGTAAAACTTTTAACTTAAACTGTTCTAACACAAAAAATTAAGCCCTAGCTTTATACTTTATAACACTTGTAATAGTGTGTTTATGCTTCCATGACACCAGTTCCGGTTCAATGTCGCTTAAAAGATGAAACATAACTAATTATATTTTGTATTCTTAAATATAATTAAGACTATTTAAAAAGAATTTATCTTGTCATTATATTTATATGTATTTTTTTAATGTTAATTATTATACTTTTTATTAATAGTAATAGTAGAGTTATAATAAATAGTATGTATATTTTAACAGTCATAAGCTTACACTAACAAATGACTGGTGACGAGTATTGTACATTTTAGTAAGCTATTTTGGAATCTAGATTAGATCCTCTAGTCCAGTTATTGTTAGATCACTTTTATCTAGATCTAGATCTAGATCTAGATCTAGTTAGTAACTGTAATGTTAATTCTAGTGTTAGATCATAAACGATTTCCCATAATGCTTGTTTACGAATGCCTATGAGTAATTCTGTGAAATTTAAGACGAAGTCAAACAGATCAAGGTAGAGTGTAGAATAAGATAATCATAATAATTATTAATTAATAATTAATAGTTAAGTTAGGCCTACTAGATTTCTAGATCTAGTGTAGTCTAGAATCTATCTAGAATGTAGATCTAGATTACTTTACTGTAGAATTAGAAATTGGTAATCTATCGTTTTAGGTACGTAAAATCGGCCGAGACTAGATTCTAGTAATGTGAAAAACAGGTGACTCCATAAATTTTAATAATTAGGGCCTATTTAACATTTTTGGAGGATTTGTAAATGTTTTGAAAAAATGTTTGTTTCATTTGTTGACATTTGATGATTTATGTACCTATTTTTAAACAATTGTATTAGCTAGGCCAATGCCGCTGCCGAGAAAATCGGACAAATCGGCTTTTCCCTACCCCCTGCATGTTTAACTCTGTTTTTTTGCATGCTTTTATTGTGTATATTAACATGTTATACATCATTCTGTTCGTAATTGAATTACCTTTTTAACTGTATTAGTTTGATTTCTCTATTATTTCAGACGTTGAAGAAATCGCAGATTAAATCGCATTTTTTACCCTCCGCGGCGACGTGCCGATTAGGGAGGAGGCTTTTTCACCTTTTTAAAAGGGGGGTGTTACTTGGAGTCTATAGACTCTGTGAGTTTTCGTACTACAACTGTGAAACTTGGTAGAAGAATAGATTAAATGTACACGTATAACGCTCAGGGTTCTTGGTTAAAATATGTTAAATACTTTCGGAGATATCAGACCGCAAAGTTAAACTAAGTTATTTGAGCTATTTATGGACCGATTTTTTATTTGAACCCTGAGCTGTATTCCTGAAATCTCGACGTTTATTAATATGTATGATATGTCCTATAAGGCCCTATAATAAGGACGTCTATAGACTTTGAAGTGGACCGAAAATATAAACACGACGCGCCGACCGCTGTCCGACTGAACCGCCCTGCTGTGCTTCAAATCGCCGTCTTTAACCTGATGACGCGTTACAAAATTTGTATACACGTATCGAGTTTACGTACTACAACAGTTAAATTTGGCAGACGAATACATTAAATGTAGACGTATAATATAACGCTCAGGGTTCGTGGTCAAAATAAGTTAAATACTTTTGGAGATATTGGACCGCAAAGTTGAACCAAGTTTCCCGGTCTATTATTGGACATATTTTACATTTGAACCCTGAGCTGTATTCCCGAAATCCCGCCGTTTATTTTAATGTATGACATGTAATATAGCACCTCGTAATAAAGCCGTCCATACATTTTAAAACCGAACGAAAATAAAAATTAACGCGTCGGCCGCCGTCCGACTGATTGGTGATCTACACATCGTGTGGCACAGCCGAGTGTGTGGTCACGTGACGCTAGGCGCTTGATCCGATTGGATGAGACTATAAACAATGTCTAAAGATAGATACATGTGTTCCCGTGTTTGACTCGACGGCTACTTTATATTTATAAGCACACAGACATGTTGCATAACTTTGTCTTAACCCATTGAAACGTCAAACAAAAGTTGTGTTAGTATTTACGGCTGAAGACTAATCGTCAAAATTAATCTTCTTTAGAAATTAATCCGAATAGCTTCGGCCCGATCAAACAATGCTGTGATTCGTGTAACGTTTCATTATTGTGTACATTACATTTTCGTAAAAATGGCTTTAAAAATAAATTAAATTATATCCGGGGCTCTTTTCTACAAATTTTAATACCACTAGCTTGCCAAATCGACCAAAATGGGGTGGGGTGGATGGGGGTAGCCACTGACCATCCTACACCGTATGTAACACCCATAGCCTCACCCCGCCCCCACTAGTCCGTGACGCGACAAGCCGACGAGCATCGCTTTTGATGTTGTATAACACCCGTACGGTACACGGTGGTTTCATACCCCACCTCCCTCCCCCTTCACTTTGTGGAGTTGATGTTACTAACCCTCGGGCATAGATCAGGAAATCTTGCCAGACTTTTGTCTCTGAGATTACATAATATTCATCTGACATGTTCATCGGGTTGGCCGACTAGCCTATTCAGCGGTCGTGTTTACGTAATAGGGCAATAAAATTCGTTGGTCAGAAGACCTGGTTACCCACATGTCTGATTGAACTAAATCTAGGCAAAAGCTGGTGGTGGTACACGTGTCTGTGTATAGCCAAACAGGGTAGTCTTACACAATTTCTAGAATCTACTAGATCTACACAGTCAAGCACTCAAACACATGCTTTTTTCTTAAGAAAGTTTTTAATTGTAAAAGGGCTACTGGTAGGCTTACAAAATACATAAACATACTTACTACTAGCATAAACATTGGGCATAAATATAAATTTATGTTATGTATCTATAACTAGATCTATACCTTGTGCAAGTTTTAAAAAAAAATATTTTCCTCCAAAGTTTATTTTATTGACATTGTAAAAATGATTAACTTTAATATGGGTAATAATATTACGTAATTACCATAAAGCACACTCTGATTCTGATCAAACACATTTGTAACTAGACTAATTCTATAGCAAAAAGGATTAAGATATTTAAAATAACAAGAAATATAATTATAATGAGATAGGCCTTTATTTTTGGAACAGAGTAGGCCTATAGTATTGCACATAGATTACATAACATCTTTTAAGAAGTTACATAATCACAAATTTACTATAGCATTCTTCTCTTTGTATTGAAAAACTTGATTAGTTATATTTTCTTCTAGTAGGCTATTAACTTGAAGTTAACTGACAATGAGCAAACGTGATTTTAAAACAAATTCATGGTATATTTTGAGCAAAGGGTGGAATTACATAACCTTAACATTTGATAGTTATGTAACAATGTTGGACCATTTCAAATCTACAATTAGCTTGAGCATATACAAATGTCATATTTTAGATTAAAACAGCGTTACATTTAAAGAATTACTTCTTATCACGTTGATTATTAGATGTTTAAAAAAAATTTAAAGGGGGGTATTACATAATCTATGAGATTAGTAGGTTGAGTAATCGAAGGACACTTTTTAAAATAGCATCATTGGATTCAGCATACAAAAATCTATAAAATGTCTTAAAATTACATCAATTGATAAAGTATTCTGGCTTTTATACCACTTTTAGTGAAAAACGCTTAAAAATTTGGTCCATACCCTCCCAGTATTTTTCCTCTTTCAGGGTCTACCCCGGTTGTCTGAAAAAACTGCTGTTTTTTAATGACTAAAAAATTCATAACTTTTTTGTTTATGGTCAGATTTTGAAAATTCAAACTGATCTGTAATCAGATTGACAGCCCCTATCCAAATATGTAACTATTATATTGTTTTACTGAAATTAAATTTTTGCATTGGCCTAGCTAATTGTATTAAAACTTTTCAGTAATAAATGAAGACTAGCGATGTTTTCATTAGAACCATGCTCATTTTATTTAGCAGCCATCTTGTTTAAGTTATTTTTGGTAAAATTATAGTGGAGGATTCAGGGGAAGCCACTCTATTTTACAGATGGCGGCTGTTTGTATAGCAAATCTTGTTCGCAAACACTGCTGTTAAAAGTTAATTCCCGGCCTATATTGATATATTTATTATTTAGCCATTGATTTTGGTTTATGATTCAGTTATCTATAATATTTGACACAAATATTTCACAATAATATAGTAATATAGGCCTAATTCTATAAAAGCCTTGACAATGAGGTAACTTTTTTTTTAGCCGTGGCCGATTTTACGTACCTAAAGCGTTAGATTACCAATATTGTTTATTGTATGGCCAAGGCTATTCCCAGCCTCAATACGGCTATTCCAAGTCGGTGAGGTATAGATTAAGAGAGCAGTGCTATTTTTTATTGTGTTAGGCCTATATTTTCATAAAAAAATATTATGGTTTAAGTTTTGTTTAGCTTTTAGGCTCATGTCTGCTATGTCGGTCGTAGATGATCTGCTCATTTATCATTGTGCACTCTAGTTAAATCTATCTAGTCTAATTAATAGATCTAGTAATTTTTAAATAAATAATATTAATTATGCATCAGTTTAGTTAGTAGTTCACATTGCTATACAACTGTCAATTACCATTTAAAATCGCATAGAACAAATATCTGGTGAAAATAATGTCCTTTTTAATCAGCTATAATTCAAAGTTTCACCATTAAAGCTAGGTAGATAAAATTTCAAACTATTAGATTGTATGTGAAGAATTCTTTTAACTTTTTTACAATTTTTTTTACAATTTCTGATGACTGGAAGTTGCATGTTGCTCTTAATTCTTGGGAACATTATATTTAATCTTGAACTTGAATACTGTTTTAGTTAGGTGGATGAAATTTCATACATAATAAGTATAAAATCTTTAACTTGGATTACTCTCATATTTTGAGTGACCACCTAATCAGAAGTGGTACTTAACTCTATTTCCTGTTTTTAAAAGAAAACAGAAGTATCTTTTTCAATTAGAAGAATGACTTTTTATAAATAGGTATAAGATCTTATTCTCCTGATTTTATTAAATATGGAATGATTTTTGGTGACTGGAAGCATAACTTCTATCGGACTGATTTATTTCAAACTTTTCCCATAGTTCAAATCTCTATAACAATGAACTGTGACAATTAGATGTTTTAATTAACTTTTTAAAAATTAAAGTAATTTTCTGCTCACTTATGCACAAAATGTTTACATTCATTTGGTGCATAATTCTTTTTTCTACTCAATTCTATTCTATTTTTTAAAAAAGCTATTGAAACACTTTTATACCCAGATTGCATTTAAAGTTCCATCTCCCTCACTGTTATACGAGAAAGGGGAGCTCAGTCAGTTTTTATTTTCCTAAACAAAGAAGCAACTAAACTATTGGCCTAATTATCCCTTTATGAGCTCTAAATAATGGATTAATTCAACTCTAACTCTGATGGAAAGTACCATAAAATCATGCATACATTTAAAAAAAAAATATTTTTTATATCTCATAGGAAATTATTTCTGGTGCTTGACAATCGACTGTTATTTTAAATAATAAATTCCACTCACTATAGTTTATGCTTAAAAAAAACCCATGGCAACATGTTTTATGCTGTTACCCTCCTGTTTTTTTTTCTGAACAAAGTAGTTGCACATTTCATTAGCAGCAATGAGACAGCTTAGGTCAAGTTGCTGAGCAAGCACTACCATCAGAACAGTAGAAAATAAAAAAAAAAAAAAAAAAAAATGTAACCACATTTTAGGAAAAGTTCACATTTAATGCTGGTGAGAATGAAAAAACCTTATGAGAGATCTTCTGTTTTACTATTAGTGTGCCATTTTTGCCCTTATTAAGATTGTCATAATAGTTTTATCATAACCTTGGCCAAAGTGTATTGTGAAATAATAAGCACTTAAAAGCATTTACTAATACAGGCATAGAATACAACAGAATGTAAAGGAAATAGTGTTAAATAAATCAATTTTAAAAATCAATAACAAGTAGTTTTTGTAGCTTACATTTTATAGTAATTTATTACCACATATGCAGGGAATTCAAATTATTGTTTATCCCATATGCAGTGTCTCTAAGTGCTTTGTTCACATTTAGTTCTATCATATTGACATAAAGTGTAGACACACAACTTTAGCTGCACAATTGATCTCAACCCTTGCTTTTCCCTTGGTGATGAAGTTGTTGATTAATTTCTTGTGATGTCTTTTATTTTCCCCATTGACTAGTAGTTCTGGCCAGCAGCAATGACTGTTCAGCTAAGAAGCCTAACACAAGTAGGGTAAGGCACTGCCACTTCAGCCACCCTACATTTTTCACCCAGATATTTTGACTTTTTTTTATCCAGCATATAACTAAGCACAGTTTGCTTTCTTTTTTTTATCCTGTAATCCTGTAAATTACAATTTACATGCTAAGTTAGGTATTGAACTGTGTCAAATTTATTTACTACTCTTTAAAATATTCCTGCAAGTGATACAGGGCCTTAAATGCATGAAACAAATAGTTTTCAATACTTGAATTACTTGTGTAATTTATAATATACCAATCAATTCACCTGACAACTATATATGAGAACAATGTACTCAATAAATGGTGTATGTAAGCTATTCATTTGCTCTAGGCTATATAATACCTCCCTTAGAGATAAGTATAATGCAATAATTAATGCAGCCTAAATTAACTTCATATTCTGGCTTCATTTGTGAGGCAAATGAAGTAAAGTGTGATGATTCGTTTAGTAAGAACTTTATTTTGATATTACCATGTACACTTGTAGCCTACACAGATGGCCAATAGCTCAACCTATCATGTATTTTTCCCATTTAAAAAATCTAATTACCTTTCTTATTGATATCTGGTACACAAGCAATTGTTTTTATTAACCCATTACCGTAGAACTTCCAGTCTAATATATTTCCCCATCCAGTGCTATTAAACCTTAATCTCCACACCCTGTGCTGATAATTACTGTTACATTCCAATTAGCCATGAACTAAATAATTAGCTACATTTGACAACCTGTTCTACTGTGGTGGCCCTGTTTTCATCAAATGTTAAACCCTTATTTCTCCCATAACATCACACAACTATCACCTAATGAAAGTTTACACTTTAAGTCATGGCTTGCTTCATTTGTAAAAGTTAAAAAATAGTCTTCTGTAGTTTATAATTGCTCATTTTAGCTTAGATATCAAATGGATATTTTGCTGTCTTGTTTGTGGTTTAACAGTAAGGCTTCCTTGATTTTTTCACCATCATTTTTATGATTAGAATTTCATTTTTCCATTGCAATTGTTTTCTATTTATTCAAAGGTTATCTTTTAAAAAATTTAGTAGATCTGATAACATTTTATCCAATAAAACTACTGCATTAGGTATTTTTTAAAATAAAATATTAGTCTATTGTGAAACAAACTTTACAGTAATATATTAATATCAGTAATAATTATATTTTTTCTGCAATAACTTTGTTTGAATGGCTGTTGTATTCACAATCTTTAAATGTATAATTTATACGTCAAATGAAAACATACATTTTACTGAAATATATCACTTGTCAACTATTACATTTTGCCACTTTTTCTGTTCTGCTTCACACAACATATTTGAATTTGAAAAAAATTTAATGAGTGCCTAATCTGAATGTGTATCCATCACTAGCATGATTGTTAAGTGACTGCACTATGGAATGAATGTTTTAATCTTCTTGATTGTTACATACTGAATCTTTTTTTTTCTTCACTGGAATCAGAAATTGAATATTATGATTAATATATTAACTGAAATTATTTTATAAAAGGGTAAATTTAGTTCCAGCATTTTGTGTTTAAAATTTTTGGATAGGTTTTGTAAATCTGTTATTGTGTTGGCTAAAACATGTGCACACGTAAACTGTTTAAAAATATTATTTTCTAAAGTGTGTTTATTTGAATCATCAGATATACAAGTAGTTCAGAAGAAGAAGAAAATGGTGTCTGTCTTGACACTGTGCCCCTAATGTGTGGTGACAGCTTTGAGATGGATGAAAGTGACCGCCTCGTCAATGAAAGACGCAGGCGGTCTAGAGGTATCTTCAATCATCTCTCACAACGATTGTCCAATTTCTGCACAAAGTGAGTAGAAACCGACTTAAGATCGTGGAATTCTTTGAGTCATTGGATTGCCTGTATAGAATGTCAGAAGTGTAATTTTTTAAACATTTGTAATAATGTATTAGGAAAGTCTAACTTCACCTTGTTTCCATATCAGTGTTAGCACCACAAATGATTTCATAACACACTTTGTAAACAACCTTGAATCCATAATACAAATTGTAGTCTGTAAGATCTCATGACACACTGGGTGTAAACAAGTCATGATACTGTGTAGTTTCCTGTGCCAGTCTGTAAGATCTCATGACACACTGAGTGTAAACAAGTCATGATACTGTGTAGTTTCCTGTGCCAGTCTGTAAGATCTCATGACACACTGAGTGTAAACAAGTCATGATACTGTGTAGTTTCCTGTGCCAGTCTGTAAGATTTCATGACACACTGAGTGTAAACAAGTCATGATACTGTGTAGTTTCCTGTGCCAGTCTGTAAGATTTCATGACACACTGAGTGTAAACAAGTCATGATACTGTGTAGTTTCCTGTGCCAGTCTGTAAGATCTCACACTGAGTGTAAACAAGTCATGATACTGTGTAGTTTCCTGTGCCAGTCTATAAGATCTCATGACACACTGAGTGTAAACAAGTCATGATACTGTGTAGTTTCCTGTGCCAGTCTGTAAGATCTCATGAGACACTGAGTGTAAACAAGTCATGATACTGTGTAGTTTCCTGTGCCAGTCTGTAAGATTTCATGACACACTGAGTGTAAACAAGTCATGATACTGTGTAGTTTCCTGTGCCAGTCTGTAAGATTTCATGACACACTGAGTGTAAACAAGTCATGATACTGTGTAGTTTCCTGTGCCAGTCTGTAAGATCTCACACTGAGTGTAAACAAGTCATGATACTGTGTAGTTTCCTGTGCCAGTCTATAAGATCTCATGACACACTGAGTGTAAACAAGTCATGATACTGTGTAGTTTCCTGTGCCAGTCTGTAAGATCTCATGACACACTGAGTGTAAACAAGTCATGATACTGTGTAGTTTCCTGTGCCAGTCTGTAAGATTTCATGACACACTGAGTGTAAACAAGTCATGATACTGTGTAGTTTCCTGTGCCAGTCTGTAAGATCTCACACTGAGTGTAAACAAGTCATGATACTGTGTAGTTTCCTGTGCCAGTCTATAAGATCTCATGACACACTGAGTGTAAACAAGTCATGATACTGTGTAGTTTCCTGTGCCAGTCTGTAAGATCTCATGAGACACTGAGTGTAAACAAGTCATGATACTGTGTAGTTTCCTGTGCCAGTCTGTAAGATCTCATGAGACACTGAGTGTAAACAAGTCATGATACTGTGTAGTTTCCTGTGCCAGTCTGTAAGATCTCATGAGACACTGAGTGTAAACAAGTCATGATACTGTGTAGTTTCCTGTGCCAGTAGTTTGTGCTGACACTGTGACCAGCTGTTGCATGAACAGCTTATTCCTTGTAACATCCCCATGACTTGTATCACTGCCCATGACTTGTATCACTGCCCATGCTTTAAATAAAAATAAAATAAAATCATAGCAGTAACTTGACACCTGGCATTAAAAAGTGCTCTTATGAATCTTTTAACATTGCTGTTGACTATAGTTCAAGATGGTTTCAAGTTATCTTGTAATAGCATTATTCATCAAAAGCTTGAATAGTATACTGCGTTGATAATAAAGTTGTAGTGTAACTTTTGACTTGTGCCTTGGCTCAGCAGTTAAAAAATGCAACATCTGTGTACACTTTATAGATCTCATGTGTTTTGACACTTGAACAGCCTGCTCACTTGTATTGATATTATTTACTGTACATTCTTATTCATTTTTGTAGGGAAATACAAATGTGTTGACATTTTTAACAGCTTCAAAAGTTACGTCATTAATTATTGTTATTATTTCATAATTGATAGAGTATTTTTACATCATAAATATGTATTATTTTGTAAATACTTTGACACATAGTTTAGATCTAGTAGTAATAGTATAGTATGCTCCTTTTTGCATTATTCATGTCTGTTAAATATAAACATTATAATAGTGTTTTAATGTAGGTGTATCCTAAAATGTACCCACCACTTTCAAGTAGATAGTAAGATTTTAAAAAGAAAAACAAACTATTTAATTGTTTGGTTGTGTATGAGTTAATAAAATGTATCAGTCTGTTGAAAAAACTCATCCTGGAGGAGAAACTGCAGGACAGTTTAGGTAATTCAAACAAGAAGTCTGACCTAGTCTAGTTACTTGATACACTCAATGTATTCTTTCATCTCTCTGCACTTCTGTACATCTACTTTCTTATATAAGTCTGGCCTAGTCTAGTTACTTGATACACTCAATGTATTCTTTCATCTCTCTGTACTTCTGTACATCTACTTTCTTATATAAGTCTGGCCTAGTCTAGTTACTTGATACACTCAATGTTTTCTTTCATCTCTCTGTACTTCTGTACATCTACTTTCTTATATAAGTCTGGCCTAGTCTAGTTACTTGATACACTCAATGTATTCTTTCATCTCTCTGTACTTCTGTACATCTACTTTCTTATATAAGTCTGGCCTAGTCTAGTTACTTGATACACTCAATGTATTCTTTCATATCTCCGCGCTTCTGTACATCTACTTTCTTATATAAGTCTGGCCTAGTCTAGTTACTTGATACACTCAATGTATTCTTTCATCTCTCTGTACTTCTGTACATCTACTTTCTTATATAAGTCTGGCCTAGTCTAGTTACTTGATACACTCAATGTTTTCTTTCATCTCTCTGTACTTCTGTACATCTACTTTCTTATATAAGTCTGGCCTAGTCTAGTTACTTGATACACTCAATGTATTCTTTCATCTCTCTGTACTTCTGTACATCTACTTTCTTATATAAGTCTGGCCTAGTCTAGTTACTTGATACACTCAATGTATTCTTTCATCTCTCTGTACTTCTGTACATCTACTTTCTTATATAAGTCTGGCCTAGTCTAGTTACTTGATACACTCAATGTTTTCTTTCATCTCTCTGCACTTCTGTACATCTACTTTCTTATATAAGTCTGGCCTAGTCTAGTTACTTGATACACTCAATGTTTTCTTTCATCTCTCTGTACTTCTGTACATCTACTTTCTTATATAAGTCTGGCCTAGTCTAGTTACTTGATACACTCAATGTATTCTTTCATCTCTCTGTACTTCTGTACATCTACTTTCTTATATAAGTCTGGCCTAGTCTAGTTACTTGATACACTCAATGTTTTCTTTCATCTCTCTGTACTTCTGTACATCTACTTTCTTATATAAGTCTGGCCTAGTCTAGTTACTTGATACACTCAATGTTTTCTTTCATCTCTCTGTACTTCTGTACATCTACTTTCTTATATAAGTCTGGCCTAGTCTAGTTACTTGATACACTCAATGTATTCTTTCATCTCTCTGTACTTCTGTACATCTACTTTCTTATATAAGTCTGGCCTAGTCTAGTTACTTGATACACTCAATGTATTCTTTCATCTCTCTGTACTTCTGTACATCTACTTTCTTATATAAGTCTGGCCTAGTCTAGTTACTTGATACACTCAATGTATTCTTTCATCTCTCTGTACTTCTGTACATCTACTTTCTTATATAAGTCTGGCCTAGTCTAGTTACTTGATACACTCAATGTTTTCTTTCATCTCTCTGTACTTCTGTACATCTACTTTCTTATATAAGTCTGGCCTAGTCTAGTTACTTGATACACTCAATGTATTCTTTCATCTCTCTGTACTTCTGTACATCTACTTTCTTATAGAAGTCTGGCCTAGTCTAGTTACTTGATACACTCAATGTTTTCTTTCATCTCTCTGTACTTCTGTACATCTACCCCTATATTTATCCATTCTTGTTATCTCACTTGGCAGCTGTTTGGGGAAAATTTTCTCAGTTTGTTGTCGAGAGAAGGAGCTGCAGCCTCGTGTGGTCCACATTGGTCTGGGAACTTTTCAGACTGAGAAACATCCACGCAATGTTGTTCGCAACCAGAAGTACAGCATTATCACCTTTATACCCATAGTAAGTGGCTGGATATTCTCACCCCTATACCCATAGTAAGTGGCTGGATGTTCTCACTCCTATACCCATAGTAAGTGGCTGGATGTTCTCACTCCTATACCCATAGTAAGTGGCTGGATGTTCTCACTCCTATACCCATAGTAAGTGGCTGGATGTTCTCACTCCTATACCCATAGTAAGTGGCTGGATGTTCTCACTCCTATACCCATAGTAAGTGACTGGCCATTCTCACCCATATACCCATAGTAAGTGGCTATTCTCACCCCTATACCCATAGTAAGTGGCTAATCTCACCCCTATACTTATAGTAAGGGGACATACATTTATAATGTCCAAACGGAGGGGTGAAGGGGGGTGTTAAAAAATCAACTTTTGTGGACCCATGTGGACAGGGGGGGGGGGTTCGGGTCGGTGCAGATGTCCACATGTTGAACTTAAGGTCGAAGTACTAACATGTTTAAACAAACATAAAGCTCGTATCGTGCACGTAAAAAGTGAAATCAAGACGACATTGTTCGTGTTAAAGACCTCTAGATTCTACTTTTGATATTTAGGCCTAATAATAAACATTAAAAACATTAAAGCCGTATATCTGTTATTAGGTACACAATACATGTTATTGAAATTAGTAGTAAGTTTTGCGAGATTTACTAAATTTTTGTAGAAGTCCACATGGGGGACACAAACATTTTTTGTGGACGTCATAAATGGATGACCCCTAACTAAGAAAATGCACTAACAGTTTGCTATGTTCCCCCTCAGGTATTATTTGAACAGTTCAAATTTTTCTTGAACCTGTATTTTCTCATCATGGCCTTATCTCAGCTTCTGCCAGAGCTGAGGATTGGGTACCTCTACACCTACTGGGGACCTTTGGTAAGCCTCACTTAAATTCCTTTTTTCTTTGGCACAATTAGTTTTTTTTATTACTCAAGTTGTATCGTAGAAAAAATATTAACAAACTTTGGAAGGACATTGGAAGATATTTTTTTCTGTTTCTTCTAGCTTTCAAATGATTGGAATCTTGTTTGTTCCATTTCTTTTGTTCCTGTAGTTTACTTGTATAGTTTTATTTGTGCTGTACAGGGCTTTGTGCTGTTTGTTACTATGTGTCGTGAAGCCCTAGATGACTACAGAAGATACAGGAGAGATAAAGAAGCCAACTCACAGAAGTATAAAAAGTTAACTCGTGACGGCATCGTCAGAATTCCCAGCTCTGACATCCAAGTTGGTCATCTGATTATTTTAGAAAAAGTAAGTTCATACAATAACTTTAAATAACTTTTAGAAAAATATTTTTATTGCAGATTTTCAAGCTTTTGCTTTTACCATTTACATGATCATTAATTAATACCTCACCATTTACAAGATCATTAATTAATACCTCAGCATTTACAAGATCATTAATTAATACCTCACCATTTACATGATCATTAATTAATACCTCACCATTTACTTTATCATTAATTAATACCTCACCATTTACATGGTCATAAATTAATACCTCACCATTTACAAGATCATTAATTAATACCTCACCATTTACAAGATCATTAATTAATACCTCACCATTTACATGATCATTAATTAATACCTCACCATTTACTTTATCATTAATTAATACCTCACCATTTACATGGTCATAAATTAATACCTCACCATTTACATGATCATTAATTAATACCTCACCATTTACATGATCATTAATTAATACTTCACCATTTAGAACCAAAGAGTGCCTGCAGACATGGTTTTACTGAGAACATCTGAGAAAGATGGAGGCTGCTTTATCCGCACAGATCAGCTGGATGGTGAGACGGACTGGAAGCTGAGGCTAGCTGTACAGGAAACACACAGGCTACCATCTAATGTGGTCAGTTTTCATTCACATTTTAAGTCAGTGATTGCTTGTTTTATTAGTTTTTAATTTCATACCACAGTTTTTTGATTCACTTATAAAAAAAATTAATTAAATAATTTAGAAAATGAACTAGATGAGTTTTTGTTTAATATTATAGGACATTTTGGACATCACTGGTCAAGTTTATGCTGAAAAACCTCAAAAAGCCATCCACAGCTTTGTGGGTACCTTCACTCGTGTGAGTTAGTTTAAATATTGGGAGCTTTAAGCTGTTTTGATAAAACATGTTTTGTAATCAACAATTTTTAATCTTATATAAAATACATTATTGTACATTAAATTTGTGTTAAGTAGATTTCTAAAACAAAACATGTGTGTGTAGTTATGTTAAAAGACTAGCATGTAATTACATGAAGTGTTTTAATCTAGACACACACAGATGTTGATGTGTGTGACTGAAGACAACACTACTCTTGTTTGCCCTAAGTTTGATTCTGTCCACTTCCAGAGTGATTCAGGCACACACAGATGTTGATGTGTGTGACTGAAGACAACACTACTCTTGTTTGCCCTAAGTTTGATTCTGTCCACTTCCAGAGTGATTCAGGCACGGTGCATGAGGACTCCCTGAGTATAGAAAACACGCTGTGGGCCAACACTGTGCTGGCATCAGGAACTGCTCTGGGTGTTGTCATCTACACAGGCTCAGAGACCAGAAGTGTCATGAACACATCTCAGCCTAAAAGCAAGGTGAGGAGACCATTGCAGGGTCCTAATGTAGGAGTTGTTTTTTTTTTAAATTACCCAATCAACTTTACAGTGCTGCCTACTTGTACAGTTTTCTCTGTAGTTTCACAATTTTTACAATGCTATGGTTTTGTTAAAACAGATATGGCCTTAAGTTATGGATAGAAGGTCATTGTTACTTGATTCTTTTTTTTTATGGTAGTAACTTTTTTATTTCCATTTTTTAGACTGGGCTGATAGATCTGGAGATCAACACATTGACCAAGCTTTTGTTTCTTGCTGTCATTATTCTCTCCCTTGTCATGATGATCCTCAAGGTAATATTTCTGTTGCTTCTTCTACATGATTTAGCTCAACATTACTTTGTTGTCTGTTTTTTTTCTAATCTGTTAATACTGATCCATTTTTATTTTAGGGATTTGGAGGACCCTGGTACCGTTATTTCTTCAGATTTATTCTTCTTTTTTCCTATATCATCCCCATTAGGTATGTTTATTATGTAGAATTTGTTTCATGTTTAATAAATGACTAAAGGTGTGTGAAGAAGTGGAATGAATAGCATAGACAGATTTATATTTATTCTATTTACATGAACAAACTCTCAAAAAGTCTCCAACTTTTAGCTTTACAGTTTGCAAACTCAATTTTTTGTTTTTCTCTTGGTACATCAGCTTGCGTGTTAACCTAGACATGGGTAAAGCATATTACTCATGGGTGATGCAGCGGGACAAGAACATTCCTGGGATGACGGCAAGAAGCACCACAATACCTGAGGAGCTCGGCCGCATCACATACCTGCTGAGTGACAAGACCGGGACTCTCACGCAGAATGAGATGGTCAGTACATTGCTTTGATAGTCAATAGGTTGTATTGCTAGTAAACTTGTTGTTTAGATGATCAATATGTTGTATTGCTAGCAAATTTGCTGTTTAGATGATCAATATGTTGTATTGCTAGCAAATTTGTTGTTGAGATGGTCAGTGTGTTTAGAAAAATGATGAAATTAGATAAAAATCGTGATCTTTATTTTCTTAGGTTTTCAAGCGATTGCATTTAGGAACTGTGTCATTCACACCAGAAACTATGGATGAGGTAGGATTTATAGTTAACATAATTTATAAAAATGGTTGTTTCTAACTAGAAAAAAAAAGCATCAATAATGACAAGCTTTTATGTGATAAAGCACTAAAATGGAGAAAATAAATGATTTTCTTTAAATATATTATAATACTCTGCTATTTAAATAACTATAAAGAAAAGAGAGGGCTGCTATAATATGTATTGGATACTTTTACTAATATTTAAGAAGTGATCCACACTTTTCTTTATAGTTATTTAAATAGTAGAGTATTATAATATATTTAAAGTAAATTATTTATTTTCTCCTTATTAGTGCATTATTACATAAAAGCTTGTTATTAAAAAGTTCTTATGCATTTTTTTCTGTACTTTAAATTTTTTAATACAATAGAGTTGCACGACTAAAAACTATTGCGCACCTAATGAACATAACGGGATTAAAATAGTGCACAATAGTTGGATAAGACTACCTACACATTTCTGAAAATTGTAACTAATTCATCAAAATTAATTAGTCATCCAGTTAAGTCAATTTTAAAGTCATATTGCAGTCATCAGGTCTAGACGCACGTGATGAATTTCAAAGAAATTGGTTAGAATTGCCCAAAATTTGTGCTCCCGATTTTGTCTAGACAGACAGGATTAAGACTATAGGAAGCAAGTTAAATAAAAGCTTGTAAAACAAAAATTGAGAGATTTACTCTATTTTGAAAAGTAAATTTTATTTTAAAATTTTCTGCAGGTTATTTCACATTTGAAGACATCCTACTCGGCTTCATCTACCACTGCAACCCCAACACGCACATCTGGGCCAGTGAGGCGCAATGTGTTAACTAGAGTGGTAGAAGCTGTGCGGGCCATAGCACTGTGCCATAATGTCACACCTGTTTTTGAAGAGTCCACTAATGGAGATGTGAAGAATGATGATACAGAAGCAGATCAGCAGTTAAAACAAAAAGTCACTTACCAGGCTTCTAGTCCAGATGAGGTAAGTCTTAACAAGATTCTAAGAGTGTGTATTGAAGACAGGACAATGTTCTCTCTTGAACTTTGTTTTGTAGATTGCTTGGTCAGCTGGTCATTTAAAATCTTGCAAGTAAAAATGTTATCTGTTGAACTTTATGTTTTGTAGATTGCTTGGTTAGCTGGTCATTTAAAATCTTGCAAATAAAAATATAATCTCTTGAACTTGATGCTTTGTATATTGCCTTGGTTAGCTGGTCATTTAAAATCTTGCAAATAAAAATGTCATCTCTTGAACTTGATATTTTGTAGATTGCCTTGGTTAGCTGGTCAATTAAAATCTTGCAAGTAAAAATGTCATCTCTTGAACTTGATGTTTTGTAGATTGCCTTGGTTAGCTGATCATTTAAAATCTTGCAAATAAAAATGTCATCTCTTGAACTTGATGTTTTGTAGATTGCCTTGGTTAGCTGGTCATTTAAAATCTTGCAAATAAAAATGTCATCTCTTGAACTTGATGTTTTGTAGATTGCCTTGGTTAGCTGATCATTTAAAATCTTGCAAATAAAAATATAATCTCTTGAACTTGATGTTTTGTAGATTGCCTTGGTTAGCTGATCATTTAAAATCTTGCAAATAAAAATGTCATCTCTTGAACTTGATGTTTTGTAGATTGCCTTGGTTAGCTGGTCATTTAAAATCTTGCAAATAAAAATGTCATCTCTTGAACTTGATGTTTTGTAGATTGCCTTGGTCAGCTGGGCAGAGAGTGTAAATCTGGCCCTTGTTAAAAGAGATCTGAACTCCATCACATTGCGGACACCAACTGGTGCTCTAGCCACCTACACCATTCTACAGATTTTCCCTTTTACTTCAGAATCTAAAAGGATGGGAATAATTGTCAGGGTAAGTGGGTGATTGGAATCCCATTACTTCTGTGATAGAAATCACATTACTTCTGTGATAGGAATCACATTACTTGTGTGATAGGAATCACATTACTTCTGTGATAGGAATCACATTACTTCTGTGATAGGAATCCCATTACTTCTGTGATAGGAATCACATTACTTGTGTGATAGGAATCACATTACTTCTGTGATAGGAATCCCATTACTTCTGTGATAGGAATCACATTACTTGTGTGATAGGAATCACATTACTTGTGTGATAGGAATCACATTACTTCTGTGATAGGAATCACATTACTTCTGTGATAGGAATCCCATTACTTCTGTGATAGGAATCACATTACTTGTGTGATAGGAATCACATTACTTCTGTGATAGGAATCACATTACTTCTGTGATAGGAATCACATTACTTCTGTGATAGGAATCACATTACTTCTGTGATAGGAATCCCATTACTTCTGTGATAGGAATCCCATTACTTCTGTGATAGGAATCACATTACTTGTGTGATAGGAATCACATTACTTGTGTGATAGGAATCACATTACTTCTGTGATAGGAATCACATTACTTCTGTGATAGGAATCCCATTACTTCTGTGATAGGAATCACATTACTTGTGTGATAGGAATCACATTACTTCTGTGATAGGAATCACATTACTTCTGTGATAGGAATCACATTACTTCTGTGATAGGAATCACATTACTTCTGTGATAGGAATCCCATTACTTCTGTGATAAACATTTATTAACAAGGTTTTATTTTTAACCTGTAAAAATTAATTAAAATGTGAATATAGCCTTCAATTACTTTGAACTAATATTTTTTTAAAATTTTAAAATCCTAGGATACTGAAACTGGGGAAATAACCTTTTATTTAAAAGGTGCAGATGTTGTAATGCAAGGTATCGTGCAATATAATGATTGGCTAGAAGAGGAGGTTAGTACTGGCACCATCCTTGAATGTACACTTGTTAAAATTTACTGTTTTTGTTGTTAAAAGCCACAGTGATTGTCTAACTTTGATTCAGATGAGTTTTGGTTGATTCTACAATGTGGTGTATCTTTGACTGACTTTTTCTAGTGTGGCAAATAAAATTTACTGTTTTTGTTGTTAAAAGCCACAGTGATTGTCTAACTTTGATACAGATGAGTGTTATTTTGGTTGATTGTACAATGTGGTGTATCTTTGACTGACTTTTTCTAGTGTGGCAAATAAAATTTACTGTTTTTGTTGTTAAAAGCCACAGTGATTGTCTAACTTTGATACAGATGAGTGTTATTTTGGTTGATTGTACAATGTGGTGTATCTTTGACTGACTTTTTCTAGTGTGGCAACATGGCTAGAGAAGGGCTAAGAACGTTGGTGGTGGCAAAGAAACTTCTCACAGAAGAGCAGTACCAAGAGTTTGAAGTAAGTCGGATCTTCTTAAAAATGTCAAGCTGTATTTTGTACAGATAATATAGCTAGTAGGTAAGCTTGAGAGCTGTGTCACTCAATCTATATATATAATTCTCTTCTTCGAGCCGTTAGAAAACAAGCTGCAAACGCTCTCCCTACCTCCCCACCCCTACATGGTTTTAGTGAGCTGTGTTCACTCTAAATGTTTACAAGCAGAGCCAACGATTTTAAACGTAGGGGGGGGAGGAGGGGGGGGGGGTTATGGTCCTTAACGAGCTACTTATAGTGTTTTAAAGAAATATTTTCAGTGTCAGCGTTGGTACTGTCGAATTCACAAATTATGAATTATTGAAAATTAGAAACAACTAAATAGCGGCGTATGTTATGCCGTGGGCCGGCTCGTGTATTTTTAGTGGTCAATTTGAAGTAAGACGATATTAAAATCTGTTTCCTGCAGTCTCGATATCACCAAGCAAAGATGAGTATTCAAGAGCGCAACAGTAAAATGCAGGCTGTGATTGAAGGCCTTGAGAGAGACATGGAGTTGCTCTGTCTAACTGGTAAGTTGACATTTTTCCTCTCTGACTGGCACATGGGGACATTGTATGCACCTTGTCTGATGTTTTAAATGACATGATAATGGAAGCTCATAATACCGAAGATATTTTTTGTGTGGATATTTTTAAAGATTTTTTTTGTTTGGATGCATACTGTATACCATATGCTGTTAGTAATTCAAAATTACAATTTTCAGTTGCTTTTTAATGGTGTTTTCATTATTTCACTCATTGTGTTTAGGGGTTGAAGACAAACTTCAAGATGGCGTGCGACCTACATTGGAGATGCTCAGGAATGCTGGAATCAGGGTAAATCTCCCCTTGCTGAAGTTACTATTTGTGACCAGTGCAACTGCTTCTGTATGAAACAATAAACATGTTGAAATTGTCCCTCCTGCAGGTATGGATGTTGACTGGAGATAAGCTTGAAACAGCCATCTGTATAGCAAAAAGCTCAATGATGGTATCAAGGCTGCAGGACATCTACGTCTTCCAGACCGTAACAGACAGAGGGGAAGCACATTTAGAGTTGAACTCCTTGCGCAGAAAAAATGAAGCAGCTTTAATTATTAGTGGGGATTCTCTTCAGGTTGCTATTTTTTATACAAATATTTTTTTTTAAACTTAGTTAAATTCTGAATGTGTGGACCCATATTTTAAAATCATTAAGTTTTCAACTTAATGATTTTTTAAAAATTGTTTGGAAAGTAGAATAAAAAGGATACTTTAATTGTTGTTTAGGTTTGTTTAAAGTATTATGAGCATGAGTTTGTGGAGTTGGCTTGCCAGTGCCCAGCTGTTGTAGTGTGTCGATGCTCTCCCACACAAAAAGCTGACATTGTCAAATTGCTGAAGACACACACAGGAAAGAGAACCAGCGCTATTGGAGATGGGGGCAATGATGTCAGCATGATACAGGCGGCAGATGCTGGGATTGGTATTGTTGGCAAGGTACAAGCTTTTCTATGCTGCCTATATACCATTTGTAACATCATATTCATTCATGTTAAGTAGTGGTAGAAAAGAACCAAACTTCATGCAACAAGACTTTATGACTAAGTTGATGATTTGTTCCCTCAGGAGGGGAAGCAAGCTTCTTTAGCAGCAGACTTCTCTATCACCCAGTTCAGTCACATTGGTCGCTTGTTACTTGTGCATGGCAGGAACAGCTACAAGAGATCTGCCGCCCTCAGCCAGTTTGTCATACACAGGGGACTCATCATCACTACCATGCAGGCTGTCTTTTGCTCCGTTTTCTATTTTGTTTCTATAGCACTTTTCCCAGGATTTCTCATGGTGGGGTAAGTTCACTTCACTCTCAATTCTAGTCGTCTAGGTCTTATCTGTAAGGAGAGCAGCCTATTGTTTTTCTTTAGATTAGAAACTTAACAGGCATTATATGTATGAACTGTCCCCAGCTATGCTACTGTGTATACAATGTTGTACCCTGTTCTATGATCTCTAATGAACTGTCCCCAGCTATGCTACTGTGTATACAATGTACCCTGTTCTATGATCTCTAATGAACTGTCCCCAGCTATGCTACTGTGTATACAATGTACCCTGTTCTATGATCTCTAATGAACTGTCCCCAGCTATGCTACTGTGTATACAATGTTGTACCCTGTTCTATGATCTCTAATGAACTGTCCCCAGCTATGCTACTGTGTATACAATGTTGTACCCTGTTCTATGATCTCTAATGAACTGTCCCCAGCTATGCTACTGTGTATACAATGTTGTACCCTGTTCTATGATCTCTAATGAACTGTCCCCAGCTATGCTACTGTGTATACAATGTTGTACCCTGTTCTATGATCTCTAATGAACTGTCCCCAGCTATGCTACTGTGTATACAATGTACCCTGTTCTATGATCTCTAATGAACTGTCCCCAGCTATGCTACTGTGTATACAATGTTGTACCCTGTTCTATGATCTCTAATGAACTGTCCCCAGCTATGCTACTGTGTATACAATGTTGTACCCTGTTCTATGATCTCTAATGAACTGTCCCCAGCTATGCTACTGTGTATACAATGTTGTACCCTGTTCTATGATCTCTAATGAACTGTCCCCAGCTATGCTACTGTGTATACAATGTATCCTGTTCTATAATCTCTAATGAACTGTCCCCAGCTATGCTACTGTGTATACAATGTTGTACCCTGTTCTATGATCTCTAATGAACTGTCCCCAGCTATGCTACTGTGTATACAATGTACCCTGTTCTATGATCTCTAATGAACTGTCCCCAGCTATGCTACTGTGTATACAATGTACCCTGTTCTATGATCTCTAATGAACTGTCCCCAGCTATGCTACTGTGTATACAATGTTGTACCCTGTTCTATGATCTCTAATGAACTGTCCCCAGCTATGCTACTGTGTATACAATGTACCCTGTTCTATGATCTCTAATGAACTGTCCCCAGCTATGCTACTGTGTATACAATGTTGTACCCTGTTCTATGATCTCTAATGAACTGTCCCCAGCTATGCTACTGTGTATACAATGTTGTACCCTGTTCTATGATCTCTAATGAACTGTCCCCAGCTATGCTACTGTGTATACAATGTTGTACCCTGTTCTATGATCTCTAATGAACTGTCCCCAGCTATGCTACTGTGTATACAATGTTGTACCCTGTTCTATGATCTCTAATGAACTGTCCCCAGCTATGCTACTGTGTATACAATGTTGTACCCTGTTCTATGATCTCTAATGAACTGTCCCCAGCTATGCTACTGTGTATACAATGTTGTACCCTGTTCTATAATCTCTAATGAACTGTCCCCAGCTATGCTACTGTGTATACAATGTTGTACCCTGTTCTATAATCTCTAATGAACTGTCCCCAGCTATGCTACTGTGTATACAATGTTGTACCCTGTTCTATGATCTCTAATGAACTGTCCCCAGCTATGCTACTGTGTATACAATGTTGTACCCTGTTCTATGATCTCTAATGAACTGTCCCCAGCTATGCTACTGTGTATACAATGTTGTACCCTGTTCTATGATCTCTAATGAACTGTCCCCAGCTATGCTATTGTGTATACAATGTTGTACCCTGTTCTATAATCTCTAATGAACTGTCCCCAGCTATGCTACTGTGTATACAATGTACCCTGTTCTATAATCTCTAATGAACTGTCCCCAGCTATGCTACTGTGTATACAATGTTGTACCCTGTTCTATGATCTCTAATGAACTGTCCCCAGCTATGCTACTGTGTATACAATGTTGTACCCTGTTCTATGATCTCTAATGAACTGTCCCCAGCTATGCTACTGTGTATACAATGTACCCTGTTCTATGATCTCTAATGAACTGTCCCCAGCTATGCTACTGTGTATACAATGTACCCTGTTCTATGATCTCTAATGAACTGTCCCCAGCTATGCTACTGTGTATACAATGTACCCTGTTCTATGATCTCTAATGAACTGTCCCCAGCTATGCTACTGTGTATACAATGTACCCTGTTCTATGATCTCTAATGAACTGTCCCCAGCTATGCTACTGTGTATACAATGTTGTACCCTGTTCTATGATCTCTAATGAACTGTCCCCAGCTATGCTACTGTGTATACAATGTTGTACCCTGTTCTATGATCTCTAATGAACTGTCCCCAGCTATGCTACTGTGTATACAATGTACCCTGTTCTATGATCTCTAATGAACTGTCCCCAGCTATGCTACTGTGTATACAATGTACCCTGTTCTATGATCTCTAATGAACTGTCCCCAGCTATGCTACTGTGTATACAATGTACCCTGTTCTATGATCTCTAATGAACTGTCCCCAGCTATGCTACTGTGTATACAATGTACCCTGTTCTATGATCTCTAATGAACTGTCCCCAGCTATGCTACTGTGTATACAATGTTGTACCCTGTTTTATGATCTCTAATGAACTGTCCCCAGCTATGCTACTGTGTATACAATGTACCCTGTTCTATAATCTCTAATGAACTGTCCCCAGCTATGCTACTGTGTATACAATGTACCCTGTTCTATAATCTCTAATGAACTGTTCCAGCTATGCTACTGTGTATACAATGTATCCTGTTCTATGATCTCTAATGAACTGTCCCCAGCTATGCTACTGTGTATACAATGTACCCTGTTCTATGATCTCTAATGAACTGTCCCCAGCTATGCTACTGTGTATACAATGTTGTACCCTGTTTTATGATCTCTAATGAACTGTCCCCAGCTATGCTACTGTGTATACAATGTACCCTGTTCTATAATCTCTAATGAACTGTCCCCAGCTATGCTACTGTGTATACAATGTACCCTGTTCTATAATCTCTAATGAACTGTTCCAGCTATGCTACTGTGTATACAATGTATCCTGTTCTATGATCTCTAATGAACTGTCCCCAGCTATGCTACTGTGTATACAATGTACCCTGTTCTATGATCTCTAATGAACTGTCCCCAGCTATGCTACTGTGTATACAATGTTGTACCCTGTTCTATGATCTCTAATGAACTGTCCCCAGCTATGCTACTGTGTATACAATGTACCCTGTTCTATGATCTCTAATGAACTGTCCCCAGCTATGCTACTGTGTATACAATGTTGTACCCTGTTCTATGATCTCTAATGAACTGTCCCCAGCTATGCTACTGTGTATACAATGTTGTACCCTGTTCTATGATCTCTAATGAACTGTCCCCAGCTATGCTACTGTGTATACAATGTTGTACCCTGTTCTATGATCTCTAATGAACTGTCCCCAGCTATGCTACTGTGTATACAATGTACCCTGTTCTATGATCTCTAATGAACTGTCCCCAGCTATGCTACTGTGTATACAATGTTGTACCCTGTTCTATGATCTCTAATGAACTGTCCCCAGCTATGCTACTGTGTATACAATGTTGTACCCTGTTCTATGATCTCTAATGAACTGTCCCCAGCTATGCTACTGTGTATACAATGTACCCTGTTCTATGATCTCTAATGAACTGTCCCCAGCTATGCTACTGTGTATACAATGTTGTACCCTGTTCTATGATCTCTAATGAACTGTCCCCAGCTATGCTATTGTGTATACAATGTTGTACCCTGTTCTATGATCTCTAATGAACTGTTCCAGCTATGCTACTGTGTATACAATGTACCCTGTTCTATGATCTCTAATGAACTGTCCCCAGCTATGCTACTGTGTATACAATGTACCCTGTTCTATGATCTCTAATGAACTGTTCCAGCTATGCTACTGTGTATACAATGTACCCTGTTCTATGATCTCTAATGAACTGTCCCCAGCTATGCTACTGTGTATACAATGTTGTACCCTGTTCTATGATCTCTAATGAACTGTCCCCAGCTATAGCTATGCTACTGTGTATACAATGTTGTACCCTGTTCTATGATCTCTAATGAACTGTCCCCAGCTATGCTACTGTGTATACAATGTACCCTGTTCTATGATCTCTAATGAACTGTCCCCAGCTATGCTACTGTGTATACAATGTATCCTGTTTTCTCCTTGGTGTTGGATACGGATGTGTCTCCAGAAATAGCTCTCACTTACCCAGAATTGTATAAAGATTTAACAAAGGTATTTTGATTTTCACTTTACCTTAATATTCAAGCATCTATATACTACTAAAAGTCAAGTTTGTTTACATGTTTGAATATTTATTTGTTTGCCTGATCGAAAATTGTGATATGTTCGACTCTATCTGGAAAGCTGTAAAATGGTATGCAGGTAGAGAATAATTTTTTAATGCAGACAGACTGTTGATCACAAATTTATTTAAAGACGTTAATTAATTTATTGATTTATTCCTACGCAGAATAACCCATTTTTTTTTAAAATGTTAAAACCTTGACTAAACTTTGTGGGAATAGTGACGTCACAGGTTTTTGTTTACTCTTTAGTACAATAAAATGGCGGCGTCTATTGAAGAAAATTGTGTTCCCATTCAAAAGTTTAACGCGTTCTAAATCTAATTTTCTGTCGGTCATAACTTTAACAATACGTCCGTTTGCTGTATTTATTACGTTCCAACACTTATATCAATTTTCAACTGTCTTTTTCATTTAGTTTTACGATAAATTTCTCTAGATCTAAAGATCAGCTATCGAAGACAATTTATGAATCTAGCCTAGATCTAGATCTAGCCTAGATGTAGGTCACTAGATTCAATGTAAATTCTACATCTAGAATCTATTTCAGGCCTTAATTATTTTATATAAATCTTTGTTTGGCTTATTTAAGATAAAATTTAATTTGAAAGTTAGTACTACTAGACTTATTTTTAGATCTAGATCTAGAATCTATACGCGTAAATCAAGTTGCATAAGGAGACACATAGTATAGTATAAAAATTCACTTGTGACGTCACGAGTAAATAGCTAAAATGGTAGCGTAGTCAGCTCTCATGCAGGAGGCACGGGTTCTAGACCAATATGTCAATGAAATTTTTTTTTTCAATTTTTTTTTTTTAGATGTGAATGATAACGTTGCCTATCTGAACTTGGCAAGATACAGGGCAGGTGAAGTAGAGTTCATCTGTTTCTTTGTCCTAAGCATATGAAAGGATAGTGTGGTCAGATACATGCTCGGCTGGAATTGTTTTTTAAACGATAAAAACATGTTGTCTGAGACTTGGCAGGACACTGGGCAGGTGAAGTAGAGTTGAGTAGGTCACCTGTGACGTCAGTTTATGAAGGGATAGTCCGAAATCGGTGTTTTCGGTGTTTTTAAAAGATAAAAAACATATATTTGAATGTGGGGTCTGTTTTTTGTGACGATAAGTGACACTGCAGTAGCGTACCGAGGAGGGGGGGGGGGGGACGGTAGGGGAGGGGAGGCGGGGGGTGGGGAGGGGAGGCGGGGGGTGGGGAGGGGAGGCGGGGGGTGGGGAGGGGAGGCGGGGGGGGGGGGAAGGGGAGGGGGGAAGGGGGGGGGGACATATGTTGGGGCGCCAAAATGGTTTGGAAAAATAAATTGATAGGTTGAGGGGGGTTCAAATCGAAAGTTTGAGTGGGGGGGGGGTGCACATCAAAAGTTTGAGGGGGGGGGGGGGTTCAAATCGAAAACTTTGTCCCCGGGCGCCGGGAAGGGTCGCTATGCCTCTGAGTGACAGACGTGATGTTTTTTGATGGATGACCCCCGAAACCCACAGTTATCCAACGGATGACGGGTATTCTAGTAGATCTTTAAAAATGTTGATTATTTTCATTAAGCTTTTCCGCTATTCAAAAAGTTATTTTTCCATTTTACAGGGTAGATCATTATCATTCAAGACTTTTTTCTTATGGGTGTTGATAAGCATTTATCAAGGTATTTGTTTGTTTTTATACTGCCCAAGGAAATTTAACCTAATAAAATTAAAATATAGTGGCAGTAGGCTTGTTTAATAATTTTTTAAGCATAAAAACATTTACTTTTATTTTTTCAATTACTACATTTTAAAAAATTATATTATAATAATCCCAGATTTTTAAAACTTATAACATAAAGCTTTATATCTGTTACTTTACTTTTTGAGTCCTAATAGCATAATAATTTACAAATAATAAATTTTTAAAAATATGAATTTTTTTTTTTTTTCAGTAAAAACAATTATTAAAATATAGTTGCTTAAACCACTTTTCTTTATATCGCTATACTGATTACATTTAAAATTAATCCTGATTCAATCGGGAAGCTTAAATTATTTTTAAAATTTTGTAAAGAAATTACCTTTAATTTTAAAAATTTAAAACAATGATCGAGCAACAAGAAAAACATGCAAATAAAAACAAAATTTTTGTTTTACTACGGTTTCCCTGCTTTTAGCTGTATCTTCGAGATATCCATGACTTTGTGTAAAAAAATGTACTGTTGACCCATAAAAATATATATGTAGTGCACATGGCAGTATCAAATATAAAATGTCTCAAACACATATCTGTATTGGATGAATCCTAATTGGTAATGTTGAATTTTCTACAAGATTACTTCAGAGCTTACCCAGAGAGTGCCAATATTGTTAAAGCCATCAAAATTAAAGAGTATTACTAGCAAGAATGATTTTTCCAACAGGTGGAATCATCATGTATGGAGCTCTCCTTCTCTTTGAGGCTGAATTCATCCACGTTGTCAGCATCACATTTACTTCTCTCATTCTCACTGAGCTGCTCATGGTTGCCCTAACTGTTCGCAACTGGCACTGGTTAATGATAGTTGCACAGATATTTTCTCTGGGAATATACCTAGCATCTTTGGCTGTGCTTAGAGACTACTTTGGTAAGCTATTATAATCATTTATGCATAAATAGCTTGCCTTAAAATATAGTTTTTAAAAAAATCTGGTTTTTAAAATGTATTATCTTAATAAAAAAAATAATCACTTTTACTTGTTTGTCTGTTCAGATTCTCAGTTTTTACAAACATGGGGGTTTGTGTGGAAAGTGCTGGTCATCACATCAATATCCTGCATTCCTTTGTATGTGTTAAAGTACTTGAGAAAGAAGTTCTCTCCCCCTGTCTACTCCAAGCTGACTCCCTAAGCAGGAACTCTAGGATAACTCTTGTAGTACTTTATCATGGATAACTCTTGTACTACTTTATCATTGATTTTCTTTTAACACTAGCCTTCTGTATAAAAGGACTATTACTAGGAAACAATAACATTTAAAAGTATGTTTGGCATACATGTAACACCATGTTTACACTGCAAGTAATTTTTCCCTAGACATGTATAGTACACATGTTGCAAGTCTAAATTCTGTGTGAGAAGTAAAAAATTTCAAATTATATCACATTTAAACAGAGCATCATTGACATGAATCACATACTGTTTTCTATGCCAGTACATTTTTTTTATCCTCTGTAAAACAAAATCTCCTAGATCTAGTTCTGTCTAAAGCACATACAAACAACATTGTCTTTTTCGAAAAGGATTTGTACATATTTGAAACGTGACTCAGGTGTAAAGATTTGCTTTAAGCATCCCTCTGTCCAAATTGTCACACAGTTGTCATCTGAAAAATATTGCCTTAAGAGTTTCTTCTCTGACATTTTAATGGCATCTGAAGCTACTGTAGTGGTTAATTTTCTAATATTCTTTGCTATTTAGAAGTTACTTCTGGATTTAGCTCGCTGTGAGATCTGGATTATGAATACTCCTACCTTGTATTTAAGCCTGTCATTCTTGTATTAAAGTTGCAGTTCTAAAACGAGTGTGGTTGTGTACAGAATTATTCTTGCTGTCAACAGCTGTACTGGTTTGTGTTGATTTGCCTTGGACACAGCTGTTGTTAAGAGGTACACAAAAGCCAAAGTCATTTCACATCTCAGGATTAGTTGAAGGTTCACCTAGAAACAATCTAGAACACAATATTTAATCTTTTAATGCTTTCTAGTACCTAGTAAAATTAATTTCCATTAGTCATGTTAACAATTTGATATGTTTTCAATAAGTTTTGGATATGTATATTCTTTTCTTTGACAACAGTTAAAAATAACTTAAACATTTATTTCTATAGATGTGAGAAAGCAGTTATTAATTTAAGGTTTTATTTTTGAATGGGTATTTTCTTTTTCCTTGTAATAATTACTCTATTTAAACTTAATATTGTCATATTGTTTGTTGTTTTTGTTGTCAATGTGCATTTCAATGTTAATATTGCAATGATTTGAAGCATTTGAAATACAAAATTTACCAGCAATTTTTAAAACTTATTTATTATGGACTTTCTTTGTAAGTAAATATTGCAATTTATGTTTTCCTTGTTTTTTAGTATATCCTGTCTACTTCAGTATAAAAAAGCAATGTTTATAAATCATGACAACAATCCGAGAATGTGTGTGTATAAAGTTTAGTTTACTACACTATAACTATAATACAATATTGCCCAGGGTAATTTTAAACTCTTCATTCATAATTAGTAAAAAAAATTGGTTGAAAATTAAAATTTTATGTCAATTAAAACAAACTTGGTAAAATAAAATTAAAAAAAGGATAGAAACATTAGTTCAGAATTTTGTACAGCTCACTTTTAAAAAATTAAAGTTTATATAATACTACACCATTCTAATGTGTTATTCTAAACACAGTTTTGAGCATCTTTAAAATTCTAAAAAAAAGAATTTCAAGTTTTAAAATTATCATTGATTACAGAAATGTGTGACATGCTGATTTGCTAATCATGTACTATTATGGTGTATAAATGTTTTTAAAATTATTTAATAATCATTTAGGGATAACTTAAAAACATTGATAGCATAGGATGTATTATGAAAATAGTTTCAACTTCTGTAATCGATCCATTATCAACAGTTTTAAAGAGTAATGTTAGATTCTTTTTTTTAATATTTAATATTTTGTAAATGGTATCTGGGTTGTTTCTAATCTTCCTATAAAATATATCCATAGCTAAATCTACCAAACATTAATATGTGCTGTTAATCTGTCATAAAATATGTTTCATCTGTTGTTTGCATTTTTTTTATTTTTTTTTTGTTTCATAAATGTTGTATATATGTTGGATACAAAATTGTTATATTGTAAAGTAAAGGAATTACTTTAACTTGTCCAGGGTTTTTTAATGTGTGATTTGATTATTTATTATTATGTATCCATTAAATTGCAATCCTTTATTTTTGTTGTTGTCATTTTCTGTGTTATACATCTACATTAATAAACCATAGTACTGAGATCTAATTTAAAGACATACATTTTTATTTTTGTGTTTTATGATTGGTAGGAGGCCAGATGTTTTGATTGTAGATTAGATAAGAAGCATTCCACATTGGCTAGGGATTTGTTAAGATCTGACAAACACATTGAGGAAACATTCCATGGGTTAGCTATATGGCTGTGTCATTATGTTAATGCTATTGTGAACTCTTTAAGTGTTAGGAATTGTTAAGTTTTTAAAAAAATAATAAGATTTATTGAAAATGTAATGAGACTGCTATAACTTATTCAATTGGACTGCATAAAACAATACTTCCTATTTTATATCACAAACACTGACTGAAGTTGATGTTCTTGTTTGTAACCTTAAATTGCGGATTTTAAATTAGCTGTTTTTATTTTGGCAAAAAATCTAACTTGTTTAAGAAGGTATTTTTTCTATTGAGGCTGAAATATTTTATATTGTATATAAAGGAAGATAATGCATTCTCTTCTGAAATCCGAATGCTTTAAATTGTTTTGTGTTTTCATTGATCAATGTTTTCAAGCATAATACTGTTTAGTGTTAAAAATGAAATGTGATCTGTATATTTGAAACTTATTTTCATCCTTATAAATTGTGTGTACATTTGTATGCTGCTCTGGGTTTCTCACTGTCAGTCTCATTACGTTTTTTTACATTACATTAAAATACATGTGTCAGTAAAATACCAAAACCTGTGAATTTTATAATGTCTTCCTCTGAAAAATTTTCAAATGTCCTCACCTTCAAATAAATGATGTAAATGTAGTTTTGATGTATAAAAGAAAACCCTGCTTAATTCATGTTCTGTAGTTTAATGTGATCCTGTGCATGTTATTCTAAAATTCTTCACAACATAACATGGAAGATTAATATGTTTAGGTTTCTACAAATAACTCTAATACCAACCTCAGCCTCTGATCTTTATAAGAATTAAAATGTATAATGCTGATAATCTAAAGTGATTGTGTTTATTGCATTGATGAAATAAAATGTAATCTGTTTAAGACTGGTCAGTTATTTCTTATACATAAAAAATTCTGCAAAAACATTTTTGTTATTAATCTTCGTAATCTCTGACATGTTTTATTTTAGACTTTAATTAACTGCTGCTTTATCTAGGAAGAAACATAATGGCCATGTAATATGTAAGTTGTGATGGAAAAGGATTGTATCAGCAGTAGACTGAGTAGACCATATGAACAAAACATCTCAAGTGTTGTGCATTACATGTACCTAACGTTTTCAAAACCAGCTTATTGATAGTGACATAAAATTGATTGTCAGTCTAGCATTGTGAGAGAGACAATACCTCTTGGTTAGAAAGAAAGAGATACTGAGTTCACCCGCCCGTTTGTCTCTTACAGAAAAATGCCATCTCATCTAAAAATAAATCTCCCCTATACAAAACTATAGACATGAATGTTAAAAAATCCTACATCCTAAAGTTAACTTTATTAAAATAAGATTACTTTTCATACACGTTTCTAGTTTAAATATATGGATACTAGGATAAATATTTTGTCGTACAGTTGGTAGAAATAAGTCAGTATTGAGTTTATTCTAAATCTATTCGATACTGTATGTATCAGCTTTTAGCGTATTTTCGGTATTTTGTAATTGATTTCGGTTTTTAAATGAATTCCGGAAGCGTTCCGTGGTTGTTGTGTTTACCCAGAAAGCCACGCGAAAATACTTCAAAATAGCTAAGATTTTTTAGAAATCTAGAATCTAGATAGAAGTCTAGATTCTATCTACTTTTGTGAAGTTAAAACAAAAAGAAAATGCAGCCTTCATTAACAAGTCTAGAAATAATTAAAGTATCAAAAAATATCTCTGATTTTAGCGATTCTTCAACTAGTAGTCGGCACGAGAAAAGTCTAGGACTGTTGACAACAAAGTTTGTAACACTGCTTCAAGAAGCAAAAGATGGAGTTTTGGATTTAAAAGTTGTAAGTTACTTTAAATTTCTAATTCTTATTAAGTTATTATTCTTCATCGAGAATCTAAATAGAATCTAGATTAGGATCTAGATCTAAATCTAGATACGACTGTTTTGTTAGTTAATCTAGAATCTAGATCTAGTAAGTGAGTGTTTTTATTCCAACTGTTTGAACTAGGGCTAACTAACTAACTACTAATACTAGGCCTAATGATAATAATAAAAATTTATAATAAAATTGATTAGGCCCCTAGCCACTAGCCCTAGGCCTATAAAATCTAGATTCTAGACCTTGCACTTGTGCCTACTAACCCTACTTGTAGGAACCACTAATTTTTACTAGATCTATTCTACTATTCTAGATCTACTTGCGGTAAACCTCCATTTCAGCGTATTTTATTCTCCGTTGCTTGTTTACCTCCAGTTGAGCGTATTTTATTATAACAACCGAAACACACCAAAACATTAGGAAAACACGATTTATTTTTTGTATTGTATTTTTGTTTTAGCAAATGAATAAAAATTAATAACAACAACAATCAGGCTGACTGAAATGCTACACGATTTATTTATTTTTATTTTGTTTTAACAAATGAATAAAAACAACAAAGAGACTGACTGAAATGCTTTGTTTGTTGGTTACAAAAAATAGAAATGCACAATTTGTACAAATAAGTGTTCAATTTCAACTAAACTGAATGAAAGGCATAATAATAATTAATAAAGCTGCCGGAACGGGGGAAGGGGGGGGGGGGGTAATTTTGTGATGATGTGTGACGGGGAGGGGGGGGGGGTAAAATCGTCCAAAAAAGCGTGACGTCATTTATGGATGACCCCACAATACAAATTTACAAATTTATTATATCAAATTATGACATTTCTTAAAGTTTTGACTAAACTGACAAGTAAAAAAGCACAATTTTTTATTTACATTTTAATGATTTTTTTTTTAAGTCAGAAATTTACTCATACAAAAAAAACATACATGATAATTAAACCAAAATATTGGGAAGGATGGTTCTATGAATGTAAATAACATAAACTATACAGTATAAATATTTTTCAGTTTTTTTTTGTAAAACTGTCAAATAAAAAAAACCCACAAAGTTTGTACATTTAGATGAAATACAAAAATCATGAAAAATTTACTAATACAGAAACATACTTGATAATTATATCAAGATATTGGAAATGATAGTTCTATGAATTTAAATAACAGTAAGATATAGCATAAATACAATACAAAACTATAATAAAGAATAATTAACAGTGTATCAGTTTCACCAGGAGACAAATGCCTTTTTTTTTTAAAAGTAGGCCTACACAAAATAACTTGTGACAGGTTACTAAGCGTGACGACACACGTTTATGCAACAGAAATAGTTCAGCAATTCAAGTAGGAAGCCATTGGTCACTAGGTAGAAATCAGCAGAAAGATGTATAGCCCAACCAAAGAGAAAGTAGAACACTTAGATAGCAGTTGAAGTTTAAAACCGATAGATTTTTTATTAGGTTTTAGAAAGTAGTATTAAAGAATAGTGGATGATAGTAGAGTTAGACTGGATACAATTCAGCCAGCACCAAAAGGAATGAGCTGAAAACATTCCCCCCTACAACGGAACACCGAAATTCAAATTCTTTTAAGTACGATGGAAACAGAATTCGGCTGGTTCCGAATTGTCGTTTTAGCTTCCTTTTGGCCCTCATCCACAGATTTTCTATATTCTGCGTGTGGATGTCGGCATCGTCAGGGTCCACAAAATGGCGCTCATGGACCACCACTGAATGCGTATATATACCGTTCCCCAAATTGCCAATGTTATTGTATGAGGCCCAACCATCAGATATGATATGACTTCCAGGCAGAATATGGTCTAATATGATTGGCTCCAGAGTGGCAGCTGTCCGGTCCGGAACCTCTATCAAAAAACACTTGCCCGATCCTCTTTCTACCCCTCCAAAAACCCAATGGCCCTCATGCCATGCACCGCGATGATATTTTCTATGAAAATATTTTGACTCGTCTATCTCCACAATTATTGGATTTCCATGCTCGTCCATGCCTCCAATCTCAGTTCGCCGCCGCTCCAAAAATCTCGCCGAATCTTCCCGGCAAAAGTTAAACCAATCAATCACAGTTTTTTCATTCTCAATTTGCGCCTCATGTCTGCTAAGACTTTGGGGCATATCCTGCGCAAAGCAGTAAATCATCATTATTATCTGTTTCAAGGTCAAGTGGCTTTTTGTGAAGAATGAACCTTCACGGACACTTTTCCTAAATCCGCATGGTTGACACGCCCACCTCTTCTCATCTATTCCTTGGCGATATGTCATTAGTTTGCATAGTTCTTTGCAGCTATCACAAATCATAGTATTGCGAAGCAACCTACGCTTGGCTAGCCATATCAAGGCAGACTCTGTCTCATTTAGGATTAGTGCCAGTGATGCGATGCACCAGATTTCATGTTCAACGAATGCGGCATCTAAAATTTCGGCAGGATCTACAATGGAAGTACGTTCTACTTTTGGTCTACCTGCCATGTTGCATAGTTTATAACAATTAAATAAATTATAAACAGAACTGATACGAAAATCAACCACAAATGTTAATATATATATATATATTTAAATACAGCACTTTTTGGATTTTTGAATAAGATTGGAACACTAAACAAAAATTAACCGGAAGTTACCGGGAGATCGGGAGCATGGAAAAATATATTTTGCCAACCCATTTGGGGTTTGACGTAACTGGATTCTACATGGCGAAGATGCAGATATATAACAATTTGAAATTAAATCATCATTTTATATTTATTTATTTTTTGTTAAAAGAATATTATTACTATTACTTTTTGCATTGAATTGAATTTGTGTGACTACCTTTTTTATTATTTGTAACCAACAAACAAAGCATTTCAGTCAGTCTCTTTGTGGTTTACATTCATTTTTATTCATTTATTAAAACAAAAAATACAATACAAATAAATAAGTCGTGTTTTTTAAATATTCATTTTTAATAATTTGTTAAAACAAAAATACAATACAAATAAATAAATCGTGTTTTCCTAATGTTTTGGTGTGTTTCTGTTATTATAATAAAATACGCTCATCTGGAGGTAGCCGAGAAGCGGAGAATAAAATACGCTGAAATGGAGGTTTACCCTACTTGCTTTAGGCGCCTTATGGGTCTTCCTAGTTAATGTGTTACTTTTACAGTTGTACTTGTACTAGTGTGATTTACACTGATTTAAAAATACTTCTTGCAGGCTGCTGATCAACTAGCTGTGAGGCAAAAGCGAAGGATTTATGATATTACAAATGTATTAGAAGGCATTGGGCTCATTGAAAAAAAATCTAAGAACAGCATACAATGGAAGTAAGTTAGCCTAATGATTTTGAAACTTTTCCCAATGTTATTTTATGTTTGTGAACTTATTGAGCCAGACCCACGAGGTTCCCATGCACATGAAATATTAGGGAATTTTAAAATAAAAATTCTTGACTAGGAAAGCCTGGAAATCTCTATAAAAGTTAGGAATTTCAATAAAAGGCAGGAATATTTTTTTTCAAGTAGCGCAAGATATGTCCTGGTAAAATGCCTACACTAATCTTGTCCTCTGGTTTTTATGATGGAAACTATACAAGGGCCATTCAACCTACATTTTTCTCTGTTTTTAGATAAGTACAGCTACGGATTTTCAAATTTTTCTGCCTTTTTTGTGAACTTCTTAAATCTAATTTGAGTGTGCTAAAGTTTTGTACTGTGAACTTTATATAAAAAAATAGCATAAAGTTTTCTGGTCAAATATTGTGAAAACCATGTACATGAGATGACACCATCAGTACCTCTGGTAACACAATCTTAATTGAGGGTAGCGCATCATGGTGATGCCTGCTACACACATCAATGGCTAATAAAAAAGATATGTTATTTCCTTTTAAGTTTTAAAATTCTATTACTTGTTTTATTGTATACATTTACACTCAATCTTTTGTATTAATTAATTTAAAAATTGTGTGTAGAGGTTCAGGGCCAGGAAGTAACTCAAGAGACATTTCTGAACGACTGACCAGTTTGAAGGATGACTTAGCTGACCTAAGAGAACAAGAACTTGAACTTGATAAGCACAAACAGTGGGTCCAGCAGAGCATCAAAAATGTTACAGATGAAGTATCTAACACAAGGTTAGTCTCAGCATGCTATATAGTCAATTGTTTTGTTGCAAATGTTAACAACTTATAAACATATTTCTCACATTGCATAATTGTATCATTGTTGTTTCAGATTAGCTTATGTGACTCATGAGGACATATGCCATTGCTTTAAAGGTGAAACTTTGTTGGCAGTTCAAGCCCCTTCTGGTACTCAACTTGAGGTCCCCATACCAGAAATTGTAAGACATTTAGCCACTTTCATACCTACTTCTTTCTCACCAAAAAAAAAATACTATTTTAACATGTTTTATATACCCTATCTTAGGGACCAGGGTTTAAGAAAAACTACCAGATTCATTTAAAAAGCCAAAGTGGTGCTATCAATGTTCTGCTGGTTAACAAAGATACTGATGAATCAGAGCCAGTTGTTGTTCAAGTTCCTCCACCTATGCAAGCTGGTCCAAGTACTAGTGGACTCACTGACTCTTTACAGAATCAAAATCCTGACCCTGGGAAGCAAACAGACAAAGGAGGAACAGTTACCAGAGGAAAAGTAGGTTATCCACTTGAATATATTCTATAAAAACTCTATGCAGTGGCTTTATGTAGTTTAACCATTTTGATCAATGTATTTTAATTTGTGGGGGAATTTTTGACTAAAATATTTTAAAATTGATCAGTTGAGCTTATGCTTGTTCCTTAAACTGTTTTGTATTTGTTTGTTTGTGTAGAGATCACCAGTGAAACACCCCCTCAAACAGACCCAAGCCCCTGTGATTATAGAACCCCCTACACGTATGGCCACGCGCTCATCCCCTCGCAAAAGTATTTCAGATACAATGCTATCAGAACGTAAGTTATTTGTTTTTTTCTTAGTGCCCTATGTGTGATAAGACTATGCCACCTGATTACTTAATGAGCAGTGTTCATTAAAGTTTGTCTTGGTTCTTAGCGCCCTATGTATGATAAGACAATGCCACCTGATTACTTTATGAGCAGCGTTCATTAAAGTTTGTCTTGGTTCCAGCATCTACATCAGCAAGCCAGTCTCAGGCTGACACAAGTCTGGACATGTTTCATTTATTTGATTCTAAGGTTGATATGGGTGAGTACAGCAGTGATCAGTGTGTCTGTGTGAGTACAGCAGTAATCAGTGTGTCTGTGTGAGTACAGAAGTAACCAGTGTGTCTGTGTGAGTACAGCAGTAATCAGTGTGTCTGTGAGTACAGCAGTAATCAGTGTGTCTGTGTGAATACAGCAGTAATCAGTGTGTCTGTGTGAGTACAGCAGTAATCAGTGTGTCTGTGAGTACAGCAGTAACCAGTGTGTCTGTGTGAATACAGCAGTAATCAGTGTGTCTGTGTGAGTACAGCAGTAATCAGTGTGTCTGTGTGAGTACAGAAGTAACCAGTGTGTCTGTGTGAGTACAGCAGTAATCAGTGTGTCTGTGAGTACAGCAGTAATCAGTGTGTCTGTGTGAATACAGCAGTAATCAGTGTGTCTGTGTGAGTACAGCAGTAATCAGTGTGTCTGTGAGTACAGCAGTAACCAGTGTGTCTGTGTGAATACAGCAGTAATCAGTGTGTCTGTGTGAGTACAGCAGTAATCAGTGTGTCTGTGTGAGTACAGAAGTAACCAGTGTGTCTGTGTGAGTACAGCAGTAATCAGTGTGTCTGTGAGTACAGCAGTAATCAGTGTGTCTGTGTGAATACAGCAGTAATCAGTGTGTCTGTGTGAGTACAGCAGTAATCAGTGTGTCTGTGAGTACAGCAGTAACCAGTGTGTCTGTGTGAATACAGCAGTAATCAGTGTGTCTGTGTGAGTACAGCAGTAATCAGTGTGTCTGTGTGAGTACAGAAGTAACCACATGTGAGTACAGAAGTAATCAGTGTGTCTGTGTGCGTACAGCAGTAATCAGTGTGTCTGTGTGAATACAGCAGTAATCAGTGTGTCTGTGTGAGTACAGCAGTAATCAGTGTGAGTACAGAAGTAATCAGTGTGTCTGTGTGAGTACAGCAGTAATCAGTGTGTCTGTGTGAGTACAGCAGTAATCAGTGTGTCTGTGTGAGTACAGCAGTAATCAGTGTGTCTGTGTGAGTACAGCAGTAATCAGTGTGAGTACAGCAGTAATCAGTGTGAGTACAGCAGTAATCAGTGTGAGTACAGCAGTAATCGGTGTGAGTACAGCAGTAACCAGTATAATTACATTCTTGTCAGTCACAGATTGTTAGTAACTTACGCTTACAGTTTAATTAATTTTTCCCTTCAGATATTCCCGGGGAACTGCTGGATCTAGATCAGCTTATGTCAGCAGATAGTAAGTTTATTTAACTTTAATTATTTGTTTGTATAGGAGTCGTAAACTTTGATTGCTATACATTTTTTTACCAGATTTATGCATTAAAAGAAAGTAGCTGACAAATTAATACTCCTTAAATTTCTGTTGTTGATTAGTTGAAGATGTCTATTTGGTGTAGAAGTTTCAGCCTTTACTTTGTATTCCAGCATTGACTCCACTACTGTCTCTCAGCCCTCCACCAAGTGGTCGGGATTACTACTTCAATCTAGATGATACTGAAGGTGCTTGTGATTTGTTTGATGTAGATATTAGCAACATGCTGTCTTCATAGTGCTGAGATTTCATCATTTTTATAGTTCAGTATTTTTTGTTGTTGTTATGCTCAGAAATTTTGTAAACCAAGAAATATAACTGCCCAGGAAAATTACAGGTATCACTTCATTATTTCGCTAGCACGTTTTGGTAATTTGAACGAGTGTTCATTTTGTTTTTATTTCTTTGTCTAAATAGTTAAACATTAGCTCTTACTTTTGTTTTAACGCTGAGCAAATCAATTTACTTTATACTCAGCAAAATCCAATTTGTAATTTTTTGGAAATGTGATGATAATTATTTTTCTGTCTGAAGTAAAATGGCAAACTTTGCACCCCTTGTGATCTGTACATATAGCAGTGCCTTTTAGAAGAAGTTTGTTATTACTACTCTCAGGCACTTTTTAAACAAGATTTCTCAATGAAAATTTTGGTCTCTCTTTGTGTTTGTGTACATAGTTGATCTTAAAGGGCAAACTTGTCCTATCCAAATTAATGAAAGTTGTATCTGGGCTATACAGGCTTTAGTTCCTTTTCTTTATAAAGTAAGATTTTGATTGTTTACATGTATGTACACAATTCAATTTGAAGACTTTTTATGACTTCTCCAGCTTAGCCCATCTTATGTACATGATGCTCAGGCATTTTGAGCCTGTTTAATTTGTATTCATTGTTGATGTATGCAGCATTGTTATTGGTGGATTGAAGGTTTACAAAGAAAAGCAATGAGTTGCTATTGTCCTTTTTTAATTTATGTGTTGACTGGTAGCTTTTAGTCACCAGATGTCTTTAGTTGCCCTAGGGCCACAGACATGTTTATCTATCAGCCACTAACTGCTGTAAAATATACGTTTTATCAAAAGAATTCCTGTAGAACTGATTGAACAGTTTCTATCCAACAGACATTGAGTGGGTTTGTTTTTTTTTAAAGTTGTGCTGATTTTTTTTTTTTTTAAATTTCTGACCTGTTTTACTTAAAGTTGAGCTACTAGCAACTTTTAAAGTTTGTTACACATTAGCAAGAAGAAACGGGATTCTCTAAATTTGCTGTCTTATTTATAATCTTTAGTGTCCTCAACTAGTATCAATGTGCAAGTAACATTCTCTCACTTGATTTGACAACAAAACAAAATAATTTTGTGTGTTTGACTTGTGAAAATAGTGGCATGTTACTATGTAGGCCATACTGGGTTTATGACTTGAATGAAAAACTGGTTGATATAATTGAATGACTGGTTATTATTACATACCTCACCTTTGCTGGGATTTTTTTTTTTTTTTTTGCTGTTAGGTTTTTTACTGCCATTGTCACACTATTTAATTAATATAAGGATTGCTTTCAAAGAATTAACTGTACATATTTTAAGATTTATGTACCACTTGTTATAATAAATGAAAGGATTTTTGTGTATGATATCAATAGGATTGTATTCTTGCTTGCATATATTCAAATATTTTCAGTGGGTTACTGCAAGGCTTGGGGTTCTGATAATTATCTGTAGAACAAGCACAAAGCCAGTAGTTTGACATCCTCTTGTAAATAAATTAGAAACAGCTTAGTTCTGTTCACCTGCATTAATGCATCAGTTTTGGAGTCTAAACATTCCTTTATTTTGAACTGTTACTAAAAGATTTGTGTGTGCCTTGCTGTAACCATCTGAAACCCAAAGTGTTCAATCACCCACATTATCTCCCCTATTTTAAACTTTTATTCATTTAGTGTAAATGTTCTGTTGTTTTAAATATTTGTTACGCAGCTTGTATATTTAGGTTTTTGTTGATTTAGTAAATAAATAACATTTAAATATAAACTAGATTTTTGTTTATGTTTATTGCAAGCAATTTGCCCGATTTGCAGCTTGTAAATAATAGCAATCATTCATTATTGATTAAACACAGAGTCCAATACAATGAATAGTTCATTTAATTTTGTTTGTTACAAAAATGACTTACTTTTTAAAAAAATCATAATTTAATGTGCCTAGTTGTGCTTTAAACAGTTTAAATGTGCAACTATTGTGCAGTGATATGATTAGAAAGACTTAATCAGGTTAACAAAGGTAAGATTTTCCCCTAAATAATTTGATTACAAGATGATTCTGGTCAAATATTTTTAGTTTCAACAAAAATATATCTTCTGTTTTATCATTAGATCTGAGGTAGGTAAGTTAAGTTTTCTTGTCTTTTTTTTTGGAGGGGTATTCTGGAATCAGTTATCACTTTCATATAGTGAATCAAATATAAAATTCTATCATGATCTTACTTCAAATTATCATTTGGGCAACTAAATTACACAAACAATTTAAACATTAAAGATAAAATACTTAACAATTGCACTTTTTAAAACAAACATGTAACATAATTGAATTCTTTATATTGGTTGGTAGCTTAACAGATATTCTATTGATAGAAGTTAAAACAGTTAAAATATTTGATCCATATTTTAACCTTGCTCTTATTTTTATGTGATTGTACAAGCTGAGCTGCCCTTGTCATCAGACTTGTTTCCCTTTACACCATTGGCAGCCTGGAATAGAGCAGAATTTTCTTGAGAAAAAGAGTCACACATTTCTATTTCAATGTTTTAAAAGTTGTATACTTTCATACATACATATATATGCTTGCTATACAACAACTGTATGTTATCTAACAACACCAGTAGACTACATACTCATCATATGATCAAACAAGTGACAACTTATCTGGAACTGTGTCTGATTAATCCAAGTTTACTACTGTATCCATATTCAATATTTATATTTATAAGACAATGCAAAATGCTTAAGTGATATCAAATAATATTTTTATTACTGCTTACATAGCCATTGCTTCCTAGATGGGTTGTTTTCTCTACAGGGAAATGATGATCTTTTACTTTATGATAGTCAATGATGCCATTAGACTTGGCAGCTTCATTTGCTAAGTCCTCTTCTTCTTCCCCAAATACAAAGAGACTAACAGTGTCTTCATCATCATGCTGAGAAAAAAATGAAGTTGAATAATTTACTAATGGATATTTTAGATAAACCATGCTGAAATAAGAAGACTGAATTAAAGTAAATACAATGCCATAAAATCAGTAAATACCCATTTAAATAAAGTTATTAATATAGTTAATATAGCTAGACTTGTTAAATAAAAATGAACAATTATCTAGGTAAGTATGTTTTTGCCTTGCTTTGAACCCATACACTGTTTCACACTAAATTGCTGCTGTCATGAATCTTTTTTTAGTTTACCTTAAAAAAAGCTACAAATACAAGCAACTAGTTTACTTTTTAATCTTATATTACTGAATGCGTTTTCCTTCAGATGAATAATATTTGAAAAGTTAAATTAACGAAATACCCACAACATAAACATTAAAAGAAAAACCATTAAACAAAATAAAAACCTAAACAGCAGACACTAAACACATTTTCAATTCAAGATTCAAAGAAATAAAATAAAACTTATCTACATCTCATATAAAAAGAATTTTGATCCATTAGATAAATTATTTTAAGTTAAAAGAAGAAAAATTAATACCAAATTAACAGGAAAGTTTTAAACCTTTAGACAATTACTGAAATTATATTCTTCAAAGATCCAGAGCCGGCGTTAGGGGGTGGCGAACGGGGCGGTCGCCATAGGCCCCGCGCTTGAAGGGGCCACGCGCTTCAGCAATGTCATTGTTATCTGAATTAGTTCGTAAACTTAAATAAATTGTGGCTGAATTCTATTGGGAAAAACTAAATGGTCGAATGCCGACGTTGTTGATTGTTATAACTGAGACCATGGTGATGTTACTGAGTTATCACCCACTGAACTGGGACAGGCCGTAATTCTATACAAAAAACAGTGTCACACACCTCCCCTTTGTGTAGTGTACGGTCGCATGGCATTTAACCTGAGCTGACTGGAGATGGCGGTCGAGAATTAGCCCACGACGTAAAGAGATACCCTATTGTATGCGGACCCATGAAGACGTCCTTTGTCCTTTTAGTGAGCAGACGGGATGTCTGTAGTAGACAGTTAGTAACCTGATGAACTCTAGTCCTGACTTTCTTGTTGTAGATGTCGTATAATGTCGTATATGTACAGTGTTTCTTCCAGACTTTTTTCTCCGGGGAGGGGGGGAAAGGGGCACTTGAAATTTTCGGGGGGAGGGGGGCGGTAGACTTTCTTCGGGGGGGGGGGGGGGGCGGACACTGTTAAAAGAATATATTTTCTATATAAATTATATAAATTTCATTTCGTTTTCGAAGAGATGCCTGGAAGAAACTCTATATGTAGGCCTACTTGTCTTGGTATAACAAAATTAACATTCAGCTGCGTGCAGAGGGGTGGGAGGATGGCGACGAGGGGGGGGGGGGGGGAGGGGCTTAGGATCTATATCAGGCGGCATTAAACAGAGTGATTTATTATTATTTTTTGGAAGAAAGTTAAAACTGTTGTTATGTTGTGTCACCTTAAGGATTCACCCGTTCAATAATTAAGACAATAGTGATTTTGGTTTTAAAATATTGTATGAATTCTAAACAAATTTTGAAGTCTATACTATATTGATACATCAGGCCGAGTTCGCTGTATTGTAAACTTTATTTTCCTATTATTCGGCACGTGATTAAATTTTCTTAAGTGATTTGGTATGAATTACATAACTGTCAAAAATGATTTAATATCTTAGCAAAGGAAAAAAAAACTACGAACATTGGGTTAATACATGGGAGAGATAAAAATCTGTTATTATAGTGGAAAGTTTGACATTAGCTTATAAACTCCAAAACATTTGTGTTATTGTGTGTACATCACATTATATAGGCCTTTATACATATATACATATATATATATATATATATATATATATATATATATATATATATATATATATATATATATATATATATATATATATATATATATAAATAATGGAAAGGCCCCGCGCGGATGGTTGGCCCTAGGCCCCGCGTATTCCTAAAGCCGGCTCTGCAAAGATCAATATTTCCCACTGAGCTTTCAAACAAAACTAGCTGCACTGCTCTAGTTTTAGCCAACAGCTTTTACAGTTATTATAGTCACAATAACGGAATAATAAATAGAAAAAAAACAGAATTTTAAATATGTGTAAGTCCAAAGTTGTGAGATTTAAATCTAAAACACTTAAAATTTACATCCTATTTTCCAATCACAATAGTATTTAATTAGTCATGTTTTAAAAGTAGATTCTCTTTAATATTAGAAAATTAAAGCATTTAAATGTAGCCTGTTCAAAAACAACGTTTCATTTTACTTTGGTCATATTTATTAGCTTAATTGATTAGTAAAATGAAATCAACTGTTTCAAGATAAACTTGTTACTTAGGTTAATTACTAAGATATATTTTTTTTTAATATTAAAACAATAGATGTAAGATACATATATAAGGCATAAGGTGAAGCAGAAATAAAAAATAAAAAAACTATGTAGAATCCATCCAAACATACAGTACAAGTTTTTGGAAAATTGAATTTGATTAAAAACATGTAAAATAAATATGAAAATATGGTCCCAAATTATATTTTAATTTGAGCAATATGATTATTAAATTTTAATGAATGATCAGTTTGTTGAAATTATTCTTTTCTGTCCTAATTAAGTAGGAAATTTTGAAATGACCATGTTTTCAATTAGACTTCATAATTAAGTTGATTGCTTCTAAATGAATAAAACTGAATATCTATTAAAAGAGAAAGTTGGGAACAATAAGGTTTTTCTTACATGTGTTGTACCATTAGAGTTATTATGTTTGGCTTGTATAAAGTTTTTAGCATGAAGTGCCTGAAAAGTTAGTTATATTTATTTTTTCTCAAAAGAGATTGCTAGAAAGGAAAATTAATAATAGAAAAGGTGATTTGAAAAACTGCAAAATAATTATTACTCCTATATTATTTGTGATTACTTTAACCATAAACAAGAATATAAGAAAAATAAATAACAAAAATATAAAGCATAAAGTAAATGAATCAACTGAATTTTCCATCATTAGGTATCCTCTTCATGCTGGATACCTTGCCCTACCGTAACTTAAACCTGATTAAACCTTTCAGATCTGAGTTTTGCTTATTACAGATGGGTTTTCATTTATTCTTCTCAGCAGTGATTTTAAAAACAATTTTTATAATCTATATTACTGATTAACTTATAAAGCAAATTATTAATATAGCATTAATAAAGCGAATGAATGTTGTTGTGACTGATTGTGATGTGCTCTCATTAAAATTGTATTAGGAATATTTTTGCTCTTTAAAAAAGGAAAGTTGTTTTTAAAAATGCGATAAAATTTTAAAAAATTGCTTATTTGTTGAAAAAGCTATGGACAAATGTATTTGTTTACCTTATTTAGCAAGTGTACACGAGTTTTAAGTCTTGTTCCAGTGCTATTAGCAACTGAAGAAACTGCACGGAAGAATGCATCATATTGCTGTTCATCTGCTGGTTTCTTGCTCCAGTCAAAACACAATTGCTTCAAGATTGAATTGGATATGTAACATACTTCTTTCAAATTAGATATTCACTTTTTAGCTTCTTAAATTCAAATTTTTTCATGATTGTATAGTATATAAATACAAAAATGCTTAAAAACACAAAAATAAATTCAATGTTCATTATCAGATTATTTTTTATAACGTAATTCTATTTTAATGTAAACTTATTTTAAAACTAACCATCATTCTCTTTTCTTTCTGTGCGAGTCTCTCATACTTGCGCTGCAGTAGGAAAAGTTCAGTTTTTAAATGTGAACTTTCAGGAGCTTGTAGATCATGTGAAATAACTGACTTTTTCCTGTTGACTTGAGATGTTGGACCTATCTGCTCCATGTGACGAAGTTCCTTGAATAAATGAAAACAATCCAAACATTGTTCAAGTAGTGTCAAGTACAACATAAAGTTCACAGAAATTTTTTTGTGTCTATTCACATTGTTTCTAGCTGTAAAAATAATTTACATTAAGCTGATTAGTTTTGAGTCTATTAAAATACCTTTGTTGAGAGTTTGAGCAGAGCTTAATTCTATTACAATACCTTTGTTGAGAGTTTGGAAAGTTTAGCATTTCCAGGCACATCTTCCTGCTTCCCATAGATTAAAAACGTTACAGTGCTGCTCTCAAAAAAATCCAGGTGCTCTTGATGAAGGCTTTGTATTGAAATAACCCTATGTCAAGTACAAACAATTCATTAAAACATTTTGTTAGTAGCCTCACAATTAAAGACAGTTACTATAATAATGGATGTTTTAACATAAGCTTTAAACAGCACACAGTGGTCTGGTTAAAGACTATATGAAAAAAAATTTTTGACTTGACTGTACAGTGAAGACATGTCTTGTCTAAAGGTGACATTATGCAAATGAAGAGAACATATGGTCAAAGTACTGGGTGGGTGGGAAGGATTAGATAAAGATAGCTGTTCATCTAAACCTTTGGGTACTCTGTATCACAAAGATATTAAATATAAGCTTTGAATGCGTGTTAAGCTGGGTTTAAGGATTATGGAAATATTATGTTTGGTTTTCTTTTAGTGTTTCACAATGGAATACACAATCCATGAATAAGATGAATTTTTAATTGTGTATAGACTGAATTATAAGCACAGTAAATTTACTATATACTTTTTTTAATGATGTTTGCTATTTTTTCCATTGTAAGTATAGTAGGACTATATTATGAATTTGGTTGGGTTTATTCTAAATATTTTTTAGGAAACTTTAATTTCTATAAGGTTTATTTTGTTAGTAGAAGTTGCATGCTAGAATAAATAACTTTATTGAGAGTCATTGTACACAATTGTACAGTGGTAGCAGTAATCTGATTTTTATTTGCCACAAAGCACATCAAGCCCAACAATCTAAACTAGAATTTTTTGCTTGATATTAGTGTAGGTTTGACTGTGTGCTCTGGTCAGAGGCGTAGCAAGGGGGGGGGGGGGGGGGGGGGGGGCGAGGGGTGCGGACTGCACCGGGTGACAGCATTTAGGGGGGTGACACCAAGGCAAAAAAGAGTAAAATATATAGAGGAAAATTTGAGGGGGGTGCAAATTGAAAGTTTGAGGGGAGTGCAAATCAAAAGTTCGTGGGGGGGGGGGGGTGCAAATAAAAAATTGAAAGTTTGAAAGAGTTCCTACCCTACGCCTCTGGGGGGGGGGGGTGACACCATTAAGTGCCGCACCCGGTGACACCAACCTCGCTACGCCACTGGCTCTGGTTACTAACTCAAAACTCAATCTCCTTTACCTGCTGTGGTTGAACTGTGGACTTAGAGTTCCTTCTACCAGTTTGGTCTCTGTGAACTCAGTGTCGTTTAACAGTCTGTACTTGACTTTAACACCTTTTGAAAATCTGCTGTTTAAAATCTCTGCTGATCTTATACAAATCTGGGGGAAGAATGTTAAGTTAAGCTCTAATAGCAATAAAAAGAACTACCCTATTAGAATTTTTTTATACTACCTAGTCCTATAGTTTAACTATTAGCAGGCCTACATCAATTATATAAATTTCTTTATATCCTTCAAAAAGCAATTCCTTAACAAGGAATTCAATCTATCAACTTTAAAAATATATATAGTACTATTACAATATTTATTTTCCAACCATAAAACAATAATATCAGATAAAATGGTAGGAAATGAATCTAGAACTTAAATAAAAATACTTTGAAGTGAAATGGTTTCCCTAGGAGATCTTTTGGCTCCTCCACAAAACTGTCTTCATCCAATGGCTTGCCACTGCTGTCACATGGTGTAATGTTGACTGAAAGCTTCCCTTCCTCTTCACCTTTGTAGTCAGTGATGGACAGCTCATCAGCAAAGTCCAGTGAATAAGACAGTGACTGAAAGAGTCCAAACATGATCTCTTATAAACTGAGTTGAAATTCAAATTCACATTTTTTTGTTTCATTTTTTTACTTTTGTTGCTTGTCAGGAGGGATCCATAATTTTTTTTAAATTGTGACATTTTCAAAATGATCCAGAAACTTATTTGAAAGCAACACAAACAAGTATTGAAATGCTTACCTGTAAAAACACATTTGCTGTTCCGATAAGTGCGTCTTCAGCTGGCTCCCAGAAAGGATCTTTTTCTCTTGATATTGTCATTACATTTTCTCCATCCAGATATTTTTGGTACATTTCCTGTCCACAAAATTAAATCATTGTTAACTTAAATTTAAAAAGAATTAGAAGTACATGTATGGAGAGTTAGTGCAGAATTGTTGCACATATGCAGTGTGAGAATATTCTGAGTTATCTATTTTTGTACCTTAAAAAAAGATTACATTCTGAGTTATCCATCTTTGTTTGGTTTTAGCTGTTGGCAATGAGTTACATTTAAAAAAAATTGTTTATTTCATTTTCAAGTTAAAGTCATTTTCAAATAAACAAGCACTTACCTGAATTAGATATCTCCTGTTCATGAATTTACCATGTTCCCAAAGCCATTCATTTCCATTCCTCAAGTCTTTCATCTTTACCATCACCCTGTTTGGGTCAAGTTTTATTTTCAACAATTAATCAGAAATATATCATGACTTAGACTTAATTAAAAACAAACATCAAACGCATTTTAAGTGTTCTGAGTAACAATAATCAGATCATTTGATAAATGTGAAGTATTTTAATCTTTAAAATAAGAGAAACAGTGAACTGATTGTCATAGGAAAGGTGATTCTTACAAATGTTTAAAATATATGTATTTAAAGCTTAATTTTAGAATATCTTGAAAAAAGTGCTCTCATAAAATAAATTGTTGATCGTAAAAAGATTTGCTCAAAATTTTCTTCCAAAATTTTTTAAATATATAATTTAAATAAAATCATGTACAGAGTGAAAAGCAGAATGTAAATTATGATTGTATCTTTATGTAATTATACCAGACTAAGATATGTTTCTTCAATTCATGAAACACACCTAGATTTAGCTACACAATAGGGGAACGGTATTCCCCCCCCTGTCAATTACCCCCGCCCAGAAGGACATTACCCCCCCCCCCCCCCGGACAGGGTTAGAGTTATTGTTAGGGCTAGGTTTAGGGTTAGGGTTTTGTGTGAAGTTTTAGGCTAAGGTGGATGCTTAGGTTTTGATCCTTTTATTAAGGTTAGGATTAAAGTAGTATATAGGTATAGAATTCTAGTTAGAGTTAGGATTCTAACTTGAGGGGGGGGGGAAATTACAGGGGGGAAATTGAACGGGTAACTGCTCTGGGGGGGGGGGGGGGGGTAAATATGGGGGGAATGTCCGGGGGGGGGGGGGGTAATGTCCTGTAGCCCACAATAGACAGTCTAAACAGTCATTTTTTGTTAACTATTAGTCATTATTCAAGATGATAAACACTGTCTAGAATATTTAAGCAAGCCTTAAGCAAGTGAAATTAATAATAAATTATTATTATTGAAATAAAATAGGTAGTGGTTGTCCTTTAGTTGTCCCAGTTAGAAAAATAAAAAAAGATTAAATTTAAGGTTAGTTAAGGCTTAGGGCTAGCTAAGCCTAACAGGCCCTTATCATAATCCCCTCTGACAGGACAACTTAGGAAAATCTACCTGAGGATAAGAACCGTAAAAGTAAAAATCAAAATTTTTTAGTTAGTTAATCTTCTAATCAAACTAATGTTAGATTTTTATTCACCTATACATTTGGATTACATAGGAAGAAAGGGACATAATGTTAGTATCACAAACCTGCAAGTTAACTATTCTGATGAGTATTTCATTACACAATGTGTTAAAACTACAAACATCTGCTTTAAAATGTAGCAAATACAATCCATGGAAACATAATATTAGTTTCTTTTAGATTTTAAGAGTTCACATTATTCATATAGATGTCTGTTATTAATGTGTTATGACCTACATTTTAAAAACATGTTAATGGATCAATGCTACACATTAGCTTAAACAACACTTCAAAGTCTGGCTGCAGGGACAACTAAAAATATAAAGCTTTCAACCATCCAATGTGAAATAAATGCTGTTTGAAACTACCTTGACTTAATGAGTTCCTCAGCTGTTCTGAAAAATGATTCAATGATAAGTTTCTAGTTTGCTAAAATCTAACAACACCATGCTCTGTACTAGATCTAGATGACGTAGACCAATTAAGAGTTTTTTTTTTTAAATTTTATTTTGTTTAATTACTTTTCTGACATTTAATATTTCTAACCAGCCATTATGATGGTCAGCAACGTAAAATTTTAAAAATTAAAAGTTTTTTTAAAACTAAAGTTTCTATGCTATCTGCAGCAAAAACTTAGATGGTATTTTAGTTAGCCAAAAGTTATTGATCATGTTAAGTATAAGTTGTGTAGTCTAATCAAGTTTAAACTAAATTACATAAACTATTGCAGTCAGTTTGAGGAACTTACTGGGATTCATTTTCTGATTTATTTTTGGTTTCCTGTACAGCAGCTGAAATCAATACAACTTCAAAAGAACGATATTTGTTAAGTTCCTCTGAAACTGCATTCACTTCTGATACCATTGGTAGAATTTCCAATATTTGTTCTTGGGCTTTTTGCTGCTCTGCAATTTTTATACAAATATTACTTTAACATGCCATAATAGGCAAAAATTAAACCACATATTATTGCTTTATCAAATCAAGCATCAAATATTTTAAATTTATCAAATTAATTTTTGAAACTGGGTTTTACTTTTATCAAAAGCAAAGATATTTAGATTAAAATCCTGCATTTGTTCATAATTCTTGTTTTATTTTTGGAATTATTTTCAATTCCATCTTTGAATACTTTCAAATAATTTTGTGAGAAAAAAACTGGTAAAGATTTGGTCAACTTCTGACCTTTAGTAAGTCCAGCCAGGCCAGTAGAGAATCCTTTAGCCTGAGCTACTTCATTTTGTGCAAACTCCCACGTGATCTCTTGAGGTGTGCCTTCTGGTGACTTTGGCTTCAGCGGATTGACAAAAACATACACATGGTTGGTGCCTGTATCCAAAATTAATTGTTCATATCAGATTAGTGAAAACAATGGAGTGTATAAATATCCATAATGCCGTGTAAAAATATACAAGTACTACTTTAAAAATCTAGTTGTACATGTTTTCTAACTGTCCACATGACTAACCAAAAATAATTCTGTCCTTGTGTTCAAGAGTTCTGGGCCCTGCTATGGGGATACCATTGACACGAATTTTAACCCCTTCAGCTCCAGGTTTCAAAACTATTTCCCCATTTTCATTGGCTAGTATTGCATGCTTCTTCTGAATGCTGGTTTGTGGAAGAAACATCAAAATAATCAGCCATTAAAACTAAAAACTAATTGTAAATACATTTTCAGTAGATAGAAACATACTTGGATATTTTGTTTACCTCAGACCATTAAGAACAATATCAGGGTTTCCATCTTTACGGCCAATGACTGTTGTCTGTCCAGTCATAAAATGAGAAACCACGCCTGACAACATTGGATCCTCGTTAAGATTCATTAAATGTGGCTCCTTATGTTTCCTTGCTATCTCCTTGTTTTCTTCCTTAGCTATGGCTTCTGTTTCATTCCTGGCAGCTGATAGCTACAGAAAAAAAAGTGGATTAGAATTCTGAATACTCCATACAAGTCTAGAACAAAGCAGAAAACACAATAGCCCCACCTTCTCATCCCAGGTCTGGTCACTTTCTCCCAATAGATGTTGATTGGCCAACAACTGAGCTCTGATTTTATCTTCCATGTCTTTTCTCATTGCTTCAAATTCTAAAACAAATGAGAAAACAAAACATTATGACACTAGGTGAATGTGTGATAGACTATTTGTACACAACTTCAGATGAAGGGGACCGATGGGTACCTTCTTTACTCATTGAGCCCTTTCCCTCCATTGATGCAACATTCCCAGCTTCAAGAGCTTTCCTCAACTTTTCATTTTCCTCCTAAAGAGAATATATTTTATTATCAAACACATTTATAACACAAGTAAGACTTTTATTTTGATCCACTTTAAATTTTTTTAATTAAGCAAGTTTTTAATTAAGTTATAACAACTAAAAGGCATTAGCTCCCCTTAATTTTCAGATAATTTACGCTAAAATAACAAAAAGCATTAGCTACCCTTAATTCTCTCATCATTTTATCCAGTGGGTTTTCATTGATAACAGCTTGGTTTTTTATTTTTTTGGCACGGTCAGCATATCTTAGAGTGGACAGAGTTTCATCATAGTTGATATCAGCAGGGGATAAGGCAGCTATCATCACAGTTTTACTGGGGAATTGAATAATTAGCTTTATTGGGGGAACAAAATCATTAAAAAAAAAATTATCTTTTGTTTTATTTTTAAAACATTATCATTTGTTTTACTTTTAAAACAAAATCATGTGCTTTACTTTGAAATCACCTGTTTTATTTTGGAAACAAACCATTTTGTTTAACTGGAAAATTCAAATTCTTTCAGATTGAAGAGTTAGCTTCACCAGTGTGTGCCTTAACTCTTAAACTCATTGAAAATGGCAGGCTATCACAGACTTTGGTTGATGAAAACACCTGGATTACCTGTAGCCACCAACACCTGGATTACCTTTTGTCATAAGCACCTGGATTACCTTTTGTCATAAGCATCTGGATTACCTGTTGCCACCAGCACCTGGATTACCTGTTGCCACCAACACCTGGATTACCTTTTGTCATAAGCATCTGGATTACCTGTTGCCACCAGCACCTGGATTACCTGTTGCCACCAACACCTGGATTACCTGTTGCCACCAACACCTGGATTACCTGTTGCCACCAACACCTGGATTACCTGTTGCCACCAACACCTGGATTACCTTTTGTCATAAGCATCTGGATTACCTGTTGCCACCAGCACCTGGATTACCTGTTGCCACCAACACCTGGATTACCTGTAGCCACCAACACCTGGATTACCTGTTGCCACCAGCACCTGGATTACCTGTTGCCACCAACACCTGGATTACCTGTAGCCACCAACACCTGGATTACCTGTTGCCACCAACACCTGGATTACCTGTTGCCACCAAGAGCATTCTGCAGCAGTTTGGTCAGCACAGACTCCCTGTAGGGGACCACCACTTTTTTCTTCTCTGAGGCGTCTGCTAAAGCCTGGCAGGTTTATTTAGATACAATTTAATACTTAAAGTTTACTCTTTATAGGTATATATTATAATATTTTTAAATGAATGTGTCTAAAAATCAAGCATTATCTGATTTGAGCTGAAGAGGTTAGTAAATTGGATAATTACTTTGACAAACCTAATCTAATAATAAAATAAAACAATTTTTTAAGCTAAGAGACACTTATTTTATGTGTAGCCAACTGCATTTTTTTAAGCTTTCAAGCTTAAAGGCGAACACATATTTTGTGTGGCTGACAAGATTTTTAAACTTACTGAGATGAGATTTCCCTTTTTAAACTTACTGAGATGACATTTCCCAAGGCAGAGAGAGATTTGTTGATGTTGGCTCCCTCTTTCAACCTGTCCCCAGTGGCGCCGGTGGAGTCAGCTCTCTCTGAGCCAGCCAGGTCAACCAAGTTCATTGTGCTGCTTTTCTTTGTTTCCTCACCATCTCCCTGCCTGGAGATTTGGTCAAAGACAATGGTAACCACGGTGTGGGCACGGCTGCTGGTGGCATTCATATTTGTAGATGCCACCGTTCTGTTGGAGGTCCCTACAAATACAAAACACATTTGGTGGCGTTCATGTTTGTAGATAGTAGATGCCACCGTTCTGTTGGAGGTCCCTACAAATACAAAACATTTTCTTCCAGAGCGTTTGTTAAAATATTTCTAATATTTATGGCACATAGTGGGTTAGACTCTTCTTGAGTCTTTAAATATTAAATGGCCTCAAGGTAAAAGTATTTTGTCAAGCTCTCTACCTTTGTTTAATTTGTTGCATACAATATCAAAATGTTAAATTTATAACTTTTAAAACTTTAATTAAAAAAATAATTTAAAAGTGTGAGGCTCTTCTGAACTGAAAATGTACAAAAAACATGCTTTTTCCAAGAGAAAAATAAAGATCCCTTCCCTCATAGCAAACCTAGCACACACCATCACATTTTTCTCCCATACTGAATGAAGGATTTAGTAAACAACAAGAGTTTGAGAGGGAAAGATTTTCAATAAGCCACACAACATAAAATATATTTAATCTTGCTGGACAAATTAGTCTTAGCATTTCTGTTGGTTTCATACCCTGTTCCATTCGCATTTCAATTTCAGCATAGCTTCCAACAGGTATTTTTTTCAAGTCTTGAACATAAAACATTCCCAGTCTGGGATTTTGTCGAACTTGAAGACCTCCTTTAGGATTGTCTTTAGAAAGTAGGTCACGCACCTGCTCATTGTAAATCTCCAACATGGAAAAGGTGACTTCAAAACGCTGAAAAAAATTATTTAGAAATAGTAATGAAGTATCGTTGTACTAATATCTGTGAGGCTTCATACCCTTTGCCTCTTTGGCCACAAATCTAACATTTGCATCCTAAGGTAGGCATAATTATCTAACAACAGTAATAACCTTCTTTATGATGTTCACTCAAGCTTGTGCAATTTGTGTGGTTTTTTTACCTGGATATAATTTGTTTACCTGGATATGATTGGTTGACCTGTTTGTTATTTATTTACCTGTGTGGGATTGGTTTACCTGTGAGTGATTTGTTTACTTGTATGTGATTTGTTTACCCATGTATAATTACTTTATAATTTTGTGTATAATTTTTTTACCTGTGTGTTTGTTTACCTGGATTTGATTTGTTTCTTGTGTGTTATTTATTTACCTGTGTAATTTGTTTACCTGTGTGTGGTTTTTTGTTACCTGTGTGTGATTTATTTACATGTGTGATTTGTTTACCTGTGTGTGATTTGTTTACCTGTGTATAATTTATTTACCTGTGTATAATTTTTTTTACCTGTGTGTGGTTTGCTTACCCATGTATAATTTATTTACCTTATTCTCATCAGTATTCGCTGCCATGGCCTTGAACAACTCATTACATGTAATCGGCACAATTCCTCTGTAAAACAAATACGCTCTTTACATTATAACAATTTTTATTACATGCCTGTGTAAATCAAATGAACAAATGTTAAACTTTTTAAAAAGTGTAGCTACATCAAACAAAACAAAGTGTGTTAAAGAAACTGACTTACTTATTGGGCCCATAACCAACCATGGAATATGATTTCCCTGATCCTGTTTGCCCATAGGCAAAGAGGGAGCAGTTATAGCCTAACAAGAGACATGAGAATTAGTACACAATGCTGTAGAGATGAGAATTAGTACATAGTACATAGTGCTGTAGGCTTTCAGTTGACTGATTCATTCACTATAATAAGAAATATGCCAGTTGATTTATGTATACCCTGTAAATAGTGTATATCATTTTACCACCAACCTTCAAACGCATTGTCTAAGACACCCTGACCAAGGTCCTGGAAAACATCTTTTTGGCTGGCATAATGAGATCCTGATGTAGCCTCCAAAATCCCATCAGCCCTTGTAGTGTAGCCATCATGGGACCTAAAAATAGAACAGTAATCCAACTTTCTCATTGATGGGATTTTGTAATATTATTTTGGTCTAAAAGCATCATATTCTTATTTAATGAATAGCAAACTAAACTATCTGGACATGAAGTTTGTTTGATTTTTTAAAAATAATATTATCTTATAAAAATATAACTGATACACTTACCAATAAGAATAATCAAAAGAAAACTGAAACAAGAACAGGTAAAATGTTTAAGCTTTAATTCTACAGATAACCCCACACCTCAATTTTAGATTATTTATCAAGCGTACTGGTATTAAATAAGCAAGTAAAAAGCTCAACCCAATTTACCTTTTTTGGTTCTTCACCTGAAATGGAACAAAATAAAATAATTAAGATTAAAATTCCAAGCTCTTATAAAAAAAATAGTCCTAAACCTAATAGCAGCCATGCAAAGCCAAAAGTAGAATTTGAAGTTTAAGAAATGAGAAAAAAAACATGTTTTTAATTCTTGAAAATTACAGAAAATTCTTTTTTTTTCTGTTATACTTATTTTTTTAAAAAATCATCCCAAGAACATGATTTCAGATTTAGGTCAAGGAGCAGGTCTAGATCTAGATCTATTATAGGTATGATAGGTCTAGATCTATCTGAAAATAAAATAGCTTTTTACTTTTTTTTTTAATAAATAAAGAAAATGACCAGTAAAACTAAACCAAATATAAAATAACTAAAATAACACATGTTGCTGCAATGATGCATAAAAACATAACAATAACATCCTCATGCTTATATAAAACTTTTAAAATAAGGAAATAAACTCACTGATTTTTTAAATTAATTATCAATTACTAATTGTTTTATATCTAGATCTACTGATTACTAGAATGACAATAAGATCTAGATCTAGATTGAATTGAAAATAAGATATTTTTGTCTTGTCATCAGATATGAAGTTACCTTGAAAAACGAGGTCATTACATAATATTAGTTTAGAATAGGGCTGGTAAGTAGGTCACCAACCAGTTCTACGGCTCAATAAAACCTGCTTGAGCTATAAAACAGTTATATGGCTCAAGCAGGTTTTATTGAGCCGTAGAACTGATTGGTGACCTACTTACCAGCCCTATTGATTAGAATTAAGAGATCTAGAAGGGTCAAAACAAAGTTTCAAGAGTTGCCACAAGCCCACATAAAAACATTGTGACAGAAGTAAAAGCTTTTACAAAAACATTCTGAAGCTTGGGGCCTAGAGGAGACTTTTAATTGTACTGTACCATTTGGGTAGTATGAAATTAGTACTCCATGTTTTACATTCCATGGATAGTTTCCCTTACTGATTACCATTTTTAGAAAGTAAAGAACGATAACTTTGAGGAAGGTGAGTCCTAGCTTAACCATGACAGAATTCCATGTCACCCGGGGAGTGGTCAGTGCGTGATTGAGGTAGGGGGGGGTCCTAGTTAATATGACATCACACATTTGTTTGTGATAATTATAAATAAAACAAATTTGAACAACTCACAAAATAGCTACAGCAGGACTCGATATCTCGGACTAGCATTCGACACTTTAATAAACGATATTATTAATTATTATGACACTATTTAATTCACTGAGTCAGACAGATCATTTCGACCAGTGAGTAGTTCCCCATCGAGGTAAAACTCCATTTCAGCGTATTTTATTCTCCGTTGCTTGTTTACCTCCAGTTGAGCGTATTTTATTATAACAACCGAAACACACCAAAACATTAGGAAAACACGATTTATTTTTTGTATTGTATTTTTGTTTTAGTAAATGAATAAAAATGAATATTTAAAAAACACGACTTGTTTATTTATATTGTATTTTTTTGAAAAAGGCATTTGTCTCATGGTGAAACTGATACACTGTTACTGTTAATCATTCTGTTTTATATTTTTGTATTTATGCAATAAATGTACAAACGCTGTGTTTTTTAATTTTACAGTTTTGCTAAAACTGAAAAAAATATTTTACTATAGAGTTGTATGTTATTTAAATTCATAGTAAATCTACCATCCTTCTATTTTTTGTATGAGTAAATTTCTGACTTAAAAAAAATTGATGTGGGGTCGTCCATAAATGACGTCACACTCGTAAGGGAGAGGGGGGTCAGCAATTTTGTGACGGTGTGTGATGAGGGGGAGGGGTTTCAGATGGTGTGACGTCCCTTTTTTGCATTATAAAAAAGCAATGTTAGAAAAACAAGTTTTAGCCGTTATTTCGCGTTTTAGAAAACGGTTTTAATAAATTGTAATATGAATTGATCAAAATACTCTATGTTGACAGAGTTCTGACAAGATTTTGGAAAAATTATCGATGTTTTAAGAAAAATTCAACAGAAATTTTGAGGGGGGGTTGTAGGCTGAGGTGTGACGTCATTTTAGGGGGGGGTCTGACTTTTTGTGACGACGTGTAACGGAGGGGAGGGGGGAGGTAAAACTCGTAAAAAAAAGCTTGTCGTCACAAAAAGCAAGACCCCCCCCCCCCCAAAATGACGTAGCACCATCTGAACCCCCCCTCATCACACACCGTCACAAAATTACGCCCCCCTCCCCCTACGAGTGTGACGTCATTTATGGACGACCTCTAACATTATTTTTCGGCAGCATCATTGTGCCTTTTAATACTTTTATTCAGTTTAGTTGAAATTGGAACACTTAATTGTACAAAGTGTGCATCTCTATTTTTGTAACCAACAAACAAAGCACTTCAGTCAGTCTCTTTGTTGTTTTTTATTCATTTGTTAAAACAAAAATACAATACAAATAAATAAGTCGTGTTTTTTAAACATTCATTTTATTCATTTGTGAAAACAGAAATACAATACAAAAAATAAATCGTGTTTTTCTAATGTTTTAGTGTGTTTCGGTTATTATAATAAAATACGCTCAACTGGAGATAAACAAGCAACGGAGAATAAAATACGCTGAAATGGAGTTTTACCCCCCATCGACTAAATACGAAAAGAAATTGCTTTATTCAATGAATTTGGAGAGCCAAGTCTTAGGACTAGAATGGATGGGACGTCTGGTATCGCGTCGCGGGGTGTCTGGTATCGCGGGGTGTCTGGTATCGCGGGGTGTTTGGTATCGCGGGGTTATCGCGGGGTGTCTGGTATCGCGGGATGTCTGGTATCGCGGGGTGTTTGGTATCGCAGGGTGTTTGATATCGCGGGGTGTCTGGTATCGCGACTCAATGAGATCTGAAGGGGAGAAAATATTCTTCGGCAAAAATCTCGACTTGCGGAAACCCGTCGATGTTTATTTACTGAGTTGGTTTTTTTTTTAATATGCTCAACAAAAATTCCTAATTAGAGGAAATCGATATTGGTTCATATCGATCCATTTGAAAAATCGATCCCACAGTTTTTTGAACTGTCAACAGAAAAAAGTTCGTTTTTAAACGAAGTGCATAATTCATTAACGCTTTTGTTTATCGTCTATATCCATTGCACCAGCAATAATATGTGGTTGTTAAACTAGATCGATTTTCGCACACCGATATGTGTGTGTAGGAGCTACTTCTCAAGCAATTACCTAACAATGACTTGATCCAATGACTATTTTTTTTAACGTCAGGTGCCAGTGATTAGGCTGAGCCTTGACGTAAACTTTTGTAGACTTAAGTAGCTATATATATATATATATATATATATATATATATATATATATATATATATATATATATATATATATATATATATATATATATATAAGACAGTTTTTAATGGACAGCAAAATATTTTAAATATTTGAGTGCTGTGTCAGTCTAGTCATGTACAAAATCCAACAACAACAAAAAATTTCGATTAAAATAATGTAGGTCATTGCAAGGCTTCGATTTCTGTGAGTAGATTTGAAAAAAAAATTCATTTTGTCAAAGAAATCAAAAAGCAACTTTACATGATATATATGGGAGTTTATATGGTGAAGAATCATTAATGGGGGGGGGGGGGGGGCTATATAAACTGTATCATAAAGTCACGAATCACGAATGGGAGGATCATAGAGCCACGAATGGGAGGATCATGAAGTCACAAATCATGAATGGGAGGATCATAAAGTCACGAATGGGAGGATTATAAAGTCACGAATGGGAGGATTATAAAGTCACGAATGGGAGGATTATAAAGTCACGAATGGGAGGATTATAAAGTCACGAATGGGGGGATTATAAAGCCACGAATCACGAATGGGAGGATTATAAAGTCACGAATGGGAGGATTATAAAGCCACGAATCATCAATGGGGGGATCATAAAGTCACGAATGGGAGGATTTTAAAGCCACGAATGGGAGGATTATAAAGCCACGAATGGGAGGATTATAAAGCCACGAATCATGAATGGGGGATCATAAAGTCACGAATGGGAGGATTATAAAGTCACGAATGGGAGGATTATTAAGTCACGAATGGGAGGATTATAAAGTCACGAATCATGAATGGGAGGATCATAAAGTCACGAATGGGAGGATTATAAAGTCACGAATCATGAATGGGAGGATTATAAAGTCACGAATGGGAGGATTATAAAGTCACAAATGGGGGGATTATAAAGTCACGAATGGGAGGATTATAAAGTCACGAATGGGGGGATTATAAAGCCACGAATCATGAATGGGAGGATCATAAAGTCAGGAATGGGAGGATTATAAAGTCACGAATGGGGGGATTATAAAGCCACGAATCATGAATGGGAGGATCATAAAGTCACGAATGGGAGGATTATAAAGTCACGAATGGGAGGATTATAAAGTCACGAATGGGGGGATCATAAAGTCACGAATGGGGGGATTATAAAGCCACGAATCATGAATGGGAGGATCATAAAGTCATGAATGGGAGGATTATAAAGTCACGAATGGGAGGATTATAAAGTCACGAATCATGAATGGGAGGATAATAAAGTCACGAATGGGAGGATTATAAAGTCACGAATGGGGGGATTATAAAGTCACGAATGGGAGGATTATAAAGTCACGAATGGGGGGATTATAAAGCCACAAAACATGAATGGGAGGATCATAAAGTCACGAATGGGAGGATTATAAAGTCACGAATGGGGGGATTATAAAGCCACGAATGGGCGGATCATAAAGTCACGAATGGGGGGATTATAAAGTCACGAATGGGAGGATTATAAAGTCACGAATGGGGGGATTATAAAGTCACGAATGGGGGGATTATAAAGTCACGAATGGGAGGATTATAAAGTCACGAATAGGAGGATTATAAAGTCACGAATGGGAGGATTATTAAGTCACGAATCATGAATGGGGGGATCATAAAGCCACGAATGGGAGGATTATAAAGTCATGAATGGGAGGATTATAAAGTCATGAATGGGGGGATTATAAAGTCACGAATGGGAGGATTATAAAGTCACGAATGGGGGGATTATAAAGCCACGAATCATGAATGGGAGGATCATAAAGTCACGAATGGGAGGATTATAAAGTCACGAATCATGAATGGGAGGATCATAAAGTCATGAATGGGAGGATTATAAAGTCACGAATGGGAGGATTATAAAGTCACGAATCATGAATGGGAGGATAATAAAGTCACGAATGGGAGGATTATAAAGTCACGAATGGGGGGATTATAAAGTCACGAATGGGAGGATTATAAAGTCACGAATGGGGGGATTATAAAGCCACAAAACATGAATGGGAGGATCATAAAGTCACGAATGGGAGGATTATAAAGTCACGAATGGGGGGATTATAAAGCCACGAATCATGAATGGGAGGATCATAAAGTCACGAATGGGAGGATTATAAAGTCACGAATGGGAGGATTATAAAGTCACGAATGGGGGATCATAAAGTCACGAATGGGGGGATTATAAAGCCACGAATCATGAATGGGCGGATCATAAAAAACACGAATGGGAGGATCATAGAGTCACGAATGGGCGGATCATAAAGTCACGAATGGGGGGATCATAAAGTCACGAATGGGAGGATCATAGAGTCACGAATGGGCGGATCATAAAGTCACGAATGGGGGGATCATAAAGTCACGAATGGGAGGATTATAAAGTCACGAATGGGGGGATTATAAAGTCACGAATGGGAGGATTATAAAGTCACGAATCATGAATGGGAGGATCATAAAGTCACGAATCATGAATGGGAGGATCATGAAGTCACGAATGGGAGGATTATAAAGCCACGAATCATGAATGGGAGGATCATAAAGCCACGAATCATGAATGGGGGGGGGGGGATCATAAAGTCACGAATCATGAATGGGATTGTTGTAAAGGCACTATTCTGGCCGCTGCAGTTTCCTGATGTGACGCGGACGTTGGTCGTTATAGAACGTATCGATTATCGATTACTGATGACTGTCAACTGGTTGTTGAGGCGTTGCCAGGGTCCTTGTGCATGTAGGGCAGGTGGGGTTAGTCAACGAGGATTATAGAAAGCTGTCAACAAATTTACATAACAAGATGGCTGTCAAGGGGAGTAATGCATGTGTCGATTGTTTGAGAGACCTGATAAACATTGTTTATTATTTGCTTTATGTGTCAAATTATGGAAATGAAAGCAGTGCAGCTGCTAACAGAATGTATGTTGAAATTGATTCGATCCTTTGTTGACTGTGTTAACTTGTATGGCCATACATATTTCATGACAGTTGGGCTGAAAGCTGCATGGGCCCGTTTTGTAAATATCTGTTGTGCAAATTGAAAACGGGCTCATTTAAATAAATTATTCCCTGGATTGTTTCCACAAGCCTGTTACCTACTTTTGTTACATTGTACCTAGGAACTTTTCCCGGCACTTTTGTTCTCGGCGAGAACCAACAATCGCTCCATCAAGCTTTGTTGTAGCTTCCATTGGCTTTATCATAACTTGATCTGCCATTGTTTTAGCTTGAATTGGCTTTGTTATGAATTGATCTGGCATTGTTTAATTTTCGGATGGGCTTTGGGGTATTTAAATCACATGTAAATAATCAATTACAACCTAAGTAGGCTAATGGTATGGAAAAAAAAGATAGGGAAAAGCAGCAGACATCCAGTACACAACGTGGCCCCAAGTTTCACGACATCCCAAGCAGGCTGATTTCAACTATTTATCATGCAAATTAATGATCAGCGCTTAGCTCAAGTGCTGTATAACTTAGTATAGTACACCGTACATACAAATTAAATATGTGCACCGAAAGGATTCGTCTACCATTGATTCACACAACAAAATTAAATTATATTTCCCTCCATAATTAATCTATTAGACATTGTGACGTCATGGCGTGAGCGTCCTGATATTTAACAAAACTGTTCAATTCAATTGAATACATAATATATCGTGGTACCTCGACATACGAGATTTTTTTTAGATACGAGTCGTCGAGAGATCGATGATTTGCTTTGAAATACGAGGAGCCGTATCAGCCATTTTGAGAAAACCAGTGACGAAAATTACGCGAAATGTAAACACACTTTATAAAAACAGTTTATTTATCTAGTTTTCTTTTATTTATTTTTTTGTATATAATATTCGTAATTTAAACATAGATTTCCTTATTCAAAAACACGTTACTTAAACAACTGGGATGGCATTTTGGTCGCTGAAACGGGTTCATGGCATTTCAAATAACCTCAATCGGGAAAAATGCTTTGAGATGTTTGATTTACGAGCAAGGTTAATGGACATTGTAAATTCGTATTACAAGGTACCACTGTATTTTGATCGTGTGGTTCAGATGATTTTGACGGCTAAACTATTGAATTTCTTGTATACTTCCCCTCCTCGTGTGTATTGAAAACAAAATTGTATTGCTACAGTACCTGGTGCTTCAGGGTTCTTGATTGAGGTCATGTTGCCCTGCATCTTAATGATCAGTTTGGCCTGACGATCTTTTTCTCTAGACATTCAAGGATTAGGAAAGTTCAAATATGCTGTCTACATAGTACGATTTTAAAGCTTGACATTACAAGGGGAAGTAAGTCTAATTAAACGTGTTTTGGATATTTCAATACAACATAATTGTAATAGTGTGATATATGGGGTAGTGTCTGGTGAATTACATTGTTATAGTGTGATATATGGGGTAGTGTCTGGTGAATTACATTGTTATAGTGTGATATATGGGGTAGTGTCTGGTGAATTACATTGTTATAGTGTGATATATGGGGTTGGAATAGGATTTAATATAGAGACTGCACTTAACTGGAAGGTTTGAAAGAAACTGCACTAATAGAAATGGGTCGAAATGAGGTACACGATTTGACAGACAGACAGACAGACAGACAGACATCTTGTAAAAATACCTTTGGTTGAAAGGGCGCACCCTGACGGCGACCTTGACTCTGTGGGTAAAGTGACACTGATGTTAGATTTATAAACAGTCGAAGGTGTACATTGTACGTGAAAACTGACACAATTACATTCAACCCGTGATTTAACAACATTCAGCAGAACATTGGCGGAAATATAGTGCATATATATATATATATATATATATATATATATATATATATATATATATATATATATATATATATATATATATACACATTTTATTAAAATATACGTATATACTTCGCATTTAGGCTCTGCGAGAAGGCGTTGAACCCAACCCAACAAAAATGTCACACTTCTGTCACACACACACACACACATATGTAAAAATATATGTATATATATGAGTATATATATATATATATATATATATATATATATATATATATATATATATATATATATATATATATATATATATATATATATATATATTTGTGTGTAAAAAATATATGTATATATATGAGTATATATATATATATATATATATATATATATATATATATATATATATATATTTGTGTGTGTGTGTGTGTGTGCAGACGTAAATGCTAACTGCAGACTACGATATTGCATTAGGACATAAGGCCTAGATATTCGAGAGGGTAATATTTTCTTTATCACGGGGGACATTAGAGATTCTCTTTATCACGGGGACATTAGAGATTTGCTTTGTTACAGGGACATTAGAGATTTGCTTTGTTACAGGGACATTAGAGATTTGCTTTGTTACAGGGACATTAGAGATTTGCTTTGTCACGGGAGAATTTTTTTTAAATACTCACGAGTCTTCGGGCATGTTGTGTGTTATCCTCCAACCCTAAGGTTCTGGTGTGTTATCCTCCAACCCTAAGGTTCTGGTGTGTTATCCTCCAACCCTAAGGTTCTGGTGTGTTATCCTCCAACCCTAAGGTTCTGGTGTGTTATCCTCCAACCCTAAGGTTCTGGTGTGTTATCCTCCAACCCTAAGGTTCTGGTGTGTTATCCTCCAACCCTAAGGTTCTGGTGTGTTATCCTCCAACCCTAAGGTTCTGGTGTGTTATCCTCCAATCCTAAGGTTCTGGTGTGTTATCCTCCAATCCTAGGACGGTGTGTTATCCTCCAACCCTAAGGTTCTAGTGTGTTATCCTTTAGTGAAAACCATCTACAACAAAACTCATCTTTATTAACACTTTGTACAGCTACACAATGTTGCCTAGATCCGAAACAAAATCAATCTCATTTTTTAAGTCAGTTACAAAAAGATCTAGAGACTACACAGAAGGCCCTAACACCAACAATTCTGCCGACGACAGTGGCGCGTGGCCCAGTTCCAGACCCAGAAATCTAGCCCCACCCCCGGGGAAAACAACAGGGCGCCATGACGCAGGCCGGTTGACAAGAATTCAATATCGACGCGATGGTTTCAGCTCAATACACCAGGGGATAAATCAATAGTTTTAACTGCAGATCCGTTTCCATCACTGTCGAAAGCTGTTTACTTGAAAACTGTGTGTTCCATACAAGTATTTAGGTTTACAATATCTATAGATCTACAATATCTATACTTGAATGGATGGTGGGGGAAAGAGAAGGGATTGGGGACGCTTAATTTGTTATTAACATAAATTTAAAATGTTAGATTTGAAACAGATTCACGGGAAACTTTTGAGGTTTTGAAATTATGGTGAACCATTAAAATCTATATATATAATTCTCTTCTTCGAGCCGTTAGAAAACAAGCTGCAAACGCTCTCCCTACCTCCCCACCCCTACATGGTTTTAGTGAGCTGTGTTCACTCTAAATGTTTACAAGCAGAGCCAACGATTTTAAACATAGAGGGGGGGGGGAGGGGGGGGGAAGGAAGGGGGAGGTTATGGTCCTTAACGAGCTACTTATAGTGTTTTAAAGAAATATTTTCAGTGGCAGCGTTGGTACTGTCGAATTCACAAATTATGAATTATTGAAAATTAGAAACAACTAAATAGCGGTGTATGTTATGCCGCGGGCCGGCTCGTACTCTTTAATACATTAATTTATGTGTGTAAATAAATTAGCCACGCCGAGACTATCAAGGTAATTAAAACACCCCTTATACTTTAAACCCACAATACAATGGGCTCCGTCTACAGGTTTCCATCTACAGGTTTCCATCTACAGGTTTCCGAGTACACGTTTCCATTTACAGGTTTCCGTCTACAGGTTTCCGTCTACAGGTTTCCGTCTACAGGTTTCCGTCTACAGGTTTTCGTCTACAGGTTTCCGTCTACAGGTTTCCGTCTACAGGTTTCCATCTACAGGTTTCCGTCTACAGGTTTCCATCTACAGTTTCAGCTGTCCACTGCGCCCTTTTAACATAGGTAGCTGTCCACTGTGCCCTTTTAACTTACTTTCAGCTGTCCACTGCGCCTTTTTAACACGTTCAGCTGTCCGTTGCGCCCTTTTAACATAGGTAGCTGGCCATTGTGCCCTTTTAACATGCGTTCGGCTTTTCGTTTTAAGATAGTTGTGCATCTTGTCCCGTTTCTCACTACAGCTATTCAGTACGTCAAATTAAGTTATTTTAATTGATTACTTTCATCTTTACTGTCAAGTACTTTACTTACATTTTATCTCAACTTCTATTTATTCATTGTTTTTTTTACTAAGGGATCATCCATAAATGACATCATGCTTTTTTGGCGATTTTTACCTACCCCCTCCCCTCCGTCACACATCGTCACAAAAAGCCAGACCCCCCCTAAAATGACGTCACACTTCAGCCTACAACCCCCCCCCCCCCCCCTCAAAATTGTAGTTGAATTTTTCTTAAAAAATCGATATTTTTCCAAAATTGTGTCTGAACTCTGTCGAAATAGAGTATTTTTTCAGTTTTCTAAAACGCGTAATAACGTCTAAAATTCCGTTTTCTAACATTGCTTTTTTATAATGCGTAGTGTGACGTCACATCATCTGAACCTCCCCCTACCAACACACTGTCTCAAAATTACGGACCCCTCCGAGTGTGACGTCATTTATGGACGACCTCTAAATAGCTTGTATGTCTCAATTAATGGGGAAAAAAAGAAGATAGGGCTCGTCCGGGATTTGAACCCGGGACCTCTCGCACCCTAAGCGAGAATCATACCCCTAGACCAACGAGCCGTTGCTTTCATGTGAACAACAATAGTATTTAAATAATTTATAACAGCTTATTCTCCTGGGGTTTATTTTTTAAGCTTTTGAAATAATTTTGATCTATTTCTTCTTGAACCATTTTGTAGGAAAATTCCTTTTTTAAAACGAATCTTAAAATAGTGACATATTACTATTGGTTTCATTTTATACAAGTTTTGTTATTATGGCCCCTTGATTCTTGATAATGGCGACGTCCTTCAACATATAAATTACTACACGACTGTACACGACTATACGATCTAAGAAATGTATTATTTTTAAACATGTTCTTATTTATTAGATATAGATCTATTAGCTTTTAGACAAGTGTAGATCTAAATGAATCATTAATATTTTCATAATTTTAATTTAGATCTAGATCTAGATCTAGCTTGGTCTCAAAATTCTCGGTAATCTATCGTTTTGGGTACGTAAAATCGCCCGCGATTTGTAATGTGAAAAACAGGTGACTCCTTAAATTTTAATAATTATTTCACATTTTGAGGAGGATTTATGTTTTAAAAAATTCAGAAATGTTTCCTTGATTCATTTATGTACCTGTTTTTAAACAATTGAATTAAAACTTTTCCGTAATAAATGAAGACTAGCGATGTTTCCAACAGATGCAACCATGCACATTTACTATAGCAGCCATCTTGTCTAAGTTTTATTTTTATAAGCTTTTAGCGCCAGATTCAGGGGGAAGCCACTCTATTTTACAAATGGCTGCTGTTTATATAGCAAATCTTGCTCTCAGACACTGCTGTTTAAAGTTAATTTCTGGCCTATATCGATATATTTAGCCATTGATTTAGGTTTATTATTCATTTATCTATAATATTTGACACAAAAGTATGACAATATACTTCTATTAAAGCCTTGACAATGAGGTAACGTTTTCGTACATAAATAGCCGCGGGCGATTTTACGTACCCAAAACGATAGATTACCAAATTCTCAAATAGTCAGACTCAATGGCATGGACACCAATGAGTTGACGAGTTGACGAAAATCCTTCCGTAATGTTGTTGACATGGAATAAAAATGTGCATTTTTAGATTAATTTTTTTTAGATTTAGGACCATAAAAATAATAAAAGATAAAATTTTATTAAAAACTTAAGCCTAAAATTCAGAAATTTAATATTTTTAGAATCAATGAATGCTATACGCCACTATTCACTATTATACGGTTATAAAATAGAGTCCTTTCATATGACGTCACGCCCGTTCGTGATACCTACGCCCGCCGCCACAGTGGTGTACACCAGACGTAAACACAATCAGCTGTTCGCCAGCGCTGGACGTGTTCACCAGCGCTGGACGCGTTCACTGTATGTAAAGAACCGCACCCGCGGAAAAGGAAAAATACGTTAAAAAACTTGAACTCTTAGGAATTGAAGATCCTTATACTGTTATTGACAGTTTCGTATAAATAAATATGTGGACAAACTTTCTAAATAAAAATACTGTTAGTAATACTGTTTACGTTTAGAGTTAAAGTAGCGGAATCTGATCAAATGCAGTTCTCGATACTTTGTTTCAGGTAAGGACAGTAAAATAATAAACTTCATTTTAATTATAAAAGATAACTATTAATAAAACAAATATGCTCGACCTTCACAAATACTAATAGTAAAAGACAAAGTCAAAAGTAATAGGCTAATAAGAATAATAAGATCTAATAGTAGGCCTAATACCTGGCTCCGCTGGGTAGACATAGAATCTAGAATCTACTTCTTTACTTAAATTTAATTACTTTAGATCTACATTCGATTCAAAATACACCCATAATAAATCAAAAGTAGTCATAATAGGCCTAATAAAGCATTTAATTGTCTCTAAGATCTAAAATCTCGCTCTATTATCTAATCATTTTTTTAGCAAACGAAATTTTCTGAAATTGAAATAGATTATATGACTAGACTTAGATCTAGAATCTGCTACTTAAATTAAATTGTAAAAACTTTATACAAGCATGTAGTTGATATTATTGTAGTAGAAGGCTTTAATAAATTACTAAGGCCTACCTACTTTGTTGTCTTTTTACAGCAATATGTATCTGATACTGGACTGAGTTTAATTAAATTCAAATTCATATCTAGTAATTGGTCTACTAAGTTTTTGTAGCCTAGTAGTACAATCTAGATCATACCAGCCAACAACAAATAACCACATTATTATTATTTGGTTAATGATTAGGCTAATTTTTTTTTTTAAATCCACTGTTTATAAAAGAAACAAATCAAGCTAGAAACATTATAAGTGAGATGGTTTAGAATAATAACAATGGACCCAGTCTACAATTGATACAATTGCAGGTCTACATAGGGCCTACAGTCTAGTAGTTTACAGTAGGCACCTAGTGTGTAGCTAGTATACTAGTGTGTAGCTGTCCAGAGTTAAGATTCTTAATGCCTTAATGCTTTCCCCTGATAAGCCATGTGTGCTATAAATGACATAACATGACACCGAGGTGAGAAGTGTTGAGGGGAGAGCAGTGGGACTTTCCCCTTTGTTCTCCCTGCTGGGCCCTGAGGGTCAAAATTATATAAGAAATACTATCTCTGTGGGGCTGGGTATCACGGAGGTGAGACATTTTCAGGGGAGGGCAGGGCAGACTCCTCTTTGGTTTTATTGTGGGCTAGATACAGGTGGGGGCAGCCATACGTCAGTATTAATGTGTCTGATTACTTCCCTGCTGGATTATAAGGGTCTTAAATTGTATAACATGCTACCCAGATTGGTTATTACCCATGGATTATATTAGCCGTTGTAGTGTGGGTTTTGTAGGAGTTAAGTGGTCTCACGTTTGCTACAGTAGATAACCTATAATATATTACTGCATTTGATCAGCTTCGTCTACTTAAACTCTAAACGCAAACGGTATTACTAGCAGTATTTTTATTTAGAAATTTCGGCCACATATTTATATTATCCACGAAACTGTCAATAACTGTATAAGGATCTTCAATTCCTAAGAGTTCAAGTTTTTTAACATATTTTTCCTTTTCCGCGGGCGCGATTCTTTACATACGGTGAACACGTCCAGCGCTGGTGAACACGTCCAGCGCTGGCGAACAGCTGATTGTGTTTACGTCTGATGTACACCACTGTGGCGGCGGGCGTAGGTATCACGTGATTTAGGTCACGTGTTTGCAAGGACTCTATACTGACTCTATACGAGTATGGCAGGAAACAGATTCAACTCTCAAACATCTACTTTTAGGGTCGATTTTCGCCAATTTTCAAAGTAACAAATATTGACATATTATATATCAATTTTGTTGCTTAACAATCGAGGAATTCAAAAATATAAAAATTAATAGCACTAGACATTTACATCACGTTCAAAATTTAGATTAACCACACTCACTCAAATGACATTTTTTTTTTACATCTAAATGTAGTAAGGTCTAAAATCCACGAAATTCACAAAATTAACAATATAATTACACAGAAATGTCACTTAGGCATAAATTTATTTGTAAATATGTCAAACTTTACAAAATATACCAGTTTATAGCTTATTTCTATAATTATTCTTGAAAAAAAAAAACGACCGCTATCCCCTTTAAAAAATGTTCAAAATTCTGGCTTTTAAAAACACTCTGGGGAAAAAAAAAATAACAGAGTTAAATATAGAAGGTCTATATAAAAAATATTATTAGTAAAATATGTCTATATGCCAATTTTTATTATAGTTGCAGCATTTACATGGCTAATTATAATTGTTTAGTACTTTATAAATTAATTTAAAGTTACGACTGTCTGTGGCCTCATTCAAATAGTGTGGTGTCAGTGAACAGGGTGTTAGTTAGGGCCTGATACGATTTCATTAGAATTGGTAATGAACAGAATGTATCATTAGAACTGGCCTATAAAAACAATGTTGATGATAGATGCAGTAGTTTTAATGCTACTTATAATAGATCAAAATGACAAACATAATTAAAACCTAAGAATCTGGAAGCGGTGACCTCATTTTACTGACACGTTTGTCAAATAGTTAGTAAAATCGATCTAGATCTAGAATCTACGTAATTTTGAAAATACGCTAGATCTAGAAGCAAAATCACTTTTAAAAACTAAAGTTAGTGATTAGTTCTGTAATGAAATTGAAATCCACAGCTAATATGTAAGTATCTTTTGATTTAAAAAAAAAATACGCGTAGTTCTAAGAAAAAAATTTCTATGGTGTACTCGATCCCTATCCCAAAACGTGTCAGCCATATCGCATGCGTATTCAGCTACTCAGCTGCTTATCAAATCTTCGAATTTTAAATTTATATAATAAAAGTAGGTCACCCTAAAAAAAAGAGTACAATGGCTCCCGTTTTCACGACAGCCGTCACTCGATTCATAATTTACATACAGAGTTATAAAGTTCTACTTTCTTTTGGCTATAGATTTGAAGAAATTTAAATTTGTTATTTCTCATGTGTTCCAACAATTGTACCTAATTTTAATAAACATTACATTAGTGAGGACTCGGTTCTTTTTAGGATTAGCCCTCGACACTATACAGACTATTGCGAAGAAACAGACTCGCGCGAATGTCGTGCGTAGGCTGGTTCAGTGGCGAAGGTTAGAAGCCAATTTCAGACGGAAAGTTTTTACTTTGAAATAATTACATTATCAATTAATTTCGATTTAAAACAAATGGCTTAAAGTCAAAAGTAAACTAACATTTAAAAACTTTGTTATTCGCAGTGTACTCAAGATTCTCGTGTTTTAAAGATAAGTCTAGTTTTACTACGTGTGCGTGCATGGTGCGAATACCGATTTTCCGCGACAGAAAATCATTAAAAATAAAAATAAAAGTATCTACGGCAAAATAATAATTATATTTTACAGAATTAAATAGATTTAACTTAACTGTTATTTAAATACATGCTTCGGAGTAAAAAAATACAGTTTTATATCCGTAAAAAATTAACTGAAATTCCCGCTTTCAGCGACGCCGATGTGTCGTAATTTTCGGCAGTCATTTTGTTCAAATTAAAGTAAAAAACGCATTCAAATATACTTTTTTTTACTTTCATAATTTACAGCAATCATTTCTATTGAAAAATCCATTAAAAAATAATAGTTATTTTTACAAAATATTATTTCTTACCTTATTAGTGCAGTACACGTACTTTCCAAGTAGATCCATTCCGTCTAGATTTGCATACTTCGCATCCTTCGCCGCGGCACAAAATGTCATAAAAAACGAATTCCACAAAAATGTTGCTAACGAAGCTTGTAAAAACATAGCTCTATTTATTAGTATAAACAAAATCCCCGAACGATGTCTGGTTAGAAAGTTTATGAACAGCGAAGACCGAATATGCATTTTGCGGTACCAATCTGTTTCCTGCCGTATCCAGATCCAGAGAAAATAATTTGTTGAGTTTAACTTAGGCCCTAGTTTAAAAAAGGCTACATTTCTAGATCTAGGGCCTAGATCTAGATCTATTTATTTTTCATCAAGCCTAAGTTATAACCCGATGTTTCACTTTCGTAAGACAAACATTGATTGGCTGTCAAGGAACTCTGTGATCGATTTCTGACAGCCCCACTTTATAGTTATTTTGTTTACAAAACTTTGCAGATCAAGTTTTTAAATAACAATGCAAATTTAAGCACCATGACCTAGTTTTTCTATTTTAAGCTTGCAATGTGTACAATAAAATTTATGGCGGCCTATCGAATAGCAGGATGCCATTGTTTATGTCGCCATTTCATGTGAAAACCAAATTGTTTTGCTTTTTTTTTATATTTTTATTTAGTTACCGAAAATATTAAAAACATCAAATACATCCAATCTTAAGTAAAGTCCGAAAAAAACCAGACAGACAGGATTTTATAACCATATTAATTGTAACTACGCCGTGCAAGATTTAAAAATTAATTTATGGACCTCTCAAATACCTTTGAGACTTTTCTCGCTGGTGTCCATTGTCAATAGGAATCTACTTCTAGTCTAGTTTAGACTCGTAGAGGCGGAAAGAAAAGTAGTTAAGTTGATCTAGATCTAAAAATCTAGATATCTAGATCTAGTACCGTCAGTACCGTGACTAAGTTAAAGTTTGAAGGTGTAGGACACACACACCAGTGTTCTGTAGAGTAGGTAGGCCTACTGGATCTAGATCTAGAATACTAGATCTAGCTAGATCTAGAAATCTAGTACTAAGAAGACTTACTAGAATCTATATCTAGGCACCCCAAATTTACAATTTTCAACACATACACAGTGTACACAACACACTACACACTTGTCCTACACACACAGACCCAGTGACAGTAGTCAAGTAGTCACTGACTGAATTAGATCTAGAAATACTAAATAGTAAATACTTAGGCCTACTATAGTAACTAGGCCTATACGTATATACTACTATAACTATATATGGTAATCTATCGTTTTAGGTACGTAAAATTGGCCGCTGCTAGTAATGTACGAAAAAGGTACATCATTGTCAAGGTAGACTGAAGACTCAGTGTAGTCTGTAGTGAGTAGTTACTCTGTATGCGGAAATCAATAGTTTTAGGTATGTAAAATCGCCCGCAACTAGTAATGTGAAAATCAGGTGACTCCTTAAATTTTAATAATTATTTCACATTTTGAAGAGGATTTCATGTTTTGAAAAATACAAAAATGTTTCCTTGTTTTATTTATGTACCTGTTTTAAAAAAAATGAATTAAAACTTTTTAGCAATAAATGTAATGAAGACTAGCGATGTTTCCAACAGATGCAACCATGCTCATTTACTATAGCAGCCATCTTGTTTATCATTTTTTATTGTTAACTTATAGCGCAAGATTCAGATGGCCGCTTTTTATATAGCAAATCCTGCTCGCAAACACTGCTGTTTAAAGTTAATTTCTTGCCTATATTGATATATTTAATATTTAGCCATTAATTTAGGATTATTATTCATTAATCTATAATATTTGACACAAATATATTACAATATACTTCTATTAAAGCCTTGACAATGATGTACCTTTTTCGTACATTACTAGCAGCGGCCGATTTTATGTACCTAAAACGATAGATTACCGTATATAGTTATAGTCATATATACGTATAGGCCTAGTTACTATAGTAGGCCTAAGTATTTACTATTTATTATTTCTAGATCTAATTCAGTCAGTGACTACTGTGTCTGTGTGTGTGTAGGACAAGTGTGTAGTGTGTTGTGTACACTGTGTACTTGTTGAAAATTGTAAATTTGGGGTGTTTATTGATGTGGGTTGTTTTTCTTTTTTATGTATCATATTAATAAGCGTTAAAATTATTAAAAATACTATAACATAATTTACACAGCAACCTCAACTTTTGTAATGATTTTAGTTAAATATGTTCTAGAAATTTTAAAAAGAAATTTAGGCACATCATTTTGTGGGCAGTACAGGTGGTTGACCTGTTGTTGCAATGAGTTGAGGGCTGCAAGTAACATTAAATACATCTTTATGCCATTTTGCGCTAATTTAAGTATTTAAAAAACGCAATGAAAACCTAGAAGGTTGGAACATTCTTTTACATTTTATTAAATATTATATGAATAATATATAATATTTACGTGTGTTATAAATATTATGTATAATTTGTATACAGCATACACACAATTCATTTCCTTTAGCTGATATGAACTTTCTAACTATTTAATACATAAAAGTGTAAATAAATTCCATGCCAATATACATTTATGAATTTTTTTCCTGTGACTTTTTTCCTACAATCGTAGCCATTGTGCCAATGATTTAACAATAAATTATCTAAAAATTAGAGATCATGCAAGAATTTAGAAATTTTATTGGAGTGCCAGCAACTGAGCCTTGAAATAATGTCATGAATAATAGGTCTAAGAGACAAAGACTAAAATATTACCCACTTGCTACCCACCCCAACACACACAGTAGAGAAGTTATAAATTTTGAAAGTGTGTGCTTAAAACTCAAGAGTTGTAAATTTATAGTTACATTTTGCGATCAGCTGAGTGCTAGGCAGGATGCGCTTACTAAGCTCTGATGCATGTGCCCTCATCTGAAAATGCAGAAATGTCGAATGTTTTCGCTCAGTGAGCAAAAACAACTTAGCCCAGATCACTAAAAAAGGGGCATGGAATAAAATTTATTTAAGTAAATAGCATGTATTTTCTTTTCAGATTTGAGCAAGTTAAAAATGTTATCAAGGACAGTTGGAGGATTACAAAAGATTTTAAAGTGTGTCCCTGACTTGGCAGTAAACAGTTATGTAGGAATGAGACATGCTTTACCAAAGTCTATGACAGTATCCAGCATACAAAAAGCAGATTTTTCTTCTTACATGTACCCAAATAATACAGCACTAGTTTCACATACTGATTGTCATAGACACAATGGGTCTCTTTTGAACTTTGGAAGCTCCTTTGAAAGACCCATTTTGTCTTCTATTACAAGCCAGTCTTTAATTCAAGTGCGAGGCTTCAAGATTGTTCTACGACCACGCTTAATTTGTGATGGCTGTTATTTTGCTTGGCATCATGGTAGGAAACATGTTGAATGTAGTGACCATCCTAGGCACAAGCAAATAAAGAAACTTAGTGATAGAAAAGTTTGGAAAGAAGATTATTCCAAGGGTAAATTTGTGACGGCTATGGACTGGAACAGACGAATTCATAGACAGTTTGACAGGAATGTAGACAGAACAGTTTTGTCACACAACTGGCTTGCTGGAAAGCTAGGTACAGAATTGTAGTACAGTTGTGCTTTACTTTTTTTTTAATACATTGTATCACAGTCTAAATAAATTGTTTGTTTACTTGTTAGTTTGAAATGTTTCTTTTCAAATTCTGTTGTTTTTAATTTATTACCAGCAAGAAGAATATAAACCAAAACTACAAATTATCTTTTAAGGACATTATTATTGGGTGACCTATGTAGTATTTGGTGAGTTAAAACAAAAAAGTACCATTTTTAATTTACCATATTATACAATTTAATACAAATAAAAATGAGCTTAACTACAGAGTGCAAAATTATTTCAAAAAATAAATCTTGTATACATACATCTTGCAAAAGTTTTTCAGTCAGTAAAAATAAGTTCCAACAAACACAGGATCATGCAGTACTAATTTTGTAATTTAAAAAAATGTTCAAACTACATGTACTTGAGCTAATGTGTAAAAAGTAACAGTTCTCAAGTTATTCAGCCATTCAATCAGAAAGAGCTTCCACTTGAGGGAAACTTCGTTTTCTGATGGTTACCCCATAATTTAACATGAAAATGAAAAATAAAATCCCTGTGCTCATTTAATCACTCTATAATCTGTGAGTAGGGGTTCAAACATTGTCTGTCTTGCATGTCATAAATAGAATAATAACATTCTGTGTAAGAAAAGACTGAACATTATAAAAATCTGTTAAAATTTTATATTTGGAGTTTATAAAACAAAAATCAGTAAAAGCTGATGTTTTTTCTTTAAAAAATTATTGGTTAGGCTATGTATTTAAGGGACTGCGTGGTCAAGTAGTGGAGTTCTTGTAACCCTGTTTAATCCATAAGATGTCCATGTATCCACCAAGCTCTGATAGGTACCTGACTTGCATTAGGGAAAGTAAAAGCAGCGGAGGTTGCTGAAATAGGTGAACTCTACTTCACCTGACACAAAGACTGGAGGGCTCTTCACTGTTGTTTTCATGTGTATTAATTGTTGGCACCCACTGTTCTGTAACGTAGCAGTGAAAACCTTTTCAATAGTCCTTTCTTTTGAATTTTAAAAGCTATTTGAGGACAGCCGATAGCCAGACAAAGGCAGAAATGATTTTTTAAGATTTCACAATTTGTTACACAATTGTTAAGTTAAAATCTTGCATAGCATGTCACAGGTTTTCACCCTTTGTAAATGAAAATTAACTTCACTAGTTTGCAATAGTTTACATTAATAAATAATGAACAAATATATCTAAAAGAAAATTAACCAGAGAATTTTGTGTGATTGTTCAAAGTTATAAAGGTAAATTCTATCTGTATAATCAACAATTTTTAAATTTAGATATTTTGATAACAAAAAATAAAATATATTTGTAAGCATTGTGTACAACCATTTTGAATGATGGATCAACAAAGGGACAATATTATAATTATAGTCTAGAAGTTGCTCCTCCAGCCACTACAATGGTCTCCCCTGTCATAAATTTGGAATCATCAGAAACTAGAAAGGAAACAGCACCTGAACAGTCCTCAGGTTCACCAAGTCTGTAAAAAGATGGATATCATGCTTATTTCAATAACCTACATTAAGTTCAGGCATAACTACTCAATTACGTAGATGTAAAATTCATACTATACTTCTAGCTTTCCATTGTTTAAAGCAGCCATTTGTATAATCACCTATTAAACATGTCAATGAAATGTAAACATGTTTAGTACACATACCTGCCCATTGGAATATTGATTTCTGCCTGCATTTTTGCACTTTCGTTACTTGTTAGCTGTAATATGTGTATGGTTATAAATAAATTGATAAAAAAACTTCATAGCATCTTTATAACAAGCAGAATTGAACCAGTTACATAAACATTCATGTTTCTTTGACCAAGGCAAATAAAAGGATAATGAGGTCAGCACATGCCCAACAGTTTAACTTTCCCCAATGTTAGGTACCCATTAGAGCTGGGTAGATTGAGAGATCTGAACTTGAGACAGTCACAGGATTTATGGCCTGGCCATACTGCCCCTGAAACAAGTGAATTTTACTTCATCTGCCCCATTGATGATCATCATGGCTGAAATTGTAGCTTTACTGTTTTGACATTAATATTTACAGCAGCATGTTAGCAAATAGATTGAAACACTTAAAGCACTGAGCAAGAAACTAAAATAAAACTACTTACACCACTGTAACTGTAAGCAAGAAAATTGAACATAATTATTTACAGCACTATAAAATAAGCAAGAAAATTGAATAGAACTACTTACAGCACTACTGAACTTTGTTTTGATAATGCCTGGAGCCAAGCCATTTATTCTGATGTTCTGTTTAGCCAGTTCTGGAGATAAGGCTTTAACAATACCAAGTAGTGCTGTCTTTGTTATACTATACACACCAATCAGCTGATATTTATTAGGAACAGATATTTAAAGTTACACCAAGGATAACAGTGTAATTGATTTTTTTACACATTTAAAATCATAACTTTATTTTTATTTGAAAAAGTGGTGGGTATCTGTTATTTATATGCTAATACTTCAAGTTATTTATACATATTTTTCAAGATAATCATAAAGAAATATCAACTTACCTCAAAAGGGACATAACCAGCTATTGATGTAATTAGGACTATTGATCCAGATCTAAAATAGTATTTGTTTAGACATATCTTCACTTGATGAATTACTTATATTTATAATAAAAATAGTTCCAATTAAATATTCTAATTTACACATTATGAGTAAACTAGAAAGAAAAGAGTAAACATCCTAATTATAAAATGATATTTTTTAAAAACTATCATACATGTAAATTTTTATTTTTAACTTGATAAAATGTTAGAACCAGTTAAACTCAGACTGTGTTGGTGTATGTAACCAGACTTAGGCAGACTCACCCTCTTTTCACCATTTCAGGCACAGCTTCTTGACACAGCATAAAAGAGGACTTCACATTGATGTCAAACATCTAAGATAAATAAGGATCTTTACATTCTTGTTCTGTTTTTGTAAACTAAAAAGTAAACTTTCAAGCATAAAAGATAAAAAAAATTTATGAGTGTAACAAATACTGCTAATGTTAGTGAATAAATAAACTTTTGATATTCTGGTTTATGGCCTTTAGACAAAAGGTTTATTCACAGTCAAGTCCAAATTTGTCTATCTGTGTAATAATAACCAATGTACCTAAAGTAAACATTAAACTTATATAAATTTTAAAACATTGAAGTAAACCAGGTAAGTTTGTCAACTGATGTAAAAACCTAAAATTAAATGTAAACCAACTAACCTTGTCAAATGATTCTTCTGGTGTCTAGAGAAATATAAAATTTTAAAACAACATTATCATCCTAAATCAAAAATTTATTTGAAGCTTTGAAACATAAACTGTTTGTGATGTATATACATATTTTAAGAGATAACTCGTTAATCTAACAAGACACGAAATCAATAAAACTATTGTTCTGTATTCCACAAAATAAAGGCATCTGCATATAGTATGCTTTTTAATTTGTGTAAATGAAGATTTCATATGACATTAAAAAACCATTTTTAAAAAACAATATTCTTACCAGCAAAGTGGGTCCAAAATAGGTGCTAACAGCAGCATTTGATACAAGAATATCAATGCCACCATACTTGGAAACAGTCTAGACAAAGATTTATAATTAATCAGTCATTTAAAAAAAATTAAAACAATTCTTAAAATTCAGTTTATATTATTTAGTTTCCAACATGTTAAATAAGTCATAGAAACAATTTCTCCAAGGTAATAATTTTGTTCACTACATAAAATAAAACGACAAGCACATTACTTCTTTAAACAAACGCTGACGATCTTCCTTCTTTCCTACATGACACACCATTCCTTCCACATTAAGGTTTTCTTTTCTCAGAGCAGCAAGAGCCTTTTCAACATTTTGTTGTTTACGGCTGCTAATCATGACCTTGGCACCATCCTGACCAAGCCTTCGAGCAATAGCAAAACCAATTCTGCAAAGAGAGTCAGTAAATTAATATATAGCTTGTAGTGTTTATTAGATAATTTATATTTCTTATGCTCATCATTTTTCCAACATCATTAGACAATTTTTCCATATATATATATATATATATATATATATATATATATATATATATATATATATCTATATATATATATATATATATATATATATATATATATATATATATATATACACACACATGTATAGATAGATAAATACATAAAATATAGCTTGACGATTTCAACAATGTAAAACTGTTGATTAATGACACACTGCTATATATAGCCAACATTTTATTGTAAGACTGTTTTTTTTTTTTTTGAGGGGTTATAAAACACTCAGTAACATTCTCTGTTGATGTCATATTAAAGTTAATATTAATATGAATTTAAACGAAAAAATATTATTAATACCCTTCAGTTGAAGCTGTTACTATCGCAACTTTTCCTGCTAGCTTAGCCACTGCAGATGCCATTTAATAAGAATCTATATTTGATATCTATACTGCAAAAGATAAATTAAGACATAATAATAATTTAATATGTGACTATGGTAATGTGTATAGTTATATATAGTCTAAATACGAAACGTAATCTGTAAAAAATAAAAATAGACCAACTTAAAATATAAATAAACTTAGGTCTATGCCCTATTATACTTAATAGTGCCCAAATACTATATATTATATATATAGTTATATAGATCTATATATAGTGAAATAGAATAGATCTGAATAGTGAATAGATCTACTAATCTACTAAATATAATAATAATATGAAATAATTACTAATTAGGCCTACATAATTATTAATTAATTAGTATAATAATTAGACAAGACTAATAATTATTACATAATTAAGTTTATTAGTATATTATTAAGTATTAGTAAGACTCAGACTAGCAGTAACACTACAACTACAGAGAGAGTCTATAGTCTATAGTATCTATACGTCCTACACTGTCTTTAGTTGACTCAAGTTTACTGTACTCAACTGTGTTGATGTATGAGTGTCTGTAGTCTGTAATGTAGTACACTACAGACACTCTCATACAACATCATAAGTATAGAGTATAGTAGTATAGTATAGTATAGTATAGTAGTCTACTAGTAACTAGAGAGTAGAGTAGGGCCTACGCCCTACAGTACAGCCCTACCTACAGTATTACGTACATTAAGTGAACTAAAGAAAGATGCTGCTAAAGACAGTTCACGACTAGGATCTAGATCTCTAGATCTAAATAAAATATTTACGTAAGGTTTTACTATTCAAGTAGAGTAATTTTAGATCTAGAATTCTGGATTCTAGTAGATTTTGTTTTTTTTTACTCTGCGAAAAGGGTAAAAATTAAAAACCGAAGTGAAAGTAGACTTGTTGAACCTTGAACAGGTCAAAGTTCGGATTGCCACTTCATTTGTTTTGTTTCGCAACACTGCCACTTCTGTTTTTAAAAAAAATATCTTTAGTATCTATCTGTATATATAATTCTCTTCTGGGAGACGCTAGAAAACAAGCTGCAAGCGCGCTCCCTACCACCCCCACACCTACATGGTCTGGTGAGCTGTGGTTCACGCTAAATGTTTACAAGCAGAGCCGGTTTTAGTGACGACAGATAATTTAGTTTGAAACTATTTTAAACGTAGGGAGAGGGGGGGGGGGGGGGGACTAAGTGGAGTTTACTCCAACGGAGGGGGGGAGGGGGGGGGTAATCGTCCTTAACGAGGTACTTAAAGTGTTTTAAAGAAATATTTTCAGTGGCATCGTTGGTACTGTCGAATTCACAAATTATGAATTACTGAAAAGAAGAAAAAACAACAACTAAATAGAGGCGTATGATATGCCGCGGGTCGGCACGTACTACTGAAAACAAGTAGGTAACTAGCCTAGCGTACCCGTAATGTAGCCCAGCGCTAGCGCGTTGCCGTGATCTCAGAAGAAAAGAAATTCAAGGACATTCGATATGATTATATGATCACATTCAATTTTACCAAAACCAATGAGATCGATATATTTTTGATGCGTGACGTTATCTTCTGTCCATACCTAGGATTATCGTTGTTTTAGTTTCTCCTTCTTCTGTGTTCTTAATTTAGTTTATGGTGGAGGATTTAACAAGTCCAACTTCGTGTATGAACTTCGTGTATGAACTGGACTGTGGTCTCCAGCAGTTTCTTCCAGGCATCTCTTCCCCCAAAAGAAAGTCTACCCCCCCCCCCCCCCCCGAACGAGATAGAATTTATATAGTAAACACTAAACATACTTTTACTAGTGTCCGCCCCCCCCCCCCCTGGAGAAAAAAGTCTGAAGGAAACACTGGTCTCCAGATCCGCGGGTGCCCCTTACTGTTTTTCCTTTAGTGGGTTGTATAGTTATTCTAGTAATATTGCATTAAAAGAAAACATACCATATTTTGAAAAGCTCTAGAAGCAACGCTGACATATGAATAGTGCATCTAATTCTAGATCTCTATAATATACCGAAGAGGAAGGGAGGGTGGTGTCGAATTCACAAATTATGAATTACTGAAAAGTAGAAAAATAAAACAACTAAATTGAGGCGTATGCTACGACGTGGGTCGGCTCGTAATTGTAATTTACTAATTGAGGTCTCCAATAGTTGCGTAGCCTAGACTTATTCAACCTATATACAGTAAATAATGTTTTGGAAAAAATAGGCTACTCAGAAAGAAACCAGATCTTCAGTCAGTTATGAAATACCAAGCAGCCTTCTTCATCAAGGGGATATGAAGTTTATGGTGGAATCAATCAGCCAGTAAGAGATTTAAAAAAAGTCTAGTGACAATTTAAGCGCAATTTCCTTATTTTATCCATAACAATTTTTAATTTTTTGTAAATATCATCCTATAAATATAAACTCCTACACGATGCTCAGTTTAAATCATCCTAGGCCTACAAGTTTAAATGTTCTTAATTAATTTTTTGTGACCGAACGAAAGGATATTTTTGAAAACTTTCTTCGGCAATATTGGTCTAAATTATGGCAGGAATCGATTGGTAAATGTTTCAAGTCGCTATAATAAGTGGTCTGGTTGCCGAGATATGGAGCAAAAACTGCATTTGTTCGAGGTTTTTTGGCTTTTCCGGGAAATCCAGGAAGGAATTCCGGGAATGTGTTTGGCCCACAATCATCCTTGGAACTTGCTTAACATATTTGCTTTGGAACTAGTCCTCGATATTGCTTCGTTGAGGAGGAGATACGACTTAAAGGCTGCGGACACACATCCATCCATCCAGACATGACGAGTTATTAAACGCAATTTTTGCCAGTATGGAAATTGCGCTAAAAATCGTCACAAAAAGCCAGACCCCCCCCCCCCTAAAATGACGTCACACCTCAGCCTACAACCCCCCTCAAAATTACAGCTGAATTTTTCTTAAAACATCGATATTTTTCTAAAATCTTGTCTGAACTCTGTCAAAATAGAGTATTTTAATAAATTCCTATTGCAATTTATTAAAACAGTTTTCTAAAGCGCAAAAAAAAAAAAAAAAACCGTCTAAAATTCGTTTACTAACATTGCTTTTTTAAATGAAAAAGTGTGACGTCGCACCATCTGACCCCCCCCCCCTCCCCCTCATCACACAGCGTCACAAAAGTTACGGACCCCCCTCCCCCTATTATACTAGTGTGACGTCATTTATGGACGACCCCATAGTCGAGAAAATTGAGTCTGCAACAACATGACACCGTGAAGGGGTCACTATGAGGTCATAGTAGTCTAGATTTCAGTACGCCTGTTTAATACGTCATAGCATAAACTGTGATGTAACTTGTATTTCCCCCTACCCCCAGCCAAGCAGTAACAACTACGTACTTGGGGTCAGTGTTTCTTCCAGACTTTTTTCTCCGGGGGGGGGGGGGGGGCACTTGAAATTTTCGGGGGGGGGGCGGTAGACTTTCTTCGGGGGGGGGGGCGGACACTGTTAAAAGTATATATTTTCTATATAAATTATATAAATTTCATTTCGTTCGGGGGGGGGGGGGGGGCGATAAAATGTTTCAGGGGAGATGCCTGGAAGAAACCCTGCTTGTTGGGGTCACGGTGAGTTCACACAAGTGACAGTAGTTTCAAAGAGGGTTTGTCTAGCCCTAATCGTCAGCAATAGCAAAGATTTCTAATACTGTTTAGCAGTGTTTCACGGAAATGGGAATAAAAATACAGATAGATTAATTATACCTAAACTACCACTCATACATCTCCCCCATAATTTTTTGTTATGACTGACTGCCTGTTTACTCAGACAAATGTAACGAAAAATAGCGGGTAAACTCGAGGTCTAACATTGCTGAGTGCAATCGTTCTTTCAGAAATGTCGTAACACATTCACACGGTCAGCCAGCAAACAAAATACCTCTTCCCCCCTCCCCTCCCAGTGATGTAGTAACTGAGCAATCGGGTTTATTCTGTGATCCATCAAAAAAACGTCACAACGTAGTGTATGACGGTAGCGCTTGAACAAAAATTGGAGTAAATTCACTAAAGAATAGCCTTTTTGTTAGTTGGAAAATATGGACTTCGTGGTCAAGTTTTGTTTCTAAAACTAGATTCCAGACTTATTAAAACTCCGGCCCAAAAAATAGCGATTTCCCAGACTTTTTAAAGTCTGAAATTCACCTTTTCCCCTTTCCAGACTCCGTAGTAACCCTGTTTGTAAAATTAAAAAACAAAGCAGTTTTGAAGGTAAACATGTCATTTGTATAGGTCAGGACCCTTCATATGGGAGCTATTGGCAAGAGCTTTCAAAACATTTCAGTACACCATGTCAAATCATTGTGGAATGTTCATTCAACTATACTGTTCTATAATCAAATCTGTTAGTAAATCAGGTTGATTAACTTTTAACAAGTTACTTGGGTAAAACACTTCATAGCATCTGATAGGTTTTACAATGGGGTCAAAGAATTCTGATTTGATGTAATTATAAGCAGCCATAAGCCCTGTTACTTGTACAGTTGTAGTCAAAGAAAAATGTGCATTCCTAAAAATCCTTTTTACTTTTAATTGTTGAATTTGTCTGATTTCATGCTAAAAAAAAAAATTGTATTTTTGTAGTAAAATGTGCTTAACTTCCCCTTACAGAAAATTGTGCAGTTGTTTCCAAACTTGCCATCATTCTTTTGTTTTAACTAATCAGCATGAACACAGAAATAAACTGACAACAGATTTTCAGATCAGAATATTTATTTAAAAATAAATCATTGTCTTGTCTATACTAGTATAGAAAGTGCTGTTCACTCATCCAATGTCTCAGGTGACAGCAGACGAGTTTGTTCAATATTTTGTGTTATCACAGGCGCCTGCTGCAAGGTGCTGTCATGGAGGAGAACTCCAAATTCCATTCCTCCAGACAACACTAAGGGGGTTTCTTCCACTTCATCCTGGTGACTTTCAGCATGGCCCAAAGCTTCGGTTAAATTAGCAAATGCTGCCTGACAAGCTCCACACTTGTAGCTTGTCTCTTCTTCCTCTCCACCAGCCTCACCTTTGACCTGAGCTAGGTCTTCTGGGGTTGTTTTGGGTATTTCAACATTTTCCTGAATACAAGATGCGTCGATTTGAACAGGTGGTTGCTTTTCAATAACCGGCTCTGTGGCTTTACTAGCAGCTAGTAAATTAGAAATCACATGACTTTCCAAATGTTTAACCATGACATGTCTATGATGGGTCTGAAGGCCGCAAGCTCCACATACAAAAACAGCTTGTTCTCTGTGGGTCATTGTATGAATCTGCAGGGAGGTAACACTCTCAAAGAATTCAAAACACTCGCCGCAGTAGCACAAGCCTACTTTATTGTTGTTGATTTCATCTTGTGTGTGGGAGTCTATATGTTTAAGTAGCTGGTTTCTCACACGAAAAGTTTCCCCACACGTCCCACAGCCCAGAGGTTTTGGGGCTCTATGGAAAGTACTCATGTGAGTCTCCACTGCTTTACGAGAGGTGAATTCCTCACAACAAACTCCACACATATAGCCTGAGTCACCCAGCACATGAACTTCTTCTATGTGTGCCCTCAGTGATCTGGTTTTTTTCACGTCAAACTGCATGCCACAAAAATGGCAAGCTAACTGACTAATGAGCCCTGCTCTTTCATTGGCTGTTACCATAGCAATTTCAGCAGGAGTCAAATCTGCTTCTTCTAAATCTTCAATCACAGCTGCCATGTTTTGCTTCTTACACAATTTTTTAAATCTGAAAAATTAAAAATAAATGAATTAATATATTTACTTTTAAGTAATTTAAAAAGCCATACCATATCCTTACGACTATAGTATTGTACTAATTATAAATAATCATACTTCAGCCAGATCCCCATCAGTAAAAGTAAAGACTGATGTATTTTTAAAAATTAGCAATACTAGCTACTCATCAGTGGGCATGCCTCATTGTAAAGAACCAAATTATTTTACATTTGTGGGACAGTAATGCCGGGTGACAGAGAGTATGAATGCCAACGATTAAGCCTTGGATTAGGATCTAGGGCTCAAGTTTGTAAAATCTCCTTAAACCAATCCACCCAGCCCTGATTGTTGCCTGACTATGGATAGGGAAAGTAGAGGAAGCTGGGCATTGAACTTACCACACTCTGTCATATTTTATGCTCGCCACATAGTTTGGAAAATAAAAACATACACATATTTGAATTAACAACTACCTAAATAAACCACATATTTTCGTATTACAAATTAAAATATTAATAGAAAATACGGATATTTAGAATCCACACTTTGAATCCCGGACAGATCGTCCCCCCAGCGTGGTCATAAACAATTCCATCTCAATATAATTTTTGTTTTTGAAAACCATGGTCTTTTTAAAGATATTATTAAATAATAAATATTAACTGAGCAGGGTCAACATTACTAGGAATAGAAATCTGGCGTTCCAGATTCTGAGCAACACAAGTTTAAAGTCAGGCTAATATTATAAATAATAAATGACTTCTATAACTAAGTGTTTGCAAGAACAAAGCAGATCTAATCTATGATTATTCATTCACGATTCCCGTCTAGTGAATGCAGGTCTATGGAATCTGATAAATGTTTAAAGAACTGCAAATTAATTAAAATAAAAAATTTACAAGTAGTAAAAACACTAAATAAAAGACATTTAGTCAATTTTCTTTAGTAAAAGTAACACAACTGTTGATCACACTATCCCTGGCCTTTATATGCCCAGGTCATACAAAACATGTGATGTCTAATTTACTCACCCTAATAAATGGACCTTCATGTTTAAAAAGGGAACTCCACTCTTAAAAGAGTTCAGTTAGGGCCTATAGATTTATAATAATTTATATAGATCATGTGTTTTTGTGTATCCTAAAGTAATTAAAGTAAATTATAAAAAAACCTGACTGTTTTTAATATTTTAGCTAACTAAATAATTTTTTTTTGAAAAGCCATGGACATGGTTGTTTTTATTTTTTCATTATGGCATATATAATATATTTAAATATATATATAGTATTATATAATATATAGTATATAGGCTAACTTGACTATGCCATCTGCCTTAAAAGTTTTGAGTACACATGTCATTACTTCATTACTTCAAGAGGGGATCACAGAAGATAGATTTTACAGAGACCATGCATAATAATACATTTTAAATTTTAAAAAAAGGCATAATTTCTCCACTCCTAGAGTCTAGTCTAGACTAGAATCTAAGATTCTAAATTCTAAGTCTAAAGTCTAAGAATAGATCTTGTTTACTTGTTTAGATCAGAATCAGATCAAAGTTCAAAGAGAATCACACTCTAACGTCTAACTCTAATTGCTTTATATTATATTGCTAATGTTTGGTACTAGATCTAGATCCAATATTACTAAATATAGCTCTAGACTACTTAGAAATAGATCTAGATTCTATATCTAAATCTACCTGTTGACAACTCTGTACTGAACGATCCATGATTTAATCTATTTTTATTTTTTAATGAAATGGTTTCTTCTTTGTTTACTTTCCGCCGGATATGACCTTAAAATATACCTTATGCCAGGCAGGTGCTGCGGCACAGCTGCCACTTCGTAACCAAACAAAAGGATAACGTATTCCACCCAAACAAGGAAGGCTACACGAGCAATGCTTTGTCCTGATCTAAAATTGATCTTGAGTTGGCGTGTGTAAGGTTATTTTGCCGTTATAGTTCATTCGGTGAAGAAGCGTGTCGTTGTATGTTGATTGTTGACTTCACTTTCATTCTGTCGTCGTTGGTCTTTCCGTGTTCAGTGTTCTTATTTTATATTTTTTAATAGACACAACGATCTCTAGTCTCTTAGATCTCGGGTCTAGTGAAGTGACACTTGCTGCATGACTAGTGGAAACCTATTTACTATTTTTAAATCTAGACCTAGAGTGATATCTAGATTCTTAGTATTCTTAGTATTCTAGATTTAGATCTATGTCATATAGATCTATGACATATGAACACAAAACAAGTGTCTCAAAATTTAATATTATTGTTACTTGTTACTGCTACAAAAGATTAGTGCAGAATCAGATAAGCTTATTGTGAATAATTCAATATTGAATATATTGATCATAGTTTATTAGATCTAAGAGTGCTAAGACTCTAAGTTAGTTGATCTGATTGTTTCATATAATTAAAGTAGAAATTGTTCCTAAAAATTAGTAAGTCATTGTGTATTTTATTAAGAATTTAAAATATTTTTATTTGGAATGCCTAAGCCTTAGTTAATAATAGTTAGGGGTATACAGTATACACTATAATAAGTATAATTATAATAGGCCTACTTATAATTTAATATAAAGTAAAGTGATAGAAGTAGAGTAGAGGTCTTAAATATTTTTGGCAATTTTATAATTTATGCCTACTAACACTAATAATACTATTGAGTATTGGCTATTGGTAGACCTACAACTTACAAGTATAGCCACCTTCATGTTATATTTGTCATTCATTCATTAAGAGTAAGATAGGCCTAAAAACTATTGTTTATTTATTCATAAATTTAGTCGTTAGGCTTTGCTTTAATTATTAGCTACTTAAATAGTTTAGCTTGTTGTTTTTATTATGTTATTATACAACTCAAATGTACCCAAATTAACAATTTAATTATCATTTGATTGTAACATCTAGGCCTAACATCTAGGCCTATCATCTTTATTAAAAACAAATAATTTTGAAAACTTTGTAAAAAATATTTAGCCAGATAGGCATAGTTAAATTAGTTGATAAAGGCAAATACACATTTCATTATAGCAATATAGTCCTCCTTATTTTTTTAAAACTAATACCGTAATAAACAGCCTACATGTTTTTATATTAATGTTGCTTTGGTTTAAATGTATTATGAATTACTCAAGAAGTTATATTTTCCCCCCTAACAGAATAAAAGGCTATTTATGATGAACACTACATTGGCACTGCATACTGGGATAGAAAACAATGTGCGCTTTGAGTCAACAGATCATGGTAAATCTGTGCTTGCTGGCCTACAACACTTGAGAGAGATGCAACAGCTGTTTGATGTTATACTTGTTGCTGAAAGCAGAGAGTTTCCAGCTCACAGAGTAGTTCTTGCATCTTGTAGTGATTATTTTAGGTAAGAATTCAAAGTCAACACTTAAAGGGCTTCTACTTAATGAACTTACTTCTACTGTGATGTACCTATACAATATATATTCTTACTTTCTTTATACAAATCAAAAGACTTTCTTTGTTGTATTATTTACTAACATCCACTATTGATTGGACAGGGCAATGTTTACAGATGGTTTGAGAGAGTGTAAGGAATCTCGTGTCAATCTCAATGGTCTTACTGCATCAAGCATAGCAAATCTCATTGACTTTGCTTACAATTCTACTATCAATATAGACTCTGGTGAGTGGTTTCATTATAAACCTTTCTCTTTGAGATTTTAAATTATGCATTGTGATAGTTAAAATAATTAGCCGTTTTAAATTAAATTCATTTTTTTTTCTGACAGATAATGTGCTAGATGTGTTGTCTGGAGCTACTCATGTGCAAATACTGCCAGTCATCAACGCATGTGAAAATTATTTAAAAGACCACCTTAGCATTGAGAATTGTGTGAACACAGCCAATGTTGCCGAACTCTTCTCACTGCAGCATCTGCAGCAACATGTTTTCAACTTTGTCTGCCGCAACTGGGCAACTTTTTCAATGTGTGGAGACTTCCATCATCTCACGCCAGAATTTTTGGTGGCTGTTTTATCATCAGGTTACCCTGTCAACTGTAAAGAAATAGATGTCCTGATGTCCATTCTAAGCTGGTTTTCTTACATCCCTGCTGAAAGGAAAGCACACATTGTAGACGTTTTGCAGTGCATTGTGTTTGAAAATATTTCTGCTACAGAATTTTCTATTGTTCTGGGCACAAAAGAATGGTTTGAGTTGACTGACGTGTGTCCCAAGTTATTTGAGTATTTTCCAACTTTAGCCAGACTGTGCACTGACAATGTGGATCTAGCATCATATGAGGACACTATCATCAGTGTGACAAACTACAGCCCGCGGGTCAAGTCTAAAGTTTCAGTCACAAGAATAGAGTTAAAATCACCACCATGCAAGATGGTGAGAAAGCGTAAAATTCCGGGTTTGGTCAATTCTAGAGGCTTCCACTCAACCATAATTGTAGCGGGCGGGTTTCGCAAGGAGTCAGGCATGACAAACAATGTCATGTATCTGGACAGGAACACCTCCTCCCTGCGTCACCTGACCAAGATCCCCCATCTGGACCAGATCAACTTTGGCATGACTGTTTTCCAAAATCAGCTTTACATTGTTGGTGGCTGCTTCAATGATCACATGCAAGAGATTGCTCACCCTTTTGGTTTTCGCTACTCACCTACGCTGGATGAGTGGATCAGTATAGCCCCAATGCATCAGGAGAGATGCCGTTTTCTTCTCTGTGCCACTGAAGACAGAGTGTATGCCATCGGGGGAGACCCGTATGCTTCTGATGTCGGCCCAGAAGATGTGTCCCCGTGTGAGGTGTACAACCATAAGACCAACACCTGGAAACAGATTAGCCCTCTCCCTGGCAACCGGTCACAGCTGGCCGGCACCAGCCTGGGGAAGTTGATGCTCATTTCTGGAGGAATTCAGGAAAATGAGGAAAAGGTCTTTCAAGATTTCTACCAGTACGAGCCTCGCTCGAATACATGGATCAGAAAAGCTGACCTGCTGACCCCACGAGCTGACCATGCCATGTTTGTCTGGGGTGGGAAGGTGTATGTCATTGGAGGCTGGCACCTTGACCCTCTGACCAATCGCAGGATAATGGCAACAAGTATAGACTGTTATGATTTCCATACCAATTGCTGGGAAGTGATTGCATCCTTGAACAGAGTACGTACATATGGTACTTACACTTTAGATGGTGACTGTATTTATGCCATAGGAGGCTGGTGTGATGGAGATCACTCACAGAAGTGGCGGTGTATTGACGCATTTGATTTGAGATTCCAGACTTGGGTCCAGGAGAGGGAGCAGAGTGTGGCCCTGTGGGAACATGGAGCCTGTTCCATTTATTTACCCAAGTTTGTTCCTTCCTCTTGACACTAGTTACAGTCAGTCAAATGTTGTTTACAATTTTAATGCTTCTTCTCAGATAAGTTATTTATTTTTTAATTTAAACTATGTAAACTAAGAAATCACAGTTGCATTTATTTTTTTCTTCATTTATTTTTTGCAATTTTTATTGGTTGTTATTTGCCTTAATATGATTTTTTAGATATTTTAAGTTATTTTTGATAATGATTATAGTTAATAAAAACAAAGCCAGTTTCATCCATTTTTGTTTTGATGTAGGGTTGCCCCTGTTTTGCCCTGTCTCAGACTTGTAGTATATGAGTTATGAAACATGTTTAGGACAGTATTGGCTCTGAGAATGTTTGTACTGTATACAAAATAAAATTGTTCACAATTACTTTAAGGATACTAACTAACTTATACCTAATAAATCCTGTATTCTGCTCAATATTAAAAATAATAGACATTAGGTTCTGATTTTAAATTTTAATGATTTTTAGTCTTGATTTAATAATTAATTCTGTAAAATTTATTTGCTTTATTTAAAGCCTGAATAATTTATTAAAGTGGCCAAAATGAGTGTATCTTGTTTACATTTTGATTCAGTTGTCAATGTTTTATTTTGATTATTTAATCTATTTGTGCCATCTCATTTATTATGTAATTATTTTTTCTCATATGTATGCTTTAAGTTTATAGAAAGTTAAGTTCATGAACATGGGGAATTGTTTCATCCCTAAGTTGTGAAATTCATAATATTCATAAACCATTATATGATCATTTGCTAATATCATTAACATTATTCACAATATGGATGTTAAAAGTATAAAAAATAAATAAATATTTGATACTTCTTTAATTTATTAAATTGAATGCCAACAATTTACTTTGGTTTTAAAGTTCCATCCATCATCTGTAAGAGTGCATCAGTCACCAGTTATTTACTCATGAATATTATTAGTTTTTTTTTTTACTTCTAATCCGATCCAATATTTAATTCAACATGATACAGTCACTATATTTATTTGTGTGTATTTATTTTTTTTTTTACACATGGCTATAAAATATTAATATTATAATTATATATCAGTAGAAAATTCTTGAAATATTTATTTTAGTTGTAAAAGTTAACATACAAACTTGATTTGTCTACCAATGTTTGAGTCGATGTAATACAGGTTATAGGTCATTGAGGTCAGCACCTGTACTATTTTCAACAAGTGAGACCTTTTGCTTACAAGTGTTGAATATGCATTTATTATTTATTGATTCTATATTGAACTGATTTATCTCCTACTGTTATTTCCCCTCCTTGTATTCCCTCCCATTTCTATCACTGTTACCTGGAATCTCACCCGTTTCAAACAAAAAAATATTTCATCTCATTGATTCTTTATCAGGCTTATTGTGTTCCCTGATATTTTTATCCATAAGCAACATTGGAAATCTACATTCCACTGCTTCATATGATGTACATATTTCAAAAATAAACATAACCTTGAAATAAAATATGCAAATAAACAAACAAAAATGTCTGACTAGTCGCATAATAAAGGCTTGTTTTGTTCAGCCACTTTATACACAATGTTATGGCATTATTTGCCATCCCAGCCAACTTTTGGCTTGGGTTTTTCTGCTTGAAAATACTCCTGTAAAACTATATGTACAGCTGTTAGGAATTCCCAATCTACATTCTTGTCTCAGATTTTCACTCCAGTTAAAAAGTATTTTTTTTTTTTACTCTGATCTGTGCTGAAAGATACACAGTTAATTCCAACATTGATGAAACCACGTGATTGACTAAAATGTTGATTGAATAAAGTCACTGAAATAAATACAAGTTGCTTGTTTATTTCTTCCCTCAGAGTGAGTAGTTTGTAGTGTTGATCATTCTGTGAGAGATGACCGCCATTGTAGAGTGTGTTGGGGGGGGGGTGTCTAACTTGTGATGTTGTGGTGGGGGGGGGGGGGGTCTAACTTCTGATGTTGTGGTGGGTGACACACTGAAGATATTTTACTAGGTCACAGGTTCCCAGCTTTTTTTAAGGGGGGGGGTCTAACTTCTGATGTTGTGGTGGGAGGGGGGGGGGGTCTAACTTGTGGTGGTGGGGGGGGGGTCTAACTTGTGATGGATTTTATAAGATCACAGGTGCCTAGCTTTTTTGGAGTGGCAACATGGAAAAACTAAGTGACCTCTGACCCCTGTACAATTGAAATAGGTATTAAGCCCATTTTGCTGTTCTAATATATCTGAGAGTGTTGAGAGCCCCCAAATTCCTTTTTTTTTTAAATTTAATATAGATCTACCATTCTCAATAATGTATTCATCTTTTCCAAAATAGTAACTCGTTTTTTATACTCGGCTACGATCTAATGAAGGCAAGCAACTGAGAACGCGAACTTACACGCCCCCTGGCTTAACCAACATGAAAACCATGGTGAGCCCTTGATATCATTCACCGCCTGCTCTTCAAAGTTTAACAATTAGATTCTATGTAATATATGCCATTTTATCTGCACTCCAACGTCTGATATAGGCCTACGCGGCTGAATAATATCACTAGGCAGAAATATCCGTTGCATCTTCCTAACTAAGTTCAATGGAATCGCCACTAGTTTCATGATCTTTAACTTGATGAGTTTAACTTAGTTTCATGGGATTTTTACAACCGGGATTTTTTTTTCGTGACAATTTTCAATGCGACCTTATTTGAAACTTCAAAACTACTGTATTCTCTTGCTGAAAAATTCTTGTTCTATCAAGTCAAAGAAATGTGCATCTGGTTTTATGCCGACAAGAGAACTTGAAATACTTTTGAGTGTATTCTGTAAACTTTTACACATGACTAAGAACAATTTTGCACAATACGCACTAATCAAGTTAGTAGCCTAGAGTGGAATTATTTTTCTTGCTTATAAGTTGGCGACCCGACAAAAAAACCCATGTGACCCACATGTTAGGAACCCATGTTCTAGATGGGTTATCTGGCTGTAGATGGGTGGGTTACATGTGGGTTTAACTGTTAGGGTTAACTGTGGATTAACTGGCTGTATATTATGTGTGGGTTAAATGTGTGGCCGTGTGGGTTAACTGTGTGGGTTAATTGATTGTGTATCATGTGTGGGATGACTTGCTGTATATGTGCGTGTTAATTGGCTGTAGTAAGGGGTCATCCATAAATGACGTCACGCTTTTTTGGACCATTTTTACCTCCCCCTCCCCTCCTTCACACGTCGTCACAAAAAGCCAGACCCCCCCCCCCCAAAAAAAAATGACGTCACACCTCAGCCTACAACCCCCTTCAAAACTGCAGTTAAATTTTTTTTAAACAGCTATATTTTTCCAAATTCTTGTCTGAACTCTGTCAAAATATAGTATTTTAATCAATTGTTATTACAATTTATTAAAACAGTTTTCTAAAACGCAAAATAACGTCTAAAATTCGTTTTCTAGCATTGCTTTTTTATAATGCAAAAGTGTGACGTCGCACCATCTGAATCCCCCCCCCCTTTCCCCCTCATCACACACCGTCACAAAATTATAGACCCCCCCCTCCTTCCCCCCTACGAGTGTAACGTCATTTATGGACGACCCCTAAAAAGAGATGTGGACAAGTTTACCAGATAAGTAAACCATTTTTATTAGGACAACTTTTATTTCACATTTAATTTTGAAAAATTTTGAAAATTCAAATGGCTATTAGAAAAATCTACTTTCTGTGTATAAAAAAAAAGCAAAATATCTTTCGTTTCGGTAAAATAAAACACCTATCGCCCCCAGTAACACTTCCACTACGTATCACTCTTCAGGCCTGAGGTAAAATAAGTTTATTGATGTCTTTGTGCTGGCGTCTGCTCTAGCCACCAACACATGTTGCATGGGCAACAGTTCTCCCTCTTTGTTTAGGCTGCCACACGACGCGCTAAACATCTGCTCCTCTCCACCCCACCCACCCCTCCCCAAACCCTTGTAATAAACGTCCCAGCACAATGGCGGTTACCAACCTGTGGTACTCGTGCCCCCGAGGATTACCATTTAGGGAAACGGATCGACAAGGGCACACAAGCGGGGCAGGGCCGGGATCCTTGTTAGAAGCGATAAGGGACGTAACCCTATCACTGTACCAAAAACTGAAGTGGGCAAGGATTGGAAAGCTTACCATTTCTATAGCTTAGACCAGGTCCCAGAAGTGGCACAGATCTCTTTGTGTCTGTGTTGGTTCGAGCTCAAGTGAAAGCAGGCCACGTGGAATCTATATAGGCCTAATACGCGCGCGCAAAACACACACACATACACACGCTATATATATATATATATATATATATATATATATATATATATATATATATATATATATATATATATATATATATATATCATAGGCGTAAAATATGTAAACTAGGGGATATTGGGACGCATTTGATGATTTATTTGGAGAAATCACCGATTGTAGGAAAAAAGTCACAGGAAAAAAAGTCACAGGAAAAAAAGTCACAAATATATATTTGCATGGAATTTGTTAATACTTTTATGAATTATAAATTCAGTGAGTGCAAATTAGTTTAGGATTAATGTAATGTAATGTATAGTGTGTTTATACATGATAATTGTTACAATTCATCTAAAAATATTTAGTATAAATTATGTAGATTGTAATTATGTTAAACATAATATTAATAACATTTAAAAGAATATCACAACGTCCTCGGTTTTCATCGTGTTTTTTTTTAAAATACATTAAATTACCGTGAAATGGTAAGTTCACCTGACTTGCTGCCCTCAGCTCATCGCAACAATAGTTTGACTAGTTCAACCACCTTTATCACGCTCATTACATAACAAAGCATAGTATCAAAACAGAAAGCCGACAAGGTACAAAGGCTGTCATTGACACAAAACGTCAACAACACACAATATGTTCGGACAAGGCTGAGTGAGGAGAGGTCGACCAGAGAATAGTCTATGGCAAAACAAATGCAAAACACAATGATGTGCCTAAATTTCTTTTATAATTAACTTTTCTACCGGGTATTTAATCAAATATGTAACAAAAGTTGAGATTGATGTGTAAATTATCTTAGAGTGTTTTTTTTACTTACAACTGTTATAAACCATAATGCTTTTAACGTCTATAAATAATTTATGCTATCAAAAAATACAACCCACAACAATAAGCATACCAAATATTATAATTTTCAACAAATAAATCAAAATATTTCTGAAAAAATTTTTGTGACTTTTTTTCTGTGACTTTATTTTTGTGACTTTTTTCCGATAAAAATTGTCCATTGTGAATTTTTTTCTGTGACTTTCTTTCCTAGCAAAAACTGTGACTTTTTACTTTCTCGTATATACGAAGTATAGAGAAAGTCTTGTAATCGTGCAAAAAAAAAAAAATCGAGATTTTTACAAATCTCGACGTTTTACACCTCACTGATACGGAAAAACATAATTATGCAATCTTGTCCGTATGTCTGTGTGTCTGTCTGTGTGTCTGTCTGTGTGTCTGTCTGTCTGTCCGTGTGTAAACACGATAACTTGAGTACCGTTACAGCTAGGTTGATGAAATTTCATATATAAGTATTTTATCAAAATCGTAGATCCGTATCAACTTTTGAGCGATTTCCGATAACCGGAAGTGGTACTTTTCCTACTTTGAATTTTTCAAAAGCCTATAACTTGAGTACTATTTTAGATAGATAAATGAAATTTCACATGTAAGTAAAAGATCTAATTTTCTACCTTCTGTTAAATTTTGAGTAATTTCCGTTGTCCGAAAGTAGTAATTTACGCTACTTCCGATTTCTCAAAAAAACTAATGTAAATTTTTAAAGTACTAATAATATTGCGCACTATTATGCACTTTTTATTTGGCGTTCACTTGGTGTGCACTTCTTTTGTCTACGAGATTTTATTCTATTTTAAAAACTTTAAGTATTTAAAATTGATTAAAAATCATATCTATAGCCCGAGTTCCCATCCCCTGTTGTTTTATATAAGAATATTCGAGAAAGTTTAGGCGAGATCACTCCCGGTTTATTTTTCTGTGTTTTTTTTCCTGTGGCTTTTTTTTCCGTTCACCGAAATGACTATCCGTCCCTAAATTTTGATTCGCTAAGTAAATGTTGTAAATGTTGGTCTGGTGGTGTTAGGTTAGGAAAGTTTGTGTTAAAATAAGCATTTACAACGTTAGGATTAGAAGTTGTATTACGTTTCGAATTTGATTTTTATTGTAAAAGAACTGACGTGAATAATTCTAAGTGATGTATTTAATGTATTCTTCCATTTTAAGGCGCAGACACGTGAAGCATTACAACAGAGATTTCATCACTATAACAGTACTGTAACACAGTGTTTTAATTCACTCTTGGTGCTAAACGCTGCGAGAGTATCGCACCCAACCACCTACCATACCCCACTCCACAATACCCCCCCCCCCCCCCCCCCACAATGTTGTAAGTCCCACCTATACGCCATTAGATTGTCACATGGACCTTTCCTGACGCCGAACAACGCCGTGGGTGGAGCACGCAGGGTGACGGTGGGGGGTGGGGGGGTGGGTGAAGGAGAGGTGGGGCGCCGCCCTTCCAGCAGCAGGTGTTGGAGCTAGGGGAGGGGAGGACCTGTCTGATAAAAAGTGACCGAACCTATCAAATCAGACGACCGAACCAATCAAATCAGACGTCAGGGAACTCTTTAGTGATAGAAGTAAAAAAAATAATTTTATAATTAAAAAAACAACTTGATCACGCCAAAATGTACAGCTGTCTCTGTGCCATATATTTGTTTCTATTTGTTTCATGAATTGCGTGCAGACGTCTAGAA